TTGGATCTGATTATGCTGATGGAGCAGGTAAGAAAAAGCGGCGGATCCGATATAGAAAATATCGAGCTATACTCACTTAAATTACATCTATGGTTGTTATTTATTATAGATAATATCCTTGACGAAGAGCTATCACAGCTCTATGATTCCTCTAATGAAATTGGCGAATTATCACCTCCGTCACCACCTCCACCTCCACCATCAAGGAACATTCCACTTTCAGAGTTTCTGCTGTACATCAGCATTTCATTTGGAGATTCCACAGTTGAGTACGATCGCAGACGAACATCAGATTTTAGTACTTCTGAAGGTATATTTTCGGGATGGAACTACAAAGAGAGAGACAAGTGGTTATATATTTCCTCTTTTGTTTTTTGATCCTTACTTGTACCAAAACTATTTATCTTCAGAGCCTGTAAGGGTCTCCGAGCAAGCTGTGGCAGCTGCAACAACGATTCCAGAGCTGGAAATGTATAAAACAGTAAGTAAATAAATGATGTTTTCCTTGAAGAAACGATGTTTAATGTTTGTGTGAAAGCCTAATAAATATTACTCTTTTCATCCTCCCCGTTTTGGAATGGACAGCATTGTGGAGAGTTAAAGGAACTTATTGCTGCGGATGAAGAGGTGATTGCAAGAATAGACAGAGAAGTCAGTGCATCAAATCCTTCATTGTTTAAGGAATATTTGGATGCGGACCTGAACGTTCAAAATGATATTGAAGTATGTGTATCTTGGTAATTGCAGGTTTTTATCTTGATTTTGCAGTAACTAATCAGCATTGATATGATGGTGATGGTGGGCTTAATTTATGATTAGGCAAGGCTGAAAAAGACCAAAGATTATGCCGGGTTCAAAGCTCTACATACACTTCTCGAATGGAAGCAAACCAAGAACGACAGCTTAAAGTGGAATCTGGAGCCTTGCGTGCAGAATATCACTGAGGTGATCATAGTCATCCATGCTACATGTGTGTGTTTTGAATATGTTATATTTTCTGACAGTGAAACCGAAATATACTAGGAAGAACAATATCATGAAGCGTTTGGACGACGGATAGAAGACAGCTCATATGATTTGCAGAAGCATCTTGCTGAACTCAAGCAAAAACTTGCAGATGCGCGAACGAGGTAGCAAACTTTAGATTAAACAACGACAAGCGAGTTGCTATTTTTTACAGATATTGACATATTTTCGTATTAGACTTGAAGAACGTCGTCAAGTAGTGTATGCTGATGCAAACAAGCAAAACGAAATCAACGAGCAAAGGTATGTACACCCAAGTGCTATTACTTGATTACCTGGAAGCGACGATATTATCATTAAGTCCAGTACTACCTGTTTTTTAGGGCCACCTTGGATGGATATCGAGCAGATATAGCACAACTCGCTGAAAAAGAAAGTTCAGTAATGGGCTCGATAAGGCAATTAAATCGACGAAAGGAACAGCTCGAAGCAGTAAGTTACATCCCTGTTAAACATTATCTTGCCAGTAACTAATCGTTGCGGTAATATATCACAGGAAACGGCCAAGCTTGAGCAGGAACAAGGCGTAACAGTTCATCCTGAAAGTTTTTTGCAAAGAGCACAAGGTGTGTTTTTCTTTTGAACCATGTTCGACAAAGAGTCGCCTAGTGCTAACGTTCTGTGTTTTGGCTAAAAACGTAGAGAAATTCGAAAAGAGCAGTAGATACAGCAGGCTGCGAGTCATCGAACGATCGGACGAGGTTATTAGTGTTGAAATAATGGGCGACATATTGGTTCAAATAAAGTCACCTAGCCAGTTTCCACGACAACCTGACGCGGTCCAAATAAGTATTCTGAACGAGAGTTTTTATGGAAGGATCTCGCCTTTAGTCAATGGATTGCATGCCATGATCAAGGGCTTGGAGAATACAAACCAAGTAAGTCACGTGCCTTCTCTTCTGCATATATGAAACATGGCATTATTTGTCATTGCTGACTTTCTATTACGAAATAATGAATAGATCATAGAGACGGCAGCGATTTATTGGAATCAGGCGCGTGGAATATACCGCGAATTGATACGAAGTGGCGCACGTTATTTTATGGAGATCAATCCCTTGGAAACCGAGAACGAAAGTGAGCAATGGGTGAGATGCACTTTAGTGCCAACTAGCTTTATCCATCGAACAAAAGTCACGATCACTATTGATTTGCGGCCGCAAGATATATCCAAATTCCCGGTTATCAACATGGAAGCCGTTACTGTTACTTACAATCGTGGCCCTACAGACATAGCGTAAGAATGACCAAACATGCATTTGTGTTGCACGGTAGAAAGAAAAAACGTAGATGAGTTTTATATTTCCCTTGCTGATTGTAGCTGTTCCACATATTGTATAGACAAGAGCAGGTTGAAAACATTGCCCGTGACCTGCTACGCAGACACGGATTCGTTAACTTGAAGGGCGTTTTACAAGAAATCCTAGAGCAAATTCGATCCAACCCGACATTCCCAAATACTCCTTTATTACAGCATATGTAAATAAGCAAATTCATGACGTTTCATCCCATAGTAATAATATCATAATCTGGCAGTACAAATATAATGTATACAGTATAAAGTAATCATAATCATACATATCATACCCATTTGCTACGATATGCGCATATACACAGCGACTTTTACATTATCAAAATCCATACCAGTGATGTTTTTAACATGCTGAGTGCCAAAAGAAAAATAGCGTGCATATGATACTGGGGTAAATTTTTCCTATAGAAGGGTTTATCCCGCCGTTATTTATATTTTAAAATGATGTACAATATTCTCCTTATAAAGCAGAAAAGATATGAATGAGTGCAGTCAATCTCTCCCACGATACCTATGTTTTAGTGTCTGGTCCTAATCGCGCGCTAGCGCTCGCTTGATGTTCCGCTATCTACACCGGTCAACCTGTCAAATTTCTATCCCCCGGATCCAAATTCCTTTTCTTTTGACACGGCCGGTGCTTGACACTCCACTACATGGGGTGCCGCATTTTTTTACATATCGTTAACGTGGGAATGCTACGCTTTGCGATTTTTTCATCGACACTGTAGATTACAAAAAAAACAGCATGAACCCACAGATATGCACAAGAATCGACTATTTTTGGAGTATACCCATGTATCTACTAGTAGGAAGTCATTCCAGGAACATTTTTAAAATATAATTTACATACGATAGGGATTTGAAAGTGATATTGTCAAGGATGAGAGAAAGAAAGAAAATACATGCGATATATGTAGTGCATTCTTCTGGAGATGCACTTATTATGTACAGTACGTTTATGCATGTTACTATATCATATTACTGCAGTCCCGGGTAGAGGAAAACTTAATGCTACTGTATTCCTCCTTCATTTAATCTAATTGTTGCAGAAGAATCATAGTACGTGTTCATGGCAAATCAATGCTGAACGGGTCAAAATTATTACATAAAAGCAAATATGCACGTATGTACTGTTGGCAGCATTAGCAACTTATGCGCATTTAGAGAGCACTTGATGATATGCAAGGCAAGATAAAAGCAGAAGAAATATCGTATTATTATCTGGTGTCCGGTTATAGTGAGTAATATATAGGATGACAAGAAAAAGGAACAATAATGTGCACAGCAGCAGATACATTAAGATTGCATGCTATACTGCTGTATAGTGTGTCTGGACGAGGAAACATGTAACGTAGAAAAGAAAGCGAAATTGCATGAACAGCACAAACATGGAAAGTCGGTGCGTGGCCGAGTCTAATAAGCGTACACCACGTGGTTGCGTGCAATTCGCGTGTGTATTTTATATGTTGTGGGACGGGAAGATTTAGTTGAGGCAGAACGGAGTAAGGGATGGGAGACCAGGAGAGGAAATGAAGGAGGGGTTGCTTGCAGAGATAGGACTGTCGAGATATCACAATCATTCACAATTGGTAGAGTTATTAGTAGTGGAGAGAGAAAAGGTTCCGGGGGGAAGGAGGTGTAGAAGGGAGGTGGTAGGGAGAGGGGGGAAGAATGATGATTGGTGGTTATTGATATATGGGAAAGAACAATAAGAAAGCGAGGGAGAGTAAACAAACGACACCGCATATTATCCATTCAAGGAAGAGGAAAGAGAAAAGGCAAGAACAGTTTTCATTCCATAGTAAAAGTACAACGACTTTAAACGCTAGGACCACCTAGCAGCGGGTATAATGCATCCATTACATATTTTTGCTGTACTCTAGTGTGGATTTTTGACATCACAACAGAGGATGCTGATGACAGCCCTCACAGTAAATATAATGACAAGGTTGCTATTGTCTACCAGCAAATTCGGTATACATTTAAATTATTGTTTGAGAGGCAATATAGCAATGTAGAGGTATGCACATACTTGTTCCACAAAAAGCTTAATTATTTTGTGCATTTCAAGCAGCAGAGTCGCAAGTTGGAGAGCTCACAAAACACGTTTTAGTACGCGATAGTATACAACTAGGCTCTATTCTCGTCCATATGGATAATAAGAACATGTAGCTTTATTTTTTGCAATCGTTCAAACCATTATAAAGGCTGTAGCAGCATATTTCATCTATGTGAAATCTATCATGCATGCCAACAACAACAACAACAACATGATCATCTTGACGACTGACATTGAACATGAACAACGTGGTTACCAATGACCGTAATTTGTGTGTTACTTTCTGCTTCTCGTAAATAATTGATGAACGAAAACTTTGTAACTATTGATTACTGTTTTTGAACACGTGCTATAATCTGTCTCTATGTAACGCGCTATTTGCCGGTTGTCAAGTTGTGCAGAAGTACCTAGAAGATACATTGTTTAGAGGAATAAGGACAGAACCTTAGTTTTGCTGCTTCAGTTTGTTATCCAAATGAGGGGACAGTGGCGGACTGAGCGCATGAAATGTGCGTCGAAATCAAAGATCTTTAAGAAAAGTTAACGATAGGCTGGCGCACAGCGACAAAGGCCAGACCACAGTAACACTCACTGTTGCTAGTGGTTATTCTTTTGTTGCAGGATACATCATGCATAACGCCAAGGATTATAGGGGCGAATTGTAAAAAATGTGTGTGTTGTTGGTATATAGAAAGAGAAAGAGAGAGCGAGAGAGAGAAAAACAAAGGTGGAGGCGGCCCCCTACTTTCGTTTTTGCCATCTTTTTGCTCTGTGGTAACACAAAGCGTTCAATTAAATCTTTTTATTATAAGGAGACCAAACACACTTTACCATTTTCTCTGACTCTGTTGTACCTCGGGTCTTTTCATCCGCAAACGAAGAAAAAGAAAGGGGGTCATGTTGGGGAGAGAGAAAGAGAGAAAGAGAGGGGAAGGGAAGGGGGCGCACCCAGCAGTGGGCGTGTGCGTGCGGAGGAGTACTGAGATTGTTCCGTGTGGTCTTGCATGTTCTTATATTATATTTGCCCCACACTCACATACAGAGTGCAAGCACCCAATTATGAGACTATCCAGTTATTACCATCGGATACTATCTACAGAAAATATATTAGAGATCATGGTACACTATAAGGGCTAGAAACAGGGTGAAATGCAGGCGAAATAATGACCATAATAGCAATCTTTACAGCCTGCTGCTTTGAGCTGTTTAGGAGAGGATGGGTTCGAGCCAGAGGCAGCGAGAAAAAGAGTGGAAAGAGAGAGCATTGCTGATTTAGGTTGAAAAAAGAAGAGTGTATGCAATAGACTACCAAAACATAGACGCATAACATTGGACTCCTACTTGTTTCTCTCTGTCTCTGTCTGAGTCTTTCTTCTCTATCTCGCGCCCTTCGGTGTGGATGGATCAAGTTATACAATAGCCACAAACAGTACGATGGTCCCTGGTATTTCGCCCAGCATCAGCTCAGCATCAGCTCAGAAGAGATAGAATATGAGAGAGAAGAGAGATAGAGATAGAGTGTGAGCGTATGCATACACACCCCCTGGAAGTCTCTTGCCTTTAAAAAGACTCAAGCAAAGTGTGAAATAGAAATAAAAGTTTACTAATTGACGCCCCCATCTTTCTTTTCTTTTTCTTCTCTCTTCTTTTCTTATTTTTCTGCCTCCCAACCATACGGATTACCACCGACGACTACACTCTCACCTTCCAACCAAACAAATACACAAAGAGAAAGCGGGAAAGAGACCTCTCATCAAACACACACACACACACAAGAACCACCAACAACAAAACAATCAAAAACACTTCAATATTAGATCAGATCAAATCATCAAATGAGCTTTGAAGTTGACCGGCCTATCCAGCTGCTTGGCAGTGACTCGTCTGAGTTAATCAAAGCCGATATAAATCATGCGCTGACCAGCAACGCGATCTCCACCACCGATCTCACACACGCTGCTTCACCTACCTACAGCACTGCGAGCAGCTCATTGAGCGGCAGTACCACCACTACTTCTGATGGACTGATCGCTGGTTATGCCGACAAACAGCCTACAGCAGCACCCACAGTCGACGATTCAGCTGTTATCCGCTACAGCAACATCGACACGGCCACCGTTAGCACTTGTACTACAACAGCGACAACAGGCTGTACCCCTCAGCAAGCATATGATAACAGCAGCAATGCTTCTAGCAACAACAACAACAACAACAACAAGCACCTCCTTTCCCCCGTTCCGGATTGTTTAGATGGCGATAGCGCTGCTGCTGCTGCTGCTGCTGCTGCTGCCGCGGCCGCAGTCAATTCAGGAGGTGAAGCCCCTGCTCGCGTGCCCCTGCCAACGCCACCGGCATCCGACGGAACGCCACCTCACCGGCAATGGCACGATAGTATACGGCGACCATTCACCAATGTTGGAGGCGGTGGTAATGCTGCTGCTACCACCATGGGAGGTAGCATCAGATCAATGTCTTATTCACCGCTGCACACGACAACAACCTCTTCATGGCAACACCATACTCCTACATGCTCATCATCGTCTGTGATGGCGCCACCACCGCATCCAGCAGCAGTATCAGATGCAGGAGCTTATCCCGGCCCGGGCTTTGTCGCTTCGTTTTCCGGTAGTAGCAGCATCATGCCAAATACATCGCACCCTCCAGCAGATGCAATGTACCATGAACTGATCCATCAAGGGCCATTACCCCCTCCCCAACATCACATTGGTTGGATGCAGCAGCACCAACAACAACAACAAGAACACGATCCATATCGACAGCACCATCATTATTACAGCGATCCATTTGTGGGTGGCCATCATTCGCCAATCCCTTCAAACTATCACCAGCAGTTTGAACCACCACCGCCTCAACCTAATTCTACGACAACAACAGCGTCGCGAAGATCTTACCATCCATACCATCATACCCATGATCATCACCACCTGCAGCACCATCACCGCCAACATCGTTCACATCATACACAGCAACAACAACAACTTCAACATCCTAGTCATCCTCACCAGCACCATCATCAAGCATCAGAAAAGCAGCAGCATCCACAGGCATTACCGCCACAGCAACAGCCCAGTTTATCCGCATCATCCTCTGATTCCTCGTCCAGTACGGCCAACAACAGCAACATTGCTAACAACAACATGATGGATGCCAAGGTTGTCACAACTACCCCACGTCGATACAAATGCACTGTCTGTGTCAAGCGATTTACCCGGCCTAGCTCACTGGCAACCCACATGCATAGTCATACTGGAGAGGTATAATCATTGTTTAATTATATTACAATTACAACCATGAGCTTACATGTGTGTGTGTGTGTGTATTATCTATTATAGAAACCTTACAAGTGCCAGATTGAAGGCTGTGGTCGACGCTTCTCGGTGGTCAGCAATCTGCGCCGTCATGCTAAAATCCACAACAACACAAATAACAGCAGCGATCTCACCAAGAATAGCCTGAACAGTATCAAATCATCATAAAAATAACAGCAACAACCAACAACCATCTTGCATATACTCTTTTTCGCCATCCATATCACTTCTGCCCATTCTTCGTCTTTACATCTTCTCCCTCTTTCCATCCTCTTTTTCTTTCAATGTTGTATAGTGAATTTGTGTGAGTATCCATAGCATTTTCAGAAAGTGTTCTTAGTATCATAGTACAAAATACTCTTTTTTTTATTCTTTCTCTCTCTCTCGCATATTCAACAGCCTCCTTCTCCGTTTAACGACTCCTTTCCGGAAATTACTATAATTCGGGTAATGGCTTTTTTTTTGTACGTATTTGTTTATTTTGTTCTTTTCTCTTTCCCCCTTTCTTATCCAAAACCACACACCCCCTTGATATCGTCGTATACATATATAAAGCATTTTGTAAAAGGTCTCTCTCTCTCTCTCTATAGGATGCATTCTTGTTATTGCTGTTGTTCTTGTAGATGAGTGTGTGGATTGGTGGAGCATAAAAAAATGAATAGCTTGCATCATCAATATTATACATACACACGCTTTCTCTTTCTTCCTCTTCACACCATCAGCGAGCAGCCACGTATGCTATGAGCTATATAGTGATAATGGTTACCATTATATAGAACAAGTTTGATGGAGGTCGAAAGGAAGCGTGTGTTATGCGTGCCATCATCTGCACTTGGTGATGACGGGTGGGTAGTATATGTATGAGTGTAGTATCATATACTACGCCCAACTTATTTCATCAGATGTGCTGATGTATCACGCCACCACAGAGTAAAAGTGTAAAGTATACATAAACAAAACTATTTTAAGGGTATCTTTGCTATTATTTTTGAGATGATGACTACAAATGGACGGATGTGATATCATTGGCTTTCTGCAGCTGCTGCGCTAGTTGCTGTTGTGGTTGTTGCATCAGACACCAGTTGCTCGGTTTGTTCAAAATAGGATTCCCACAAGGCAATTATCTAGTGGTAACATCATTGGGTAAGGGGTACACATGTAATTGTTGATGAGTTCTCTTCACACACACACGACGACTTTACAATGCTATTTGTGCATACCTGTTTTTGATGCTCGATCATGCTGCATAGAAATTGTTCTACACTGTCCCGGAAATCTTCCACTTTCTCATGATCAAACCGATCCAGCTCGTTCTTGATCAGCTTTGAAACGTCTTGGAACTCTCGATGGTATTCTGTCATCCGTTGTTTTGCCTTTTTATACACAACTGGATAAGTCTTTGTTTCTTCTAGACAGCAAGCTATAGTTTTAGTGCTCGTTTTTCAAGCTCGTGTACCTCTGTGATCTCTTGTTCTGCTACAGCAAGTCGTTCTGGCTTTTTCGATTGACTGTTCAATCGATCGTATACGGCTTGCTTTTTCTGTACTTCTGATTCAGCTTGCTGGTATGCTTGATATGCCTTAATGCGTGCATTGAATGCCAGCTATCCCACTTGTCGATCAGTATACTCTCCCCCGGCTTTATTATCTTTGATACCACATAGAGAATTATCCCTTTTACCTTGATGGATCCTATTATCCGGATATATTCATCGATGGTATGTTCTAATGTTAGGATGTCATGATGGGCCTACGTATTTCATTAATTAAATCAATTACCGAGCCTTCTTGTATTTAATTCCACTCCCCCAGCCTCAAAATAGACTTTATCATATCACGTTTTCTCCAATAAAGCTAATCTTTAACCTTACTAACCTGTTGCTCATGCAGCTCTTTCATCCTTTTTTGAACATCCGCCAAAACCATCAAGTGCGTAGACAGACCACGATCCAGTTCAGCCGAAGCAAGAGGGATCATGCTCTCCCCAAAATCGGCAATCGATCCTCCTAACTCTATAAAAGACAAAGTGAACGGTGAGCGACACACATATGCACCAGCACAATGAGCAATTATATATACCTTTTCTTTGTTTCACAACCCCCTCCACACTCTTCAGTAATGCCTTGAGCTGATTTTCCAACGTCTCCAACTGCGTTCGCTTCGACGCAAACCATTCATCCACTTCAATAAACTTTGAGAACGGATTACTTGCTGCATTTGATATGGTTTCTCCGAATGATCGCATTAAACTGACTTTGGGTGTATCTGGCTCTGCTCGCTTTTGTCGTTTCTATTGAGAGAAGCCTCATCACTTAACACACTCCTTTTCCATCATCATCCAAGTTTCTATATAGCTGCTTACCTCCACATTAAAGGATTCACTTTCAAGAAATACTTTGAGATCTGGGTCACCATAGAGCATAGGATGCGATACAATTTTTTGTAAACATCGCTCCAGTGCTATCCTTCGAGATTCAACAAATTCGTCTTGGAATCGACCTGGATGCAGCATATTTTTCTCAGCCATTCACTCTGTTTCTTCGTACGTCTGCATACCATATAGCAACACACACTCTACTTGCTCCCGTCATTCATAATCAGAAAGGTTGCTTTGACCATACCTAATGCATGTTTCTCAGGCACAGGCGGAACAATCACACCCGGGTTGCCTAGCGTCAGCTGATTGTATAACCATAGGAAATCGCGGTATCGACGTGCAACCACAAACTCGGGCGCTCGGAATACTGGTGAATTGGTCTAAAACATCACCATCAACATTCACGTTTATATATTGATAATAGGGGAGAATTTCCCTATATCATCCATACATTACCTTTGTTTTGACTTTGTACACGATATGTGCATTGATGGCATCCCCAACTTTTTGAGGATCTTGTACTGTAACATGGAAAAATGGTCGTGACCCACTTTTCGGTATCTCCAAACTTTCTGACTGGAATATATCACGGAGGAAGGGAGGGGGTTAGCAGTCGATTCATTCCTTTTCGAAAACGCGGGGAAGCTCCCCTCAAAACATACAATATGCATAATCACAGAATCAGCAAGTCTTATACCTGACTATAATCCGAGCCATTGTCAATCGTAGAAGGCTCGTCAGCTACCGTAAACGGTACTTCATTGTCGACATTCAAAGACGCCATGCCTTCTACAACGCTATTGTTTTGGTATTGATTCGCACTGTTGCTACTAACGCCACTACCGATACTGCTGCTATTGTTTCTACTACTGCTATTACTCGTAGTCAGTACTGGCTGCTGTTGTTGTTGTTGCTCGACAAATTCTTGCTCTTCGTCTTCTGCTTCCGCTACTATCTCTTGCTCCTCCTGTTGCTGTTCGGCCGGTGAAGACGTATCTTCTTGTTCATGGTATTGAAGTTGCTGTTGTCCGTCTTCAAAACTCGGTGTTGTACTGGGGGACTGTTCGGGTTGCTGCTGCTTGTGTTGCTCATGCTGAGGTTCTTCCGCTTGGGATGTCTCTCTAGACTGAGAAGGTGAAATGGCATCCGCGAACGGATTGCCTAGCAATGCATCGTCAAATCGCAACCCTTGTGAGTTATCCATGGATAGAAATTTACTTCAAAGCGAGAGGATCAAAGGGAAAACGAGGGCAGCTGAGCTTGTATATGCGGGGCACCTACTTGGCCAAATATAGAGTTCCATGGGCCTTGCAAATTGATGAAGATTCCTCCATCCAAGGTTTCCTTCTACTTTGTAAAAGTCTCATACCATGTCAGAATAATTAAGATATCGTTCTGTGTACTAAGTGAATTCAATCGCACACTTTTTCTTTTGATTGCTATAAGTGAACAGGTATGATTCTGGTCAAATCTCTTAACCTATTGTCATATGTGCCAATTACCGTTGTATCGATCGCTTGCTATGTAGGACCAGAAACGAAAAGCGCGTGGTGAAGCTCGGAGACATATTGACATGTACAGTATGTACATATACTAAAGCAAATGCATGTAGCTTACTATTACGCTTGAGTGTCTTCAATGAAAGAAACGACTCCCGACCTTAACATTGTCAAAGATCACGAAATAAAACGAAAGATGATAGGATGCATGTGTGCAAGGGGAAAAAAAGTTAGTGAAAACAAGTAAAGACGTGTGGTTTTTCGTCCATTACTAACAGAAATTAATCGCGCAACTCGTTTGTACGTATGAGTATTCTCGCAACACATCGTTTCCAGTGGATTGGCGCTTGTGATGGTTCTTTCTGATATGGACCATTGGTTAATTTTTATTTGAGCGGCAACTACAACGAGATTTGCCACAGCTGTAACTAATGTTTCATAAGGCAAGAGACTGTATGAATTAATAATAAGGAAAGAGTGCCATGTTCGTATATGGTAGATATTCCCCTCTTTCACCGATTGCATATTGTATCAGCGACCTCTTTCCCCTGGTGGTTTTGTTAGCCATACGAAAGGATCGATAGCGAGTACCGGGCGACAACACTTCAGGAGTTTGATTCGCGTTGGCGAGCAAACGGAGCATATCAAGATTGTATGAGAGGTATTACCGGATGAGTTTGTATGTAACTGCTCGATGTATGATTGTCGTTTACAGGGTTGCTATGTGTTCTGTTATGCTGAGTAATTATAGTCGTGATATCCGATATTGCTCACCTGTAGCGTGTTTTTTCGTCTGTTCAGATTCAGGTACACAAGAAAACTCGCTTGTTCAGACTCTGACTGGAGCTGTAGTGGTAGGGCTCGATTAGAAGTGGACAACTTTTCGCTATGATGTGCTAGCAGTATACAAATATATACATATATATATAGGTAGTTGTATCTCTTTGTGCCATCAGTCTTTTCTTTCAATTCTGATTCTTCTCAAAGAGTCTTTATTATGCTTGTAGTGTGGCAACAGTACATACATTTGTGTTATTCTCGGACAAGACGATTTTGGACCGCAGCAGCCGCCGTATACACTATATTTAGCATGAGTAATTCATCCGTAGTATGCTATCAGTGAAAGGAAACATACCTAAAAGAATCAAGGCCAGCGGCAATGATATTACGGGTATCTGACATTAGGGTAACGCACGCTGGATAAAAGAAAATACGACGGGATGGGATTCTACAAAGTAATATCAGTCAATACCAGCAGCGGCACAGGTCCGTACACTGAACACAGCACCACCGAGAGGTAGATTCAATATATAGATATGAGATCTTATTAACAAGCAAAGATAATCTTTTCTCATGATGTTGCTAATATTCTTCCCTGTTCGAAGAGGTGTATATACGACTATTATGATTTGCTGTACCTCCACCTGACGTTATCTTGATGACTATTTTATTAAGCGGACTTGTGTATGTAATCTCGAACTTTTACTACAGTAAACAACAGAATAATAGTAGGCCCTTCATTGTAATGGACGATGCTCTTTTTTCATCCGTAAAAGGCAATTTCTAATCGGAGTGGATAACGACTATTGCACTTTGGGATCACGCTTCATAGGCTCGTGTCGCACGGCTCCTTTCCGTCGCGTTCTCTCCACTTTTTATTGTAACATAAAAAGTAAAGAAATGTCGGTAGCGTCAATTAATTCAGACACTGCGTGTAAGTATACAACATGTGATTATGATTTTTCTTTTGTTAATTTACGCATTGCCCTCTAAGTTTTTTTAGAATATAGCAAACACATTTAACAATTACTTACAAACTTTTATGTATATTCTTTTGCTCTCTTCATAGCCGGCGCGTCTGCCGAAAGTAGTGATTCACTGATTCGCGATCTCAATACCGACAACATTGATTCCTTTCTGCATCAGGAACTTCAACTTTTGAGTACATGTATGTCTTTCTTATATCTCCACAAACAAACACTAAATATCACGCCGACGAACTATGAAAACTCAAACTTCCTTCTTTCTTTTTAAAAAAATAAATGAAAAGCACAACCTATCGCGCCTTTGAGAACACGATTTAAGAAAAGATCACCAGCGCTGAAGACCGCCATTGAGAGGTTTGGTGTGAACGATGCACAAATGAACGTTTTAATGGATCTTATCCTTTGCCGAAAACTACGTAAGTCTTTCCTTTTTTGCTTGTGTTTAGTGTATCTACATGCGTATGTAGATATAAACGAAGAGACGTTGGAGACGATGAACGGTTTTGCATAAAAGTCGCACAGACACGATTACATTAAAGATTAATATGTGTTTCTACTGCTACCAGCTGTTACTTCCTGCCAAGCACTCATCGAAGTACTATTGCCTCGCGGTCCAGTCAAATTCAGGCATGTCGTACGAGTATTGCAATTTCTAAGCATGCGCGAAACTGGAACTACAGCATCAAAAACGGAATTACCGGCTGCCATTATCGTAAGTAAGAACAGCTCAGGCGAGTTGCTATCAATGAGCCATGCATGAGGAAAAAGAGGCTAACCCTCATCATCTCATGTCGTTGTGTTGTATATGTATAGCTCGGCCTGATAAATTGGATTATTGCCATATATGACCATATCGACAACATCCATAGCTTTGAAAAGTTCTATGGCGTGCTCTTCCACTACCTCTCTATGAAAAAATTGCGAATCCATCTGTGTCATCTCTTGTGTCGTATGACAAGACGCCATCATGTGAAGAAGTATCGGATTCATCAACTGTTAGTATAAGTGGACAGATCATAGGGGAAAGTTGAAATGCATATATACTGTTTACAGAAGATTAATAACATTTGTATCTCCTCTCCTTTCTAGTCAAGACCTCATTGACAAGAATGGTCCTGAGCCCGAACTTGTCGCTTTAATGAATGTATTCAAGCTCTATAATCCAGAACTTATTGTTCCCGGCAGATCAAAGAAACCAAACTTTGCAGTATGTTTTATGTGCTAGTCACAAAAGAAAGAAGAAAATCAAATAATAGATTTGAGAAGGGAGATTATTAAGAACAAAAACACGCATATTCTCTCTTTATCATAGAATCCATTAAAACATCTCGTCGACAGGTATAGCGAAATCCGAAATATGTGGGGTGCAGATCGCTCAACAGATGGATCCGTATCGACCACTAGAAGAGGCGCAACGGACAATGAGATGCAACCGGTGAGCATTCTTTTTGTGTTTTGTACTGTAATTTCTTTTAACCCTTATGTTTTCTCCAATAATGATTGTTTTTTACTTCATGTGTATGTTTTTTTGTAGCGAAAACGACAACGAAGAGGCCACGATGTCGCATCTTTAAAGGTGCCACTGCCCACCACCACCACCAACTCGTCTTTGGTAAAGCTAATGTGGTTTCGTGTCTGCATGTATGTGTTATTTTAGTCGGGTTACTGATATGGCTCCTTGTTCTTGAATTGAATTATAGCCCTCCGTCACACTTCGTGAAATAAATAATGTGGTTGACCTTGCTGAAAAACTGGACCGTTTAACATTGCCTGACCAGATGGCGTCCATCTTGGACAACCGGCTACTGCAGCATTTGATCGCCTGCGATCCACGTGGTAAGATGGAGTGATTATCCGGATTGAAAAAAACCAAATAACCGTTTTTGTTTAAAAATTGCTGTTAGAATCTTCGGTAATGCGTATAAGTAACTGGTTATCGAACGTTCTGCAGGAACTACTGAAGGGTCGCAACCACTCAACGATGTATAAGAAATCATTACAAGAGCTTTTACAAAAATGTATCACCATGGCACGCCTCACAAAGGTAAAACTGTTTTTTTTCTCTCTTTCTGCCAATTGAACCATTAGAAAGGAACACTAATATATTCAAAACGCACATGTCAATAGGCACATCTACCTATCCTCGAAACATTCCTGAAAGATTATATAAGCACATGGAACGGATGGGAATTCGAAAATGAAGTATTTGAATTGCTTACGTTTGTACGACCTGGATCCTTTGAAGGTACTGTGTCAGCTTTACGTATTGTTCGTCTTTCTTTGAGCCTCTTGTACTTACAATTTTCTTTTAGAAATCAACGATTGGTACCTGAAGCCACTCCATCGGCTATATTATGTTTCCGATGTCAAATGGAAGGTAAGGCATGCAAATATCCTTGTTTCTATGTGGCTTTGTGTATACTGATTATGGTGGAAATATAGGCAAAATTGATCTTATGCTACACAGAATGGCTTAAAAACTGGGCATTGCTGGATTGGAAGCGACACCGTGAACGACGGAGCACTAATACTGAGATTGATATGGATGAGATGTGAGTAGCAATATTCATCATTATTTTCATAACGTCGCGTTGTACGTTCTCCATGCAAAGTATACTAATGCATGCTAAAAACAATTTTTTCTGGGACGTGATTAGGGTGTGGCTTTTCCAAGGACTAGATTTCAACGTGGACTACTTTCGAACCATCCAGCACTTCATCTACCACGTCGATCGGTTGAGTGTGATCGGATTGGGTATGGAAGGCGACCATCCACTACTACAACACGCAGCGCTCTCCTTCTTTGAGTTTGTGTCGTCCATTTCCATCAACCACGATATCCCCGAGATCATTATACCTGCCGCGCCGCTGATCTACCGCAGTTTCTTTTCAATATGCGGGATGTCTGTGTCTCGGATATGCGGTATCGTTCACCAGTACAAAAAAGCATTTGAGGATAATGATCGAAAAATCGGCGATTGGGTGACACGACACACGTCCGATTATTTGGACAATTTCAATACGCATGTTATGGATATCTGCAGTGCACTGTGGCGTAACTCGGCTCTTGCTCGTTCAACAGAAGATGAACTTCCATTCTCGCTTTCTCCGTAAGTCGTGTAATGATCGTGGGCTACTAATGCTATTTCTTGCTCACCGTTCTCACACTTACTTCCAGTGAGATTACCAAAGTCTACGATAATCTGTGCGAGTCACGTGGGGAATCGGCAAACCTTGTGCTATCACTCACTCACTCTGCTGCCCTGGCTGGTTTTTCGGAACGATTCATTCAAGTGAGTTTCAATTTTTTTTTGACAGTAGGAATATAAAAAAAAAGTTTAATTTACGTCTACTCTTTACTGACATGTGGTGTACTCGCGCATTTCTCTCTCTAGGAAAAGGAAAATAACGCAAACGTAGAAGCACGTCATAATGGTCCAGTTACTGCACAGCTATTGGAAACACTTAGCGAAGTAAGTTTCTGCTATTTTCTCTATTTCCATAGTAACAACGCTTTAATTAACCAACCAACCAAAACGTCCTAGACTGGCGGAATATCGGTCTCATATATGGACTATCGCGTGGAACTACTGGAGGATCTCAGAACTTTAGGCTTTCACGGCTTGTATGACCTGTTGTATGACTGCATGAGCTCATTGATAGAGCGCAAACAAAAGGAACAGAAACAAAAAGAGGCAATGGACCAGAGTATGGAAATTTGAATAAAGCTGTTGAACACGCACATACCTCTATTTTTTTGTGGCACCATATCAAACCCGATTTGAATGACTTGTTAAGGTAGCAAACCGAATGATTTGCTCTCTGTATCTGTGTGTGTGTGGTGCGCGTTGTGTAAAGGTTCATTTAAGCACGCGACAAAAAAAAAAAGAGGCTTCGGCGTGCGAGTGCGACGAGCAAAAAGACGCAGTCGTACATGAAAGCTGCGGTGTGGCCCCATATGCAGGCCTTACTTGAACAATTGTAGTAATCGCGGAGCAGTAACGAATTACCTGATTCGGTTCGTGTACACGAGGTGGAACCCGACACGGTTTGTCAAAGGGCAACACGCCGACGCTCCTTTTCGTTCGCCCCCCTTCTTCATCACTCAACACATTTGTCGAGTAAGTATTTTTCAGGTTTTTGGTACTGTGAATGACGGCGTCATTGTTGTTACTGCTGTTTATCGAAAGACGGTATCCGGTTGGCTACAAAAAGGAGAAAGAGAGACGCTTTCTCCTCCCAACCCTCCCTCCTTTTTTTTTAATTCTTTTTAACCAGTTCCATCTTTTTCTCTAGTTTTGTAAATTTCCATCATGAGAGAAATCATCCACATCCAAGCTGGTAAGATGATGGAGGTGCAATCATCCCCTCTTTTTAAGCTTTTCTGAATGCACAGTTCACTGACAAGGTCGTCTATTTCTTTTTTTTTTTCTCTCCGGTTATTCTTTAGGCCAGTGCGGTAACCAAGTATGCATCGAACAAAGAAAGAATACCAAATGTTATCTAGATAGCTGACCTTTCCTTCTACTATTGTTGCTATTACTGCAAACTGGTTGCACGCGTTTTCTTTTGTTTCGCTAGATTGGTCAAAAGTTCTGGGAAACCATCTCCAAGGAACACGGTATCGACACCACTGGTGCTTATGCTGGTGACAACGATCTCCAGCTTGAGCGCATCAACGTCTATTACAACGAAGGCTCGTCGGGCAAATACGTGCCCAGGTATGTATGAAAACAAGAAAGGGAGAGAAGAAGGCGAAGAAGAGAAATAAAGGGAGTTTCAAATAGGGAGAGGGGATCAGTATGTTTGTTGTAAGTTAAAATACCAACAAAAAACATCCCCCACTTCGTTGGACAAACCGTAGAGCCGTGTTGGTCGATCTTGAACCTGCCACCATGGATGCCATCCGTGGTAGCGGCTACGGCAAGCTCTACCGCCCCGACAACTTTGTCTCTGCCCAGTCTGGCGCTGGTAACTCGTGGGCCAAGGGCTACTACACTGAGGGTGCCGAATTAGTCGAGTCCGTCTTGGACATTGTCCGTAAGGAGGCTGAGCACACCGACTGCTTGCAGGGCTTCCAGTTGGCCCACTCGCTTGGTGGTGGTACCGGTTCCGGTATGGGTTCGCTCTTGTTGTCCAAGATCCGTGAAGAGTACCCCGACCGTATGTTGTGCACCTACTCGGTCGTCCCTTCGCCCAAGGTCTCTGACACTGTCGTTGAGCCCTACAACGCTGTCCTTTCCGTCCACCAATTGGTCGAAAACTGCGATGCTACCTTCTGTATCGATAACGAAGCTCTTTACGATATTTGCTTCCGCACCTTGAAGCTCTCCAACCCCGGTTACGGTGAGCTCAACCAGCTAGTCTCGGCTGTCATGTCGGGTGTCTCCACCTCGTTGCGTTTCCCTGGTCAGTTGAACTCTGATCTTCGTAAGCTTTTCGTCAACATGGGTAAGTTTATTTTTTTTCTCTCTTTCCGAAGATATCTCGCTCTCAGTGAGTGAATGAGTGAGTGATTGAGTAATCAGGTGAGTGGTGTGAAGCTAATCAAAAACAATGTATTTAGTTCCCTTCCCTCGTCTTCACTTCTTCATGGTCGGTTTTGCTCCTTTGACTGCCTTCAACTCACAACAATACCGCAACCTCAGCGTCCCTGAATTGACCGCACAAATGTTCGATGCCCGTAACATGATGGCCGCCTCTGACCCTCGCCACGGTCGCTACTTGACCGTCGCCACCATCTTCCGTGGCCGCTTGTCGACCAAGGAAGTCGAGAACCAGATGTTGGCTGTCCAGCAAAAGAACTCGTCCTACTTTGTCGAGTGGATCCCTAACTCGGTCAAGACCTCGTTGTGTGACATTCCTCCTGTCGGTTTGAAGATGTCGGGTACCTTCATTGGTAACAGCACTGCTATCCAAGAGTTGTTCAAGCGTGTCAACGAGCAGTTCACTGCCATGTTCCGTCGCAAGGCTTTCTTGCATTGGTACACTGGTGAGGGTATGGACGAGATGGAGTTCACTGAGGCCGAGTCCAACATGAACGATCTTGTCTCCGAATACCAGCAATATCAGGAAGCTGGTGTTGAGGATATGGAAGAAGAATTGGGTACGTTTTTGTTTCTATTTTTCCACTAAGCAGAGTGTGTGGATGTTTTTTGAGGAAAATGTTACTAACTACTGATCTATAGAAGATGACTACCTCGAAGAAGATGATGAAGGTGGCGTTTTGGAGGAACAGCAATTGCAGTAAACCACCCAGAATGCATACAGTATTAAGAACATCTCTTTTTTCTCCCATGACTTTCTCCCATCTTTCTTTTATAAAGTTTTAAAAAATAACACATAATCCCCATTCGATTACCCAACCCAAACCTCCCATTTGCTTCCCGGACCTTCGAGCAATTTTATAGCACACCAAATACACGTAAAAACTCACCTTCCCCCGTTAATACTAAGGTCTATGCCCTTGTTTGAATACAGAAAATTTTTTATGGAATCATTGGTTATTCTTTCTAGTTACTAATAGAGGTGTATGGTGTCGAATTGGAAGAGAGACGTGGTGTTAGTTTGAGTTGACATGCATGATGGCTCCCATACATGGCTACTACGTCCAATCATGGAGAGCTAGTGCATATTTATTCATATTTCCATGCATAATGGTGCTTATGCAAGGCCCTGCTGCTACATGTATTGTAAGTTGCAGCTCTTGCTATGCAATACAATACCAATGGGAACATCTTGAACCGACAAAGAGCCTGGTCATGAGCTGAGGACCTTTTACGATACTTTAAAGTATAGTTTGGGCCATTGTGCAGTTGACGATGCACAAGGCAACGACAAGAGCTTCATCTAAATCATACATTGCTTAATCAGCGGGGTATCGTTTTTGTTACCGTGATACCATCCGTTGCTGCTGCTGCTGCTAACACTATAGGCGTAGTTGTAGTATTATATGTAATAAACTGGTCCCTCCGCTTCGCTTCCGGACGATGTGAGCCCCTCCGCTTCGCTTCCGGACGATGTGAGCCCCTCCGCTTCGCTGCGTGTCAGCATCTGTCCTCCAGGGACCAGTTTACTGGGGCTCTGCCCCAGACCCCGGGTGGGGGCAATGCCCCCTACCACCCCCCTTTTACCTTCAAACAATGCTGAAAATTTGTTCTGCTTGACAGGAGTGAGAACGGTGTTTTTTATAATTTTGGTCTTGAAGTCATTGTCGTCACTGCACTAAAAATGCCTAAAGGCAATACCTCTTTCAGATTAAGATTATGTAGCTGATTACTGTGTCAGTTACTCGAGTTAATGCACTCCGAACTCTCAGACGATTCATGTCCAATACCCGGGCAATCCTCGCAACTGAACAGATCGTGTTCAGTTTCTTCGTAAAATTTACAGGTCAGAATCTTAGAGGTGGAATTCTCTTGCTTTTGAAACGGGTATTGGACAATTGTTGAGGTGGAAATTCTGGGACATCATGAAAGGTGCGATTGTTGCACCCTAAACCTAGGCCGTTGTGTTCGCTCTATCATACTTACTAAAAATGTGATTGTTACACCCTAAACAAAGCTCGCTTTGCTCGCCCTACTTACTTACCAAAGCAAAGACCCGAAGTTCTATTATTTGTTACGACCTAGAGATGCTTTTGCTAATATGACATTGATAATTATATTTGTAGGACGTTCCCTCCCGCTGACCCTCCTGTTAGGGCGCTGCCCCGCTCTAAACCCGAAGCCCTAAAAGGTGGGGCAGCGACAGCAGGAGAAGTTGGTGGAGGCGAACTGTTGATCATAGGCACAGGTGATCGTGGCAAGGTAGTAGCTATAGCGAGTATTGGAGGAGGTTTGTTTGTAATCTTTTCAGCAAAATTGCATTATCACCAAAAATTTAGTAAGTACACAGTACCGCAGTTGATAGGGTTAAGTGGGCATTCTCTATGATAACGCCTACTGCCTACGATGGGTGCTCGAACCACAGATACAAAACGTAGGCGCAAAAGTTCTTACAAAAACGAACTATCTGTAGCTTTGTAAGCAAACAGCTGCAGCAGTAATATTTAAATACACATGGTTAAAATATGTGTTGCCTATTCTACTGAAACACTGCGAGAATGCACTGGACATGGCTCCATGCGATCCGAGCCACAGTGACAGACATGATCGGTCGACTGCTTTGTCGAGAAATGTGCAGAAAAAAAATAGTTAGTAAAATTGTAGCTCATTTAGAGCAGTCTGTCAGAATCCCGGCTAACGGTGGAAAATGCTCAACGATTTTTACAAAAAAACCTCAAATGTCGTTGATGGCAGATGAAATCAAGTAGCACACCTCTTCGGAGCTCATATTGAGAAATGCAATGTGGTAATAGTCTAGGAAGACGGCACAAAGTTGAAGTTTACCCAAGTCTCCCAAGAACGTGCAACGTTAAAAAAGCATGGTCGTAACAAAGTGAAATTTCCAAATCTGGATTTTACGCTGGGATTGAAATCGTAAGGACCCTTCCCTATTTAATAGAAGAGATGTAGCAGGACGGATTTTCCACTCTAGCACAGAGTTCTCAGGAAATAAAGCTAAATCACGAAATCGGTGATGATGCACATTTTGAATTCAGGCACGTATATACCTGATTTTTCGCTGCCACACCACACGCACGCTTTCCTATGTAACTTTTTATAGTAATAAATGCCAGCAGGTTAGTCTTTTTTCTTCTTTCGTTCCGGCGTATAGCACGCTCCATTACAGTGAGTTCATTAGCACCCGATCCATACGGTACCGACATTGTTGTCAAAATTGTGCAGGCTGTTGTTTCTGTCGAACTGGATGGTAAAATGGATAAACGACACATGTACACAATACTTTTTTTCTTTCAACCCAACTTGTATTATTGTTGCTGTTGTTATATGGCGCAGAAACTGTTCGCGTGTATGAACATTTAGTGGGAGACCCTATCGGGTGCATCATTATGAAATCGCAGCAAGGTAACGTTATCATTGGTTATACGCAGTCTGCATACAGTATAGCAATATGTATTACCAGTGTGGTTTCCAAAGACGTGTCATATTTGTCTTGATGATGGTTACTGATGTGTCGAGCTTACATGTATACAGTATATGATAAAATATATAATTTATCAGATGGTAGCGATGATAGCTCAATCAAGAAGCAAAACAACAGGAAGAATCCAGACAGCAATGATAATACCAATGCAGTAATGGAATCACATATTCACCAGGTGCAAGTTCATTTGGAAGAAGAGGAAATAGGAAAAGGCGAGCAAAATGGCTCCTTTCGTAGATGGCTTGTTGAATTGAAGGCGTCCATTTGCGCCCCTCAAACTTCAGCAATCCCATTAAACAGGTATCTATACATAAATCAAAGTATGCAAGCGAGATCTACTCATTATTATTGACCTTAGCACTGCCGATTCTTTGTTTCCCTCATATGTTTTCGTACCACACCGACAGAAGTACCACTCACTAACATCAAGCTACATTTATAGTACAGACGTCATCATCGATCTACTCTACAAAGGATACAAATTCGAGCAGACCAAAGAGTTTACAATGCGATCAACATGCTTAAGAACTATTATGATAGCACGGTCATTGCGCAAGCTTTATCGCCTTCTTGTCGCCTCTTGGAAGTGACGTTTGGTCCAAAAACAGGCGCATTTTTCAAAATGACAAAAAGATCCTGTTGTGATAAGCTACTTGCAGGAAAAAAGAGAGAGAGACGAGCAGCTGAAAACAGACTTTCCAATTTTAAGATCTAGCAGTTATACTAGCCTGTTGGCGTATGCTCTGGTGTTGCCTCTTATAAAATAACCCCTTTTCACAAGAAGGTCGCATCATATCTGCGGCAACAAGCAATGTAGGCGAACACAGAAAGTGAAAAGGAGTGTCAAAGTGTGATAAAGCGCGTTGTGATCATGTTACTGTCGTCTGTCATTGTTCTCCGCTTTGTTTAGCACAGAGCTGTGGGTGGGCAAAAAAATAAGGAACTTGTCAAGCACATGAAAAAAAGGCAAAGCAAAAAATATAAAGCGGTAAAACGTTTATGAGAAGAGTGCGAAAAGAAAAAGATTGTTTTATTTTGTTTATCATTTTCTTATTTGTGTGTAATAATGTGTGTAATAAATAATAGTAATAATAATCTGTTCGTTCCTCACCCTCCACTGACCCGCACTGGTACATTGCAGTCATCTCTTCATGGCGGACCACTGAGCCCATCCAATCATCAGAAAACTCTGAACAATCGCCAGCACTGGCACGGAACTGATCATAGCACAGACAGTGACCCCTGCGCATACAGCCCAACGCCTTTCCAAAACGAACTAAAGTGAAGAAAAAGAAAAAGAAAGGAAAAGCGAAACTGCTCGCTTTATATAGACGTTTTTTGACTGTCACGCTCGGGACTTCAAAAAGTTCCACCAAGTTCCATGGATTTTCATTGGCTTTTGCTTAATAGTATGGCTTTCAGCATATGATATGGCTCAAAGGGACTATCACGAAAGGAAAGGAAAGGGGGTGTGCTTGGTGGTCAAGTAAACAAATGTGCTGCGGCGGTAGTGGTACGTGTCTCTCACCATGCGGAGCTGCACCCTCCGATGGTATCGGCGCTTGTTTGTGAGTGGGGCCGTGCACGGCACCGTGTCAAGCGAAAACAAAGACACGAATGCGAATGAGCAAGTACATTCACGGAAGAAATGCTTTTCTGTGAGCAGTAAATGACGGAAATAGGAGTGACTGACAAAGTAGACAATTTATCATCAGTGAATGTTGAGAACACACTCCACCCAGCAGCCAGTTTACATTCCTTCACCCAACAAGACAAACAACGTGTGTATATAGCGTAGTTCACAGTACTTTTAATATTGTCTTTTGACTGTGTGTGTGGCACGTAATGTTATGTGTGTGCGGAAAAAGATGCCCCCATCGCTGCACTTTATAATAAAGACCCGTTATCTTCTATGTTTAACCGTGCTCGTCAACTGTTGCTTTACCATTGTCGCTATCCGCCAACAGTTCTCTCCTCCATCCTCCATCCCTGTTTATGCTACTGCTAAAGTTCTATCCTCCATCCCAAGTATGTGCTGCTGCAGATAAGTTGGCCCGCTCATTAAAAGTATCCGCTGCCGCTAGTGAAATCGACTCATTCCTTCATTGTTTTTCATTGCTGCCGATAAAGTAAATCGGTTCGTTTGTTTTTGTGCGGTTCTACGTTCTTTTAAAGCAGCGTTCAAGATCCATGGGGACGATCAGAAGAATAACACTACAAACGATGACTTCCTACAACTTCTGACACTTTTGCGCGTAATTTGTTGCTCCATTGATCACCTTGTTCACTTGCCATCCCTTTGTGCATTTCGAGTGCAAAGTCAATTGGCCAAATCGTTGCGTCACAATGCGCATAGTTTCCGTTTCAGGGGAAAGCTGTTGGAACGTTCAAGATTTGACACACGCGTAACTTTGTCACTATTTAAAAAAGAAAGATCTGTGTTGCGCTCCTCACTCCTAGACTTTTGCATCCTGCTGATTTACGTCCGTTATGCTTGTCGTTATTGTGAGTTAGTGCATACGCGTTCATAGCCTTCGTTTTGTTATGTAATAAAAAGAGAGATGAAGCGAATTCTCCCCTATTGTTGCCTACTATTTCCACAGCAAAATACACATTGTGTCTCTGATCGTCTCTTTGCAGACTATTTGTCGTTGCCGAATTAAGATGTTATAATAAAGCCCGAGAGAAAAATCCTGCTCTTTTGCAGTTGCTTTTTATATACGTTAAGAGCACCGTTTACTGTGTATTACGTCCCATTCGGCCCTTCTGGTATAAATTACGATCCGCTTAATTTTACTATGTGTCTTGCCTAGAGATGCCACAGAAAAGTGTGCTGGGGACGAGCAACTTCTTCATTACAAGACTTCTCCAACAGTAATTTCATTCACAACCGGTGCATTGACTGGTGGCAAGGTGGCATATCAACTAAAGTTGGCAGGGATAGTAATATGTGTTTGCTCTTGGACTCCATGCGTCTTATGTAGGGCTTGTCGTAAAATGGACGCTCCAAGGCTACCATATTCTGGTAATTCTAAATCACCCTATCTTGAGCCACTGATTCGGTCAGTATATGGAAATGTTAACCAAGCTCATGTCACCTTTACCAATAGGTCAAGAAGGACTTAGTCTCTGGATCACTTTCAAAGGCATTGCATACACCGTGGGCGACGACTGATAATGAGCGGCGAAATGGCTATCTGTCCCTCCAATAGGGATCGTCGCTTAACAGAAATACTCATAATTCCTAGATTTCAATGGAAGTTTTCCCAACAGTGGATCATGATGTTTGGGGAATCGTTTGGTCATATAAATGTGTGGACAGTAGCATATCATCAAATAAAAACTTGAAGGAACAAGATGGGCGGTGGATTTGAGGAAATCACAACGTTATTTGCCCGACGTTGGTCAACATCCAAACTTGGGTTGAATCGTTTTTTTAAATGCGTGCTTCCCGTTTTTGCACCATCATCTCATCGATTAAAAAGGCCTCACAATTTCTTTTTGGTAAAAGGTCTAAATCTCGCCCTGTACGTGGCTGGACACGCTGATGATTACGCCTTGCGGTATCAATCGACGCTCAAGCGAGGCGTGCTCTTTAAATCCCATTATGTTATCGAACAATTGATGAAACACCTTGTAGCCGAACAAATTGCATAGTAGACAGTCTGCAAGAGAGACATTACCGAAACTACAATAACGTTTATGTGCAATACAGTAAAGTGTATAACAATCCAATAGAATCTGTACAAACGACCCAATCTGGACGCATAACCAAAGCAAGGAGACCCCCGATATGTGTACATACAAGCAATGATGTATGGCGAGGAGGTGGACTACGATGCCCTTGTGAAAACAAAGCCTGGGCGAAAAGGAAGCGAAAGTGGAACACTAAGAAACATGAACAAAGAGATAGCAAGGGTGAGTGTTTTTCGGCAACAGCGCAAAGAATGTGTCATTTCCATTGCTTAATATAAAAGACGCATTAATTTGGGCTGCAAGAGTCTTTCTATCAAGTGATATAAAATAATCTAGAGATAAATAGTCTAATGTAAACGAACAGTAACGCAGCTGGACATAGTTGTACATGCTGCATAAATAGCGTTCTGTTACGTACTAGATACTACTTTTTTTCTTCCCCGCGCATGGGTATCTTTTAAAAGAGATTTGGCAGGAGTAGCGCGGGCTAAACATAGGTGATTGATGGACATCTTCGGGACTTGCAGCAGCACATGGAGACACAAGCATTGTATCTATACCAGACAACAATAGTATTACCGTGCTTGCACAGAACGATCTGTTACTGACTAGATTTGTGCGTAGCAATTACTATGAGGTAACTTCTTCTCTCTTTGCATTCACACCTCCACCTCTCTGCTATTATTCTGTGTATACTACTAGTTCTCAAATAAACCCACATCATCTAATACGGATAAAAAGGTCTTTAGCTCCATTTTCGAAAACACACCAAGTTTACTGCTACATACACACAAAAAGTAAGAACTTGGGTGCCAAAATGATGTATGTAAATCACTCTTGCCGATACACTTAATATAAAGAGATGTCACCAACGAAGAGTATATGGCATTGTGGATATTATGGATCTATGCTAAGTACAACAGTACATTAATAGGAACTTTGAAGAATACGATTCACAGTTACAATATGTGGCATGATATGCATGCAGTATGAGCTGCTGCTGCAGGAGCTGTTGGTGGCGGCACCGTGCGCATGTGCGCTACCACCACTCACTTTACAAATTATGAAATTAACTCCAAAGTGCTTTAAAACAAAAGGCGGAATGGCTAACTATTATGGCAAAGGAAAAGAAGGCTGGTTTATAATATAAAAATCTCTTCTCTCCTAGGACGGTTAATGTCCTTTTTGAGCGCTCTTTCAAAGACGCAAGAAGAGAGGCGGTCCAGCAACCTTTTCCTACTTGATCTACGAAACAGCAACAGCATGATGCTATGATATTCGTGGTACACGGGGTCGTCGGCGTTTTATCCTGTGTACGGATGTGAGCTATTCTAAGAACACGGTGCATATTATTACCTGTATCATACAGGCCCGTGCTTGCATGTATGATATTTTGCAACAAGTCCCGTTGACATCATAACTTTCAGAGGTGCTGGATGACACCAGAAGATGAGCCAAGCAAGGGGGTGGTAGGGTTGAGGGGTTAAAAGTGAAAGAGAGTGTGTATCATACGCAAAGCTTTTTTCTTCCAAATGGTCATTCTTGGCACTGTTGCCAAAGATGGGCTGCTACATATGTACAGCTGCACTATACAAGGATTTATGACATCAATCATGGTGGTAGCATCCATTCTCGCTTCAGAATCCGGTCAGCCGCAGTAGAACAGTGTACTAACAGTGCATCATTATACCAGAGGTGTTGCCGCAGCTCTTCTAACAGCATTGATCTAAAAACAGCATCTCTTCCCCCTCCCCCCCCCAACCTCACGTGTCGTACCTTCGTAGTACTAGTAGTGCTGCATTTGACTGATTATCAAGAGCTCCAAAAAAAGTAAATCAATCAATCAACCAGCTTTCACAAACATGTACGACTCAAATGACAAATGGGCCACAGAAATAATCTGTCGTCACAGTTGTTGGTCTAAAGTTGGGGTAAAGGGTGGGTGGGTGGGTGGGGGTTATGTCTCATATGCATGTCAGGCGTTCAGACCAAAAAAAAGGGTCCTCTTCATTCCAACAGAGTTTCGCAATGGAGAACGACGACCATGTCCCAGCAAGAGCTTTCAAGAAAGCTGTCGGTGACCAACACTGGCAGTAGCGACAAGCACGACAACGCCATACAGAACGACTTGCGATGACGTTGACCAAAAAAAAAAATAGGGTTTGACCACAAACGTTAAAAAGAGAGCGAGAGAGAGAGAGAGAGCGTTATGCGGGGACTGAGAAGTCTCGACGCTCTGGTAACAGAAGGGAGAGATCGGCAAATGAAAAACTTTTCATGTTTTAACCGTTTGTAGACTGCGCTCTTTTCTTCTTCTTCCTTCTTTTTAACTGTCTTTTTTTTTCTTTCTTCCCTTTTCGCCTAAAGAAAAAAGAAAACAACCACACTTCTTGCCACAGACACTTTCTCAACGCCTGTTGGTCTTTTTCTAACCATTCAACTCTTGTCATAACCTCCTTGGTCTGCCCACCATCCCGTCTCACGGAAACCTCAAGCAAGCCTTTGTACGTCGCCGAACAGTAGTACCCGTACAAGGTTACAGACCCTTCCAACCACCTTGAACAGCAGCAACATCCACCTATTCTATTCTTTCCATCGTGCTATGCATTCTGGCGTTCCTCCTGCACCTCCGCCTGCTCTCTACTGAATCCTAGCCAAGAAAATTTTGTATAAGCTTTCTCCCCCCCCCTCTTCTCTGTCTCTCTTTCTCTTTCTTAGAATCAATTACTCTTTTATCTTTATACAAACCAACGCGTCGTCATCATCATCATCATCAACATCATCCACAACAACAACAACAACAACAAAAGTAATTAATCAAGCAACACACACACACACTTTCTCTTAATCATAATGGTCGATCTTGCTACTCCGTGCCAAGGCGACAACTACTCGGCGCAGCAAGGATGCTTCGAAGGACCCGAAAAGTTACTCGAAGTATGGTTCTCTCCCTCCGCCCAGCGGCTCGCAGATCATCAGGATCTGGACTACTTCAACTCTTCTGAGGAAGACGATGGATCAAGCAACAACGACGACGAAGACAAGTCAGAAGCCATTGCGCGCTTTAGTCCTCCCCGGCCACATCGCCGTGGCGAGTATCCAGTACACCATCATCACAACGCTAATAATATCAATACCGGATTACGCGTGGTTCCACGGTCTGTGTGGGACGACGTGTTGGCACTTGTCAAGTGCACGGTCCTGAACGTAATTACAAATGACCATGTGGACGCCTATCTATTGAGGTATGTACCAAAAGAAAAATTCGTTTTATGACGTAATGTCGCGCACACAACACAGCCAATGAATCAATTCATTCAAGGGGTACAAGCATGCTGATTAATATGAACAATACACCCCACCGTTCCATAGTGAGTCGTCCATGTTTGTATATCCTCACAAGCTCATCCTCAAGACATGTGGTACGACCACGCTTTTATTGGCCCTTCCCCGTATTTTGGAGGTTGCCCATCAATACTGTGGCTTTGAAAAGGTGTGGCGTGTTTTCTATTCCCGCAAGGCATTCATGTTCCCAGAGAGACAGGTCGGACCTCATCGTTCCTGGGACAGCGAGGTTGAGTTTCTCAACAAATATTTTGGTATGCATAAATGTTTTGTTGTTGTTGTTGTCTGCGGCTAAAACTAACCGTGTGTGCGTGTGTGTTTTCTTTGTTTACTGTGTGTAGACAACGGCTCGGCGTATACCATCGGCAAAGTGGCAACGGATCAATGGCATCTCTATATTACCAAGCCGGCCGATGATGTGCTTCACCATAACGGCGTTGCTCCGCTTGCTGTTGAATCCTCCTCCCCCAAACGCCATGCAGCACCAGCAGCAGCAGCAGCAGTAGGTGAGATGAATGAAAGAAGGGTGGATCGAGAAATCATCAGTAGCGGTCAGTCGACCCCGGTGACTGTCGAGAACCCTTCGCCATTCGGCACTGGTCACACGCACGCTGACCAGACGGTGGAAATCCTGATGCGACGGCTGAACCCTGAAAAGATGCAAAAGGGATTCTACCACGATCCCAGTCTAACCGAGTTGGGCACGGTGGGCGGCCAGTTCGTGGACCAGTTGACAGGCATTGGAGCGTTGTATCCAGAGGCCCAGATCGACTCGTTCTTGTTTGAGCCCTGCGGATACTCGTCCAACGGTCTCCAGGACGACCGCTACTTTACGATCCATGTCACCCCCGAGCCTGACTGCTCGTACGCCTCGTTCGAGACCAATATACCCGTGGAGGAGTCTCATGCGACCGCAGGCGATGGCCAGAGCCCCATCGAAACGCTCGTCAGCCAAGTGACAAACATCTTTGATCCTGAATCGTTTACGGTGACATTCTTCACCTCGCACCACCACAAGGATAACCATAGCCACAGTCACATGGTGCGCTCGATGGGGTCGATGCCAGGCGGCTACAAGCGCTCGCACCGCATCCTGTACGAGTTCGACGGCTATGATCTGGTGTACGGCCATTACACCAAGGAACAGCAGCAACATTGAACAAGTCTGATAGTGGCAGTAGTAGTAGTAGTAGTAGTAGTGACAATAAAGAAGTCCGTCAACAATTGCACCATGTCTATCACATAATCGCCGTCTTTTGAATGGCCCCGCAACAACTGGGTGAAACATGCCGATCCCTTTGCGTTTCTCGAGTGCGTGTGCCCATATTTTTAATAATTGGCATAGATTACCCTTATTTCCACGGTTTCTTTTAACTCTGCGGGGGTTTTTTTTCCAGCTTCATCCATATTGGATGGGCAACGAGTGGCCTTGTACAACGTGTAAAATGACTTATTTATTTTTAGTGTCCGTAGGCTTTTTTTTTTTTTTTTTTTTTGCTCCTTCCAAACCCGAAGCGTGCTGGCAGTCGTGGGCAGTGAGTTAGCAGCAAACAGCAAATAGCAGCAAGCAGAAGCATTTGGTACAAGAGAGAAACCGTTTCTTTTTTTAACTTGTCTTTCTTCTTACATACTTATCCACATCACACACCCTCCCTTCTGTCGCCCTACTGCCTATCGCGGGCTTTTCACACTCCTTTTATCTTCAGCTGGTCTATTTCTATTTTTCTCTCTCTCCTCTCCTCTCCTCTCCTCTCTTCTTCTTCTTCTTTCCACCCCGCACTCCCACTCAAAAAGAAAATCTTTCTTTGTTACCTCATGAGGCTGGAGCTTACTCAAGCAGCGACAAAGATATTCAAATTCTTTCTGATAAGTTACGCGATCGTCTCGGTCATCTACACCGCCGCGTATCTGTATTCGTCCTACAGCGGCAATCACCATGGCATCATTCCGAGAGCACGCGAGCAGCAGGCCCCCATTCAAGGTTCCCTTCAGCAACAGCAGCAACAACAACAACAGCAACAACAGCAACAACTGAATGAACATACCGTTGTCTGGTCAAACGCTCAAGGCTCCATCCAAGCCATGCCCGAGAATTTTGTAATGACAAAGATATTCTCGGATGCCATGAACCCCATGAATCTGACACCGTACTTTTTCCGGGCCAAAGCCCAGCTCGACAAGGAGGACATTACCATGGCAACGCTTGTTACACGCAACCGCTTCCAAGTGCTTTCTCGACTTGCGACCAACCACAAAGGTAAGAAAATTAGTGTATTGGGGTGGTGGGGGGGTACAAAGTGAGACTCATTAATTAAATTATTTCGAAACATTGCAAACTATCGTCATTGGCTCTTTATTTAGGACCGATTTCTGCTGCTGTGCATATCAACGATGACGAGACCAAGGACGAGGTCATGAAGGAGCTTCGAGACTTGTACGCGGGAAACGCAGACATGCAGCAATACGTCGACCTGCATCTGATCATTGACACGTACGACCGCCAATTCAACCTGTGGCGCAATGTCGCAAAGCTGTTTGCACGCACGGATTATATCATGATGCTCGATGTGGACTTTCATCTGTGTACCGACCTCCGAAAATCAATCCGATCCAACCCCGATATCATGGACCGCCTGCGCGACGGCCGTACTGCCCTCGTTGTCCCTGCATTTGAGTTTGAGAAGCAGGCGGACGGAAACGACTGGCACACATTCCCGACCAATAAGGACGACCTGGTGCAGCTCGTCCAAGACGGCAAGATTGGCATGTTCCACAACAATTGGTTCAAGGGTCACGGATCCACAGACTACCCGCACTGGTACGAAACCGACGAACTTTACCAGGTCACCCACTATGACTTTTCCTACGAGCCCTACATCATCTACAAGAAGGAGGGCTCGCCCTGGTGTGATGAGCGCTTCATTGGCTATGGCGCCAACAAGGCTGCCTGTCTCTATGAAATCTACTTGTCCGGCATTGAGTACTGGGTCTTGCCCAATGACTTTTTGATTCACCAGACCCATCGCTATCCCGAGGATGCACGCAGAAAAGAGGTAATGTGTGTGTAGAAGAGTATGGATGGATTGGGCTTATCTTTGTGGGACTAGCGCATTAACACAGCACCTTTACAGCGCCAGTACAATCGCAAGCTGTACATCAACTACCGTGAGGAGGCGTGTCTACGCTATGCACGCAAGTTTTTCATGTCAGGCGAATGGGAGACGACCAGAGCCGACAACCTCAAACACGAGTGTGCAAAGATTCATGGGTTCCAGAGGAACTTTATGACGACTACCCAGTAGAAGAAAGAAAACCACTCACTCATCATTTACACACACATATCCGCATTGATCCCCAAACCCTCACCAATCTCTCCATTTTCTACATGTGCATTCCCTTTTCCGCTTCCTTTGTTTCGTTCTTGCTGTTCCCTTAACCCTAACTTGTTGTAATACTACTTCTACTACTACTACTACCACTGCTACCAAAGTACGGCTCTTTTCTCATTATTCCTGGTTTGTAAACACACTTACTCTCGCTCTCTCTTCATATAGACTTTATTTCTCTCTCTCTGTCTCCTCCTCCTTCTTCCTCTCTATTCAGACAACTTATATATTCTATCCCTTTCTTTTCTTTTTTTCTTTAATTATACATATATATTTATATAGTATCCTCATTTCGTTTCTTAGTAACAAGCGTGGTTTCATCAAACTTTTTATATAAACTCTATTATGCCGCCTGACAAACAAAATTGCACGTGAAAAAATGTAAAAGAAAGAGTCTCTTTTCAGGAGACTTGTATGGAACCCACACTACTCTTTTGTTGTGTTTCCCCTTACGACAACAGCAATGCCCCCAACAGTGACAGCTACAACAACAACAACAACGATAGCGGGAACAGTAACTGTCCCTGACGACAAAGAAAACAACAATTGGCCAGCTTTGCCTGAAAACATGACAGCTCCTGTCATTGGCAATGTAAAGTCCATTGCATGGGATGTCGCTTCTTTTTGGTCCAACGTAAAGTTTCTCCCTTTCTTTACTTTTAATTGAAAAAAAAATTATTGCCATGTTGCTTAACTAATTGGAATGTTTTTTTAGAAACTTTATGACCAGCTCGTTGATCCCGCGAACCCTAAAGCATACTATAACCACCTTCTTAAAGTTGCAACGAATTATGAGCAATGGGCCGAGGCTGCAGCCTTGTTAGACGATCTCGAAGGTAATAGAAGGATGTAGTAGCATGGGTGAACTAAATAACGATCGACTCTATAAGCATATTAATACTATTATCATTAAAAAACAAAAAAGGCCTTGATGCTTGGAAGCGCGATCCAATGGATAAAGAATACGACTGGGAACTTATCCAGACTCGACTACAACAACTCCGTCGGGTCCGTGAAACCACGCAAAGCCAATCGGCCATGATCTTTACACTGCGCACGAGCTTGAGCAGAAACTTGGGCGACATGGGCAACTCTAAGCTGTACGCGCACAGCCGGATCGGGACCAAGACATTGATCTCGTCGTATATCGAAGAAGTCGTTCGTCAACTCAACTGGGTTTGCGACGCACCGAGTCCAGAATTGGACTTGCGCGCCAAACATGAATTCTTCATGACCATCCGTCAAAGCTTTGGTCGTACTGCACTACTGCTGAGTGGTGGTGGTACGTTGGGTCTGAATCATTTGGGGGTCATCAAATGCTTGCATAGTGCGCGCTTGTTGCCACGCATCATATCTGGTGCGTCGAGTGGAAGTATCGTGGCAGCCATGTTGTGTACCAAGACAGACGAAGAGATTCCTTACATGTTTAATCCTACTGGGATCAAATTGGTAAAACAACCATAAAAGAATAAAAACAACCGAAAATAGTAATGAGGGGAGGGAGGGAAAAAAAAAGAAAAAAAAACTCAGTTGCATTTCATCTAGGATGTTTTCGAGCGAAACGGACATCCGGATACACCATGGATGAGACTACAGCGACTCATGTCAAAAGGCCAATTGTACGATATAGAGATTCTGCAGGATGCCATGCGCTGTAACCTTGGTGATATGACATTTCAGGTTAGTAGAACCTTGTTATGAAAAAAAGGTTGTTGCTATGAAACGACAGTCCTGTTTGCTAAGCACAACAACGATATAGGAAGCATTCAACCGCACACGATGGATTCTGAACATTACAGTCAGCTCGTCCACTGTGTACGACATGCCCCGCCTCTTAAATTATCTCACAGCCCCCGATGTCATTATTTGGTCAGCCGTGTAAGCATTTATTACACAGTTGAAGAGCGCGGACAAAAAGTTCTTTCCGCTTACAAAAGTACACATCTTATTTTTGGCAGAGCGGTCTCATGCTCGGTTCCTTTCTTTTATGGCTCGTCACAATTGTATGCAAAGGACAAAAATGGAAACATAGTACCATGGAATCCAAGTGGTTAGTGTTATTTTTGACAAACTATAACGTCATTGTATCCAAAAAAAAAAAAAAAAAAAACTCATGTCATCAATAGAGCAACTTTATATCGATGGCTCAGTAGACAAGTGAGTTGGGATGAGACGATGTCTTTTAGCACGTTAATATAGTTCATGCTAATTGTGTGTATGAATATTGATGTTACTAGCGACCTACCGATGAACAAGCTATCCGAGCTATTCAACGTCAACCACTTTATTGTTTGTCAGGTGAACCCTCATGTGATACCCTTTCTTCCTAGAACAAATTCCCCTTCCCGTGCACGGCAAGCTGCTGGTTTCTGTATGCACATGGCCAAATCCGAAATCCAGCATCGTTGTACTCAGGTAGAAAAAGAACAAACTCTATTGCTATTATTTGTTGACACGTGGTACTTACAGAAATAAACAAGTATATAGTTGACAGAGCTAGGCGTGGCACCCTCTTTCTTCAACAAAGTCCAATCCATCATTTCACAGAAATACTCGGGCGATATTACCATCATTCCCGAAGTGAGTTATGGAGACTTTCTTAGAGTTCTTTCCAATCCTACCAATGATGCTGTAATGGATGCTATTATCCGTGGTGAACGCGCAACGTGGCCAAGTAAGAAGAAGAAAAGTTTGATACTTGTTTACTGTGCGCCTTTGGGCTTGCTGGAACTCACATATATTAATCAAATCCGTAAAACACTCATCTTTCATAGAAATTTCCATTATCAAGAACCATTTACAGATCGAACTCACGATTGATGCTATCCTTTATCGTCTTCGATTAAAACGATTAGCTGAATTACCCTTCAATACTGGGAATGCAAGCAATAGCACGCCGTTGATCAGTTCGGTGTCTTCGACAACGTCATCCCGGCCTACATTGGAAAACAGAGCATCGTCGCATCTCGATATACCCAGAGGAAACCGAGAACGTCTATCCGCTCAAAGAGGATTGACCATGACAGCACAGCGTGCAGATAACAACAGCAGCAGCAGCAGCAGCAACAACGACACCAACAATAAGACTGAGAATAATACAAATGATGCATACATAATAGAATGATGATGATGATGATAAAAGCACATTCGGGGCATATATAATAAATGTATTTCTTGTTTGGAAAAAAAATTGGATAACTGTACATGAGGAGGGAAATGAAGATGAAATGATGAGGATGATGGTTATGTTGTTGTTGTTGTTGTTGTTATTGTTGTCAAAACAAGACAGAAATTGTCATCGCATAATAGCATCGTCATCGTCGCTATTATTGTTGCTGTTGTTGGTTTTGAGTTGTTGATTTTCATGTTGAAGTGCCTGGATGCCAGTAGAAGTTAGAGCGGAAGGTTTCTGTAAAAGGAAAATAATGCTAAATGTGGATCTGACTCATTACCTGTATGTAAGCAAGTGCTAACTGAAGTACCCGGCCTTTGTTAGGCCGTTGTCCCGGCTGCTGAGAAGCATTGGGAACGACTTCAGAGATCTGGAGGATCGTGTTGTTGATATTATCCCGTCGTTTCCGCTCAATATGGTTATGGTTTTCCCGGCGCCGTTGAATGCGTTCAATGGCTGTCTTGCTATCCACCTCATTTCTATTATTATTTGTAGTTGACAGGGATTAGCACGCCTGTGAAAACCCGCAACCAGTCATTTCACGAGGAGAAGAAGGAAGGGGGGGTGGGGTGCTTACCTGTTGAGTATATTGACGCCATTCACACGATATGAAGTCTGCCGTTTTTTGGTTTTCTTCTTTGGCGTTTGTGGTGACAAGTCGGTAGTGAAATTGAGAAATAATGCCTGAGGTGGCTGTTGTTTGTTCATTGCGTCTTCGGTGGAAACCATAGTAGTGATAGTAATAGTAATGGTGTTTGGTAAATATCGCGTATATATGATGTCCGTATGATGTGAGAGAGAGAGAGTGTGTGTGTGTGTGTGTGCCGAAAGGGTGGGGTTTGAAGGAGAGAAAAGAAAGAAAAGAAGAAATTACAGGGCAGCACAGCTAACACTACTCATCCACCCGTCTCTCCTTCTCTGCTAGGTAGCTAGCTTGAACGGTTAGCCAATTTTCGGCCAGCAACTTTTCGATCGGCGAGCAAGATGCTCATGCTGATTGGCAAGGACCCGTGGGAAACTTACATTCCCGATGTCGGTGAACCGCTCCTCCTGAAAAAAAAGTAAAAATATTTTTTCAAGTGGCACGTGGATACTCAAATTGTTCGCTTTGCTTCGATATGGTATGGGGCACGTCCCATCTCTCATGACTTCTTTTTTTTTAAGAAGAAAATCATATGCATGTTTGTACGTACTGGAGAGCAGAACTCTATTTCTGTTAGAGAGAAGAAGCCGGTCACGACCGAGTAATAAAAGGTTCTCCTTCCGCCTTCCTTAATTTATGTTGACACGGTGACAAGGAAATTTTTTTTTTTAGTGGTGCGTGATGTAGTATTAAGAGGATATGGAACAGAAGCGCCGCTGCCGCTCAAGTCAAGGCTTAGAGCGAGATCGGCTAATATATTTTACTACAAGTTTTTTGAATATTATACCGAGAAACCAAGATACGTTGTCTCACTTGTTTACTAGGTAAATGTCGATTTACTTACCATGTAGCTTCTTCAAAGCCTTTAGGAAAGATGGGGAAGTAAGCAGATAACGATCTATGATATGGCGGAGCCCAGGCACCTGGTACTTGCTTTTGTGCAATATTAGCGGAGCATGAAAATGGCATTAGATCGTGGTGTGTGTGTGCGCGGATACTGGATCTTCTTACTACAGGTTTTTTCCTTAGAAACGATTAATGATTTTTATCAAATTAGCACTGGCATCGAGAGATTATCGACATGGCGCATGGATAATTATAAGATGACGGCTTGTTATTCTACTTTTCATCGTAGTTTTATTTTTTTGTTGGATAAATATGAGTGATGCCAAGCAATTCATAGGCATTTTGAGACCTAGACAACGCCCGGATATAATAGAAAGCAAACATCTATTCTGATTCAAGTACACTTCATCTTCATTAAGATGTACGCTGTCTATACTCCTCAGCTATCCAAACAAGATAAAACTACAATGGAAGACGTGCTATATGACCAAGAACTTCCATTCGCAAATGGATATGACGATTATAATGGCGAAGCAGAGACGATGATGTATGCAGAGGGAACGATCGAAGCAGAAGATCCTTACCCACATTGTCCACATGGTTTGATGGGGTGAAAATGGTATATGCTCTCTTGTATCAATGGCAAGGGCAGTTAATAACTCGGAAAAGGTAATATACAATTTTGCCTGAAATCAAGCTTGATCATTGCTGATGCGATAAAAAACAGCATGAAATCGATGAAGCTGGGGACAACCAAGAAAATCACTCTCCTGTAGCTTTTAAACATCCAGTAGCAGAAGACAGAACGGAAAAAAAGAGGCTGATTACAATGGTTCGAGTTATACTATAATGCGCTGCTTGGAGAGTGGTGTTGTAGGTCCCAGCATGATAGGAAATACACCGATGTGAATATCATCGAGTTTATTGATACATACCATTCATAACGTAAATTTAAGCGCGGCTGGAGCTGGTCGCCTGTTACGAATGCCTGAATGTACCGCTGAACGATATTACGCCCGTTTCCGGGATGGGGGAACAGTACCTCCCTAGCCAACTTAAAAAGAAGCCTGGAGCAGTGCCAGTCCTAATTACTGATCACACTATTTCTCCAGAATATATATGATTCGGATCCTATGATACCCTTACACTCAATCAAGCGCAGGAAAAGCTCCATGAACATTTATTAAGTGTGTTCATCATGCAAAGCGGATTACAAAAGCATCTTTTGAAGCACTGTGGCCTTACGATGAAGAATCTACGGAAGTTTAAGGAGTACCGGGTGAGGATTGCGCGGATTTTTTCCCGTGTGCTACAACGCCATCATGGCGATTGCGACACTCCAAACACTCCAGACATTCCAAACGCCTACAACGTCATCATGACTCTAAATACTCCTGTTCCTTTAATAGTCCTTTGTTAGTATATTTATAGAGCAACTGTTTATTTTTGTGGAACTATTTGGTTTATTTGAGGAAAAATGGAGTGTCGAGTCACTTTTTTGGAGTGTCCCTAGTGATACCCATAATTCTTTACGTCAAACGAAAAAAAGAAGATAGAAATAAAAATTGATAGAGTACAGTACATGTGTATTACAACAAAAGAACTATTTTGTACTTCTAAATAACTAGAAAAGATGATAATGTATAATTATTCTCAGTTCACATGGAACACAAACAAAACATACGTAGCTTGATTTTCGCATTTTTCAACTACTCATCTATCGAATGTGTCGGCATAACAATCAAGATAGGACCATAAATGCTGTGAGGGTAAGTGACAACTAAACGTAGTAGCCGGAGCATTTGAAAAAGTCAATTTATCTGTATAACCACATGCACCAGCAATGATCATCAAAAAGGGTGAGCCAGAAAATTTTACCAAAACAATCATAGCAAAAGAGAAGAACTGTGATTGTTCCAAAATCGGTATTTTTATTTTTTTCACACTCTATCAATGTTCATGTAACAGTGTAAAAAGAAAAAGCCAATTCTATGTCTTAAAAAAGTAACACTTTAGGCATGTTTGTTGCGTCGATACAACGAGAGAAAGGAACTGGTGCGAAGATGTACGTGAGTCTCTACAGCAGCACGGTGTTAATCCTCGAATATACTGTAACGATGCGATGAGTAGTACAGTAATGTTTGTGCGTATTAGGCTGCCAAAGATTGATGGTCATAAAAGTGATAGTAGCAATGATGAATTCTTATAGTTCCCGTTTTGTGGAAAGTACTAAAAGTACAAATGGCAATGAATGATATGCTTGTCAAGAATATATGCGTAGAAAATGTATATCAAAGAAAGAGAGAAAGAACATGGAAGGTTGTGCATGTAAAAAAAAAAGAACAAAAGCGAAAAGCTTAATCGAAGACAATCTTGTTGTTCGCTGGCTTTCCTTCGCCACTCAATGCCTTTGCCATCATTTCCTGTTGTTTTAGCTTGGCCTGCCAAGATGGATGGAACTCTTCCACATTCTGCTTTGGACTCTGCTGTTTGACGCTGGGTGCTCCATCGCCCGACTTTTTGCCGTTGCCCTTCTTTCCCAAATGCTGCTTTGCCTTTCTTGCCTCCTTTATGTGGTTTGCTTCTTTGCCATACAATTCCTCGAGTTTCCTATACCAGCCGCAATGGGATATTAAGTAAATCATCACTTGGAAACTAGATACACAACAGGATACTTACTTTCGTCGTTCTCTTTGACCCATTCTGTTCTTTTTCTTTTCACCATGATAATACTTGTCGAAATTGGGATCATCCCACTTCAATCCAGACTTGGTTTTCTTCTTCTTTTTCGGCTGACTGGGTTTTTGCTCCTTATTAATATCATCATCCTTTCCGCTTTCATCGTCGCTGCCACCATCGTTGCTTTCATCATCGTTGCTTTCATCATCGTTGCTGTCATCATCGTCGCTATCGTTCGATCCACCCAATGTTTCAATAAACAAAGAGGATTCCAAATTCTTCTCTTCACGATTCTTCTGTTTCTTCTGCTCCTTTCCTCCGCTTTCTTCATTTTTCCGTTTCTTGCCAGTTGCTGGTGCTACTGTTGATTCTGTTGTTGTTGTTGCTGTTGATGGAGCGGCGGTGGGATTCAAAATATGTTGTATATAGCTGATAAGCTTTTTATATTGTTCCTGCGCTGTTTTATGTCGTAATATTCTTGCACCAAGGTCCAATACGGTCTGATTCGTTTCTGGCGTTGCCGGTTCTGCTGCTAAAAAGCTTACTGATTTGACCACCTCGTTTTCGCCGAGTTCTTTATGTTTTAACAACTTGTTTCTTAGTGAACGATCGACTAAAGCATCCAAATCCAGGTTCTGTATTTCACCGAAAACAGAGTCAATTAAAAACTCTTTGGGTTGTATAATATATGGATGTAAGGTTTACACATAAACAGCTGAAGCGTGCGTACCTTTAACAATTCGCGTTCATTTTCGAGTCGTGGGATATCTTCTTTGGTCAGTTTTTTCTGTTTCTTTTCTTTGCCTTCGGCAGCAGGAGAAGACACTTCTGTTGCTTCACTAATAGAGGAGCTACATGTCAACATCAAGAATAAAAAATTTGCACCATGTGCACCAAAAGAAAAACGTACATAGACGCAGCTTTCTCGGCCTCACGAACTCGCTTGATCTGCTTTTGTAGTTCCATGGCCTTGCATTTTTTAAAAGTCGCCTTCAACTCTTTTCGAGCGTGAAACTATAAAAAGCACGTATTAATCGTTTCACTCTTTGCTTAAAAAGTAAACAAGGAATAAGACGGGGATATATATTTTACCAGTTTGGCATCGATCTTTTGCTTTTGTAATTCTAGTAATTCCTGCTTTATTGTTTCTGTACGCTCTGGATTGTATTTAGGATCAAGATTGGTGGTGCTCAACTCAGTTCGTCTTGCTAGCTGTCAAATTTAAAAGTTTTCTGTTAATAAAAAACAAATAACGATGCATAGATCCACTCTTTCTTTTTACCTTGGCAGCCGTTTTCTCGATCTCTAACGTTAAATTCTTCTTTGACGTAGGCTCCACCTATTTAGTAAAAGCAGTTTTGCTCAAATTAAATAACTAGTTGCACGTCAATTACACTATTATCATTATTGGTGATTCGATTATTACCATTGGTAACTGTGAAGATAAAAGAGGGAGAAACAAAGGAAAAAAAATTGAAAACGCAGGAATTTTTTTTCTACAGCCAGTAACTCCCAGCTTCGTCTTTCTTTTTACCTTGACCACAACCCACCAGCCTGATGGCAGAAAAACGAAAATTTACGATACCCAGCATTGACCAAGTGGAACAAGTGCGGCAAGCAAAGCGGTCAACTAGCTTCTTCAAACCACAAAGAAGTAATGATTCCTCCAGCATTGCATCGTCAACAGCAACAACTGCAGATAATCCAACGACACCTGCTGCGCAATCGTCATCGTCTTCTGCAACTTCTTTCAATGCATCACCTGCTCCAAAAGCATCAACAACTACCCAATTGTCTACAAAAGTCACTAATATTACGACTTCCGCAAATACATCAGCACCAACACGTCCTTCCACCACAACCTATGCGCGTCCAGCAACAGAAGCAGCAACTCCAACGACAAATCGGCCCGCGTCTCAGTCACCTTCAACCCACAACAACCAAAGTAACAATAATGCAGCCGTACCGCCACCAGTGAATCGACGTACAGGCTCTGGTAATACAATTCTTGTCAATTACGATCGTCAAAAAGAAAATCCCATTCTGAAACTAGTACACAACGTACCATGGGAACCTGACGATGTGATCCGATGCGACTTTGCCGTGGGCAAAACGACGGGTGTCTGGTATCTCAGCTTACGCTACCACCGGCTTAATCCTGGCTACATTTACGACCGTATCGCCGGAGTAGCGCGGACCTATGTATTGCGCGTACTGCTCGTCCACGTTGACGTGGAAAACTATCACGAACCTTTGCGCGAACTCAATCGATCTGCCATTCTACACAACTTTACACTCATGCTGGCATGGACGAAAGAAGAAGCGGCTCGCTACTTGGAAACATACAAAGTATTGGAAAACACGCCGCCAGATATGATTCGCGAAAAGTCCAAAGAAGATTACGCAGAGACGCTTGAACGCTGCTTAACCAATGTGCGTAGTGTCAACAAGACAGATGTATTGACGCTGCGGTCACATTTTCATTCGCTGAAAGGAATTGCAAACGCACGGGCGGATCAATTGGCAATGTGTCCAGGGTTTGGTGAACAAAAGGTAAAGCGTTTACAACAAGCATTTGTACAACCGTTTATTATCAAACAAAAAAAGAAATAAGAAAAAGAAACATTTCAACAATATGAAGGGGTTATAATGTTTTGTTATCTGATATATGTATGAATGTGTGTGTGTGTGTGTGTGTGTATTTTGTATATGTGGCCGTGTCTGTGATAAATGTATACGTAAATGAAGAAACGTGCGATCGCGTTGGGCTGAGTGGGAATAGAGTATGCTATGCTGAGGGTAACAAACAGGGGAGGTTGTTAGAATAAGGTTTGTGGATAAGGATGGTGATGAGGAGGAGTAACAGTTGAAAATCCTTCATCGTCGCGGCTTCCTGGATGAAAATCATCGGGTCGAATGTCGCTGCCAGAATAATCATCGGAATAGATGCCGACGGACCGACGGCGGTCACCGTCCAGACGAATTATATCGTCGTCATCATCTTCGTCGTTGTCGTCACCACTTATCAGCGAATACGTGAAATTGCTGCTGTCATTAATATACGAATAGCCTTGAAAGACTTCCTGGACGGCATCCGAGTAAATATCGGGGTTTGATACAGGACTGAGACGTGGTGTCATGACCAAAAAGTCCCTGTCAAAGTTGCTTAAATCGGTTTCCGAACGAAGCTGAGGAACGTACTCGGGACGGATCCGTTTGTGGTACACATCGGACCAATCAAGACCAGCAAAATAAGGGTGCGATCGAATCAAAGTGGGTCCATTAGGACCTGTTCCCAGGCGCTGGGAGGATGGTTTGCGTAGCAATCCTTTGATAAAATCTCTTGTGATTGGATCAAACGCGGGTGTGAACTCCAGATCGTCCTCCATGATTCGTCGATACATTTCGGCATGTGCGGTCTCGTAGAATGGCGGTGTACCTTCAACCATTTCGTAGAGTATCGTGCCAAGACTCCAAAAGTCGACTGCGTACGTGTAGGGCTCAGACCTGAGAATCTCGGGTGCAAGATACTCAGCAGTTCCACAAAAAGTCCTGGTGCGTTTGTCATCCATGTTTTCGGCTGACGGAAATTGCCTCGAAAGACCAAAATCGGTAAGTACAATATGCCCATCTGCTGCTAACAGGATGTTTTCGGGTTTTAAATCCCTAATTGTAAACAGAGTCAGTGAGTAAAACAGATACAAAGAGTGTATAAATGCGTGAGAGTGCCGCACGTTGCATATCACAGCACAAACACACACGCGAGCGCGCGCGCGGGTTTAGAAAAAAGAACATAACACCAAGGGGGCGACGGATCTATTATTAACGTAATAGGTCCGTCACCTACGCATCTACACCCATTAGCACCACCATCACTAGCTCCCTTTCTTTACCTATACAAGATCCCCAGACTATGGAGCTCCTGAAGACCTAGCAGAATCTCCGCAGCATAGAGCCGACATCGTTCCGGAGAAAATGTATGGAACTTGGCTAGTTGTGTAGCCATATCGCCTCCGCGATGATAATCTAGCACCAGGAATAACTGGTCCGCACTTTGAAACGCATGATGTAATCGGATTAAAAACGGGTGCCGAATTTGAGCAAGCGTCGTCAAAATATCGCGTTCCATCTTGGTGTGTTCAATCTCGCGCTGATTGATTACATTTTCTTTGCTGATGGCTTTCAATGCCAACAACCGGGTAGGCGACCGATAGGATCGAACCAATAGCACCTAGAGTTTTTTAAACTTTCTCTTTCAGCTCCAAAAATACCCATTTGGTGTATCTAGAAAGTGGGAGTAGGAGATGTGTGCGTGTGTATATTTTGTTGTGGATGGTGAAGGTTGTGAAACGTGGGTAATTGGCTCTATAATAACATTATCATTGCTTCTTACCTTGCCCATGCACCCTTTACCTAGCACCTTGAGAAACTGGTAGTCCTGAATTGTAGGAGCAGGCTGTATTGATTCGTCTTCTGTACTACTGATGTATCTGGATAATGAGCTGGTTGGTAATGGTGATTCTTCCATGGAAAGTGAGGCAATGGGCGATGAAGCTCCTTCGTCAACTGCTGCTGGTGCTGTCGACGACGAAGGAATGTTGTTGCTGTAGTGACCGTTATGGATACCAGCAGGCTCTTCTATAATGCTCATTGCCGAACTTTTGCTGTCACCGCTACTGCTGCTTGTCGCTATGGAAGCAATAGGCTGTTGCCGTGGATACGAGCTTTCGGCATGTTGCTGTTGCTGCTGTTCTTGCTGCTGGTAGTCGACAACGTGATGATAGTTATCGGCAAATTCCTTTGGCGCAGCTTTATCCTCGGGGCGTTGCCTCATTATGAAATCTCGAAATAGTGATGACCGACCAACCGTGGGATCCAATGCACATTGTCGCAGATAGACTTCAATCTTTTCAGAATTAGGCTTTTCGTACTGTCGTCTGGCAAATCGTAGCAGAAATGCCCGGATACTGGCTCGTTTTCCCGTGCCATAGAGATGTATATCGGGCTCAATCAGAGGTGGCAAAGAGATTTTGGACTTGCGATAATATTTTTTCACCTGATTTGGAAAGAGGTTTTGGGATGTGTACACATTTTGAATATTGCGTATATTTTCTATATTGCAGTGTATTCTATGTGATATGCTGTACGCGCACAGTGGTAATCCTTCCATTCACTTTTTTCTCCGACATCTCTTTTCCCGTATCTTTCACCCATATCCACTCTCACAAACAAGGAATTACCTTTCGATCGAATTCAACGAAATCAGATACATAACGCACCAACGACCGGTGGTAGTGTCGATCTTCAATGATGATATTAAACACCTGCATGAACATTAGCAACGATGGGCTATGTTTCAGATAGATTTTCGTTATCCGACTTGTTATGTAATATAATATTTACCGTCAGGACTCGGCGCACACGCTTCTTTTTCTTCATGTCGTAATCTTGGACCATGAGCGTGGATTCGATTGCGGCGATCTCTAGATGAGTACCGTCATAGTGACTTAGTATGCTGTCTGTGTAAGGCACTGAAGAAGCAACAGACGATGCTAGCGATCTTGTCGAGTCGGTTGAAGTGGTGTTTGTAGTAGCAGCGTCGTTGTTATTGTCGTCGTCGACAAATTGTTGTTGCTGCAAATAACTCTCGGGTTGCCGCCGTTGCTGCTGCTGTTGCTGCTGCTGGTGCTGGTGATAGCGAGGATGAGTCGACGAGGAGCACGAAGAATCTTGATTTTGCTTTTGTCGTTGCTTTTTGGAAGAAGCGCGGCTGTCAGACTCAAAAAACGTGATTGGCAGTTTGATATTGCGCATTGAGCAGGACGAAAATTATATTTGTTGTTGTTTTTATGTAAAAGAAGGAAGAAAAAAAACGGGACGATGCGCGGGCGGAGCGGCTCGTAAAGAGAAGAAGAAAGTAAATGTGTGCTGTGGCTTTCGAGTATAAGAGAAACGAGAAGGCGGATGGGATTGGGATTTGGGGGCGGGTGTGGAGAGTGCTGTTGTTGTTGTTGTTGTCGTGGTTGCTGCTGCTGCTGCTGCTGCAAATTTGAAGAAGAAGAAAAGAGAAGATGCAAACATCTGAAAAAAGATGCGGTTGGTACATGCTGTATGTACAGTGCGGTTGGTCGGATTGGCAACACAAACTTTCAAATTCACTCGAATTACCCGGAAAGGTTGTTCCGATCCTTCCTTGTGCTAATTTTTTTTGCTGTTCCGGATGATGCGATATTGACGATCCACCCAATTTGGTTGTTCCTGAGAAGAAAGCGGCGGCCATAAACGTCGACACAGATAGTAATGTCACGCTACTATTACACTGTCATCGTCATTGTCACCGGAAATGCCTTTGTTGTGGACGACACCGTCGATGACGACATGCTAGGCCAAGCGAGCTTCATTTCGACTTGATTCGTGTTGACGTTCTTGTAGACATGGAACCGGTAATTGCACTGGGCGTTGGGCTGCGGCTCTGACGATGTTGTCACGAGCACATACGACCATTTGTGCTGGTATCGTCGCAACGTCTCCATGAGTGTCGCATCCAGCGCAGCAGCGCCATCAACGAGAACCATTGTCACGCGCGTATCCGTGTGACGATAGAGCCACTCATCTACCCCTTGCACTGTCGCCAACAGCTGAGCTCGTTTTGGTTGGAACAAGTGGAATCGTTCGTTATCGACCGGTTGTTGTTGTTGTTCCTGTCGTCGAAATATGAAACGACCGTCCAAATCCATATAGATCACACTCTCATTCGAATGACGCAGCACATGTTCGGCCAGCACCGTCAGGGCCCATGTTTTTCCACCACCTGAGGGCCCATACAAGTTGATTGTTTCGCCAAAGTGAACGCCATTTCGACCGGTTGCCATTCGAATCGATTCTTCCATGTCTGCAAGTCCCAGATTTAACGTTTCCTCTGATTGCTCAGTGGCTAGCATCTGCAGAAAAAAAAATTCAGAATATGTATCAATTGAAACTGAAATGCGGCGAAAAGATCCTAAAAACTATACAGAAAGACCACGTTACTTGGAGCGCAGATTCATGTTTTATCTGATTCAAATACTTTAGTAAGAACGGCATATTCGTGAAAAAAAGAGAAAATTCAGTGACACGCGCTTTAAATTATTAATGTTATTGTTATTATTTATATATTAGACATACACATTCATGATGATGACGTTGATGAGGATGGTTCTTCTGTTGGTGTCGTATCAGTAGGAGCAGCAGTCGCTTTCTTTTTCCTGCTTTGAGCAGAAGCTCTTTCCGAATACTGTTCTAACCGCCGTTTTCTTGAATTCCACATGGCCTTCGCTGCATTATCTAATGTCTTTTTGAAATCATTCTCGTCTGCCGATATAGAGCTTTTGGCAAGCACGTTATGTAACAGCCTTGACTTCGTTTCTTTCACGCCTGTCTTAAAGTATAACAAGTCTTGGGCAGCGATCGATGCTTGCGGCGTCATGCATGCAATGCTTTTGGCCTTCTGATATTTCGCTAAAAGCTCATCTATCCGCCTTGATGCATCATCTCTTCTGCAAGCTGATATCTAAATTTTATTCGAATACCAACAATAACAAAGCCGTGAGATGCTGCTTGCTTGCTGATTCCATAACTCTTCTCATAAGAGAGCATTTAATTCACTTACTGCATCTTGTGCAATTCGTCTCTTTCTCATCGTATGGAATTCTTCTAGTAATCTATGATATTTACATATGAGCTTCCCGGTGCCTTTTCTTCCCCACTAGAATCTCGACAAAATAATAAGAAAACTTACCCATAGGAGGTTTTCATTTCTTCCAGCTCAAAAAAGCTATGCGTCTCCATCTTGGTCTGTATGACATGAACGAATGCGTTATTTTCTAACAGCCTTTTAAACGCAAAGCTGGCACTCGCATGCTCTTTGTCGTCAAGGTATGTTGTCGCTCCGTCGATGTAGAACTGAAACATGATCCGCCATTGATCTAATAGTTATAGTTTGTTGGACATATCAACACACATGCATGAATATACAGAAATAGATTTCTTTTCCTTCTCTCCAGCCACTCTATTGTTGATAAGGATGTATACCCACCTCTCGTAACGCGGATATTACATGGATCAGGAAGTGATGGCTGAGAGAAATACATGCAATAAAGCCCATACAGTGCGCCGATCCGCGCATTTTGAACATCGCTTAAGATGTATTCTATGTAAGAGAATAGTGTTAACATGGAAACAATAACCCGGTCATTGATGTTTTTTCTTACCCAGAAATTCGTCGTAAAATCCTTGCATAAAACTCGGCCGAGTTTCCTTGTCGATCGACGTAAAGTGCACATTATTGAAGTTTAGCGATTTCCAAGCTTCCATGAAATCGCTAAACAAGTGTGTTTCTTGCTATATTTTTATACTTATATATCAGTTTTCCATCCCATAAAAGATTGAACGCGTTAAATACGAGACTGTGTAAAGATCAACTGTGGCTGCTTACCGCTCCAAACGTAGCCATGAGTAGATCAACATCGCGAATGACAGGAAGCTTCAATAGCCCACGTTGACCACGGTCAATACGAATTAGATCACTGGCTTCTAGAGAACTGACAGGGTGATCTATAGATCGCCTGAACATTATGAATAGTATTTGGTATATAAGAATAGTATAAAAGTTGAATTTTAAACAACTTGTGGGTGGCAGAATTTTTTTTTCCACACACAAACAACGCTGAGTTAGTTGTCTTGCTAACCTTGGTAATATTTACTTTTCCTCGCAAATTAATGTCATAACTACCAGTGGCATATCCCACGTATAATAAGCGCATGGTCTAGGGAAATTAGCATGGTGAGTACTGTGCTTTTCATGCACTCTGATATAGCATTGTGTAGTCGATCTTTGTCTCGAGAGTACTAATATACGGCCATAAAACGATAAAGTAGTAGACTTAATGATAGCTATGAGGGCGTATCGCTCGATCTGGTGGCCAGACACCATATTTATCTTGCCGGAAACGAAGTTACAAAACCTTTGAGTACGTCTCAATTGTTGTATTATTCAGGGTTTTGATATTACACAATATGCATCTGCAAAGAAACTGAAGAAGAAAAGCTGTCATCCGGTTGTGTACCCTGTCTATCATCAACAGTAGGGCTAACAGTAGATATCTCCAAGAATGATGGGTTACTACTGTAGCACATCATCAAACATGTTAAGACCTATCTCATCCAAAGCTACATGAAAGGGACTCATACCAGCTTGTATATTTGTTAGGCTTTTACTACGAAAAAAGAATATGGCCGAGTAGGCAATAAAAGCAGTCAGAATTGTGCATAACTTCCAACCCCTGACGGATCTGTCTGTTATCATGCAGTTTGTATCCTATGCACAATGTTTTGACCTTGTACGACGTTGGGAAAGGATTGAGAAATTAAGTGTTAATTGCAGACAAGAATCAGCCGAAAATCCAATACACTTCCAGGTTGTTCAGAGTTATCAAAAGTGATAATAAGATAAACCAGAAACTGAAACAAATTACATACACTGACCTATCCAATGAGCTCGTTAGCAAAACAGCCAGACATTCAGGTTGGACAAAAGAAACGACGTTATAAAGTAACACTCTCTCCGCTTTTGTCAAAGGCCTAATTAGCTCCCTTTCCTATTTTTATTATTATAACCCAGTTTTGAAAGGGGCCCTGAACCCTCTTTTTATTTCAAGTGGATTCGAGAGAAAGACGAAAAGACAGTAGAGGAAGGCATGCAACATTTTTCGCAATGGCACCGAGCACAGTAACAGAACCATTCGACGCAACGAATCCAGATCGGGTCCAACAACAGGCTGGTCCTTCTTCTTTGGTCGATCGATCACCAACTCCTCCTCCACCACCACTACCTCCGGCACCTGCTACAGATAATACTGGTGATGATAACCACATACAACAACAAGACGCTGCAGGCAGTGGACCATTACCAGCTCAACAACAGGAACAAACAACAACAACGCAATCAACTTCTCCACCCATTACTACAACCGATGTTGATAATCCAGCACATCCACTGCATCGTCATCGACGTGCCGTGGTTGACTTTGAGTACGGTCCCATATTAGGCGAAGGAAGCTATTCAACTGTAACGTGTTATATACTTTATTTCAAAAAAAGGAGGTGCCCGTGTTGTGCCTGTGAATGGATATACTAACAACTGTTTTCGATTTCTTCAATGCAATATATCAGGTATTGGTTGGAAAGGACAAAAAGACAGGCAAACATTATGCTGTCAAAAAGTTGGATAAAGCGCATATTGTCAAAAATGACAAGGTTAAATATGTTATGATTGAACGGGACGCTCTAAGTAAAATGAACCATCCGGGTATTGTGCGTTTGTATTGGACGTTTAAGGATAACCGTAGTCTGTGTAAGTTATATACATATATCTCCTTTGGACTAATTAGTGGGTTAAGCTATCATGACTGACAGCAATTGTATTCTTTTAGATTACGTGCTCGATCTGGCTAGAAATGGTGAACTATATACCTATATTCGAAGAGTAAGTGTATTTCTAGATACAAGACAAAGGGACGTTTTTACTAGAAGGCTGATATATGTAACATAAATAAACAGCTTGCGCCTTTTGACATGGATACTGCACGGTTTTACGCTGCAGAAATATTGCTGGCCATTGAACATATTCATAGCAGAGGTGTCATTCATAGGTAAGCGCAATAAGAAACAAGACATTGTCAGTTTCATAAAGGTATTAACTAATCTCAAAAAAAAAACATAGAGATATCAAACCTGAAAAGTAAGTAATAAGAATAAGAGATTATCATCATGTTTATAAGACATGATCATACTCAATGCATGTGTGTGTATTTAGTATTTTGTTAGACGACAATTTGCATATCAAGATCACGGATTTCGGCTCAGCAAAGATTGTTCAGCCTGACGATGCATCGCAGAAAAGCGGCAGCACTGGTGAGCATGTTTCTCTGGGATATAGTGAAGCGCTTTGGTTATGAAAAACGCAGTTCACTAAGTAGCTTGGTATATGCTTTTGTTCCAGATGGCAACGCCGGTCGTTCAAGATCATTTGTGGGTACAGCCGAATATGTTTCCCCTGAACTTTTACGAAGCGAACCAACACTACAAGAGTAAGTATTATATTTTGGTATACGGATATATGTACATTTACTTTTGAACACAAGGGAAAAAGCGGAGGGATACCAAGCATATGGTTGGCTCTTTGCTTATCATACTTACTTTTTGATACTATCTCGTTACAGGGCAGACTTATGGGCACTTGGCTGTGTGATTTACCAAATGCATGCTGGTCGGTCACCATTCAAAGCAGCCACCGACTATCTAATTTTCCAAAAAATCAAAAACTTGGATCTATCTTTTCCAGAAGGTTTTCCAGAGGTGGCCAAAGACATCGTGGAAAAGCTGCTGATCCTGGATCCAAAGGCACGGCTGGGATCGGAAGTAACTGGCGGCATCGAAGCGTTAAAAGCACATGCATACTTTGACGGCGTTGATTGGGATCATATCTGGGAATCACAAGCGCCACCGCTAAAGGAACGGCTGGATGCTAAAATGAAAAAAATACGACCACAGAACACGGACGGTGCTGTGGATGAGAGTGAATTTGATATATGGTTTCGTGAGGAGGATAGTGGAGGAGGAGTAGCAACAGCAGCAGAAGCACCAGTAGCAGCAGCATATCAAGCTGATGTACCAACGATAACAGGACCGTCAACCCCAGGACCATCATCATCAACCGACCCAGTATTGTCTGTACCCGCAACACCAACCACAGCTACGCAAGCAGTACCAGTAGCTTTATCAACATCATCAGCAACAGTGGCCCAAAGACTGGAAGAGCCACAAAATCCATTTGGTGACCATGCGGCATCGCGTGGACTAGTAGACGAAGATGATAGCGATGACGATGAAGAAGAACAATTGTACAAATACTCGGGTGTTCGTGGGCCTGCGGCTGTTGCTGTGCGACGCTACCCATCTGTTGCCAGGTCCAGTACACCACCTGAAGACATTGCATCCACAAGCTCGGCAGGTTTAGCACCTGGACATTCGCGCAACTCGTCATCCCACAGCTCGACTGCTCCTGAACGTCTTGGCGAGCAGTCGCATCCCCCGTGGATAGCGCATTTATACCCAAACGAGTCGATCATACGAGCAGGCCGTGTGTTTAGAAAACGTGGGTTCTTTTCAAAAAAGAGGTACTTGATTCTGACGGATCGGCCACGGCTGCTGTACCTTGATGAAGGTACGGCAGAGGATGGTTCAGGGGGTACACTACGATGCGAAATCAGTTGGACTGCAGAACTGTTGCCTGAATTAAAAACCAAATCGGTGTTTTGCATACACACAGTAAGTGTTTTTATGACTGGGATCGTTCATACATGTGTAGCTGACCCACGGTTTTGTTATAGACACAAAAATTATATACGTTTGAAGATCCAAAAAGTCATGCCCAAGATTGGGTCAATACCATCAATTCCATGCTAGTGGATAGTTTTGGCGTAACTGCTTAAATTTATCAAAATAAAATTTGCTTTCCGGCCTTTGATTATAAGGAGACGATGGGGAAAGATACAGCGGCGTACTTTTTTCTTTTTGAACCTGACACGTGTCTGTCTCAAGTTAAACACATATAAAAAAAAGAGCCATGTCTGATAGTTCTGATGACGAGTTTCAGCCTCTTGAGCCCACTCTCAAGAACGTACTAGACCAAAATTCGTTGCACTGGATTTTCGTTGGTGGCAAGGGTGGTGTTGGTAAATGTCGAAAACTACTTTTTGCAGAAAAGAAAAGAAAAAGCATCCTTGATGTCATTACACATTCTAATCCGATCGTAACGATATAAAAGGTAAAACGACCACGTCATGTTCGCTGGCCGTCCAACTTTCGAAAGTGCGAGAATCTGTTTTATTGATTTCGACCGATCCAGCACACAACTTGTCTGATGCATTCGGTCAAAAGTTCTCCAAGGAAGCGACGCTTGTCAATGGTTTTGAAAACCTGTATGCTATGGTAAGTTGAAATAAGGGACGACTTTTACGTGGAGCGTGCTTGTATAGTCTGGATTATGCTAAGAAATCCTTGGCTGATAATAGGAAATCGACCCTACGTCAAGTATCCAAGAGATGATCGACCAATGTATGAATTTAGTAGCGAGGATATATGGGAAGAAGAGAACACGAGAAATGCTGACAGATGGTTTGTTTTTCGTAATGGGAAATAGCGGAACAGGGCAATGCTATGGGCAGCATGGTTCAAGATTTGGCGTACGCTATTCCCGGTGTTGATGAAGCCATGGGCTTTGCTGAAGTTATGAAGTAAGTATACATACACTAAAATGCTGCATTGAGAAAAGGATATATCCAATTTTTCAGAGGAAGGTTCGTTGACTAAAACATATGTTATGGTTGATAGACAAGTCAAGTCCATGAAGTACTCGGTTATCGTTTTCGATACTGCGCCTACCGGTCACACATTGCGTTTCTTGTCGTTTCCTACAGTTTTGGAAAAGGCATTGGCCAAGATCAGCGGATTGAGCGGTCGGTTCGGTCCCATGTTCCAGCAAGTCTCAGGTATGATGGGCTTGAACGCAAACCAAGAGGATATGTTTTCCAAATTGGAAGAAATGCGGTCTGTTATTACCGAGGTGAACAACCAGTTCAAAGACCCTGTAAGTAATTTTTTGTATTCAAATATGTGGTATGACGGTAGTTGTGGAATAGGATGAAACTAAATATAAGAGGTTTGGATTACATCTAGAACATCACTACGTTTATTTGCGTATGCATTTCTGAATTCTTGTCACTGTATGAAACCGAGCGTATGATCCAAGAATTGACTTCGTATCACATTGATACGCATAATATTGTTGTCAACCAACTTCTGTTCCCTAAGGATGGTAAGTTGAAAGATGACGGATAGAGAAACTTATTGGCTCGTGTTAGAAAGCAAAGTGAAGGAGAGTAGGGTGGATCTTTTGTCAACTGAAATGTGTTTTTTTTTTCTCCACGATGGGGTTTGATAGGATCCAACTGTGAGCATTGCAATGTACGACACAAGATGCAGCAAAAATACCTTGAGCAAATCTATGACCTTTATGAAGATTTCCACATTGTGCGGATGCCTCTGTTGACCAAGGAAGTACGTGGTACTGAGGACATTAAAGATTTCAGCAAAATGTTGATCGAGCCATATCAGACACTTAAAGAGTGAATAGAACAAAAAAAAAGATACAAATTTCTGACTGATAAGTTGCTGTAATTGGGAAAAGAAACCAAAATATACATATTTACATATTCATATTGACTAAAGAAATTATAATAATCCAATAAAGTGTGGATGTGCTCAATTGGTTTATACCATCCTATACAATACTCAGGACGCACAAACTGTCGCGAAGCCTTATTACACATGTACATACTGGCAACAGTTAGAAGGTGCACTCAAGGTTTGTGCAGTACATATGTGTGTGCAGTGGAATCGGGTTCCTTTGCAACAAATAATGCTGTTGTCTACCATCACTTATTACGATTCCGGCATATTGACGGAAGCTTCTGGCAGCCTATCATACCTCGATATAGGAACAGGGCTTTTTCATGCCAGAACGTCGCAGTTATCTCTCGTGCCCAAAGTACATACATCAGTTAAGCATGTGTTGAATGCATTTATCTATCAGCTGCTGATATAATCAATGGTAGAACAAATCTGGTATTGTAGGCGTTTGCGGAGTGCAGCTATATTTTTCATTAGCAAGGATGCCACCCTTCTCTTCCCTCTGTGGATTACCCGCGCGTATTTTTACTAAGCTTTATATCTATGATGGGCTGCAGTTCACTGATACCATGTGTACATGTCGTTCGATGAGGGTTCGTGTATTAACTAGCAGCAGTATCAGTCAGCAAGCTTACCAGGTTACTGATCGTCATTACCCCATGAAACAATCAAATTCTCACTGCAAAGGGATATCAACGAGTTTTTAGGAGCTGTTGCTGAACATATTCGTTTCTGGTCGCTTTTCAGGACAATCTCGAACGAACGGAGTTGCGGTTCTCGGATCGTTATAAGCGCTGCGGGTGTATTAGGCTCCTCCCCCTTCTCTCTTTCTCTTTTACTCTCAACTCTACCTTTTTTTCCCCGCTTCTCCAACTGCTGTCATCATGCCTGGTTACCAAACCTTCCCAGTCATTAATCAGCACTTTATTGTTGATAGAAAATACCAGTTCATGCGCGAAATGGGTCAAGGTGCCTATGGCGTAGTATGGTAACTATAAATTGAAAAAAAAGGAAACTTTTTCCCGTTTTCAAAAATGGTCCTACGGCATCTAAAACGTAGAATCCGTTTTTCCTTGTTAGTGCTGCCAAGGACACCGAATCAGGCGAACAAGTTGCCATCAAAAAGGTTAGATTCTTAGTTTGGAGTTTGTATGGAAACGTAACCAGTCATTTAAAAACGAGAGAAAAAAGTGTTGCTAACAACAACTAAATTCAAAAACCGTTTGCATCTTGCTACACAATATAGGTGTGCCGGATATTCGAAAAGAACATTCTTGCCAAGAGAGCCTTGCGTGAGGTTAAGCTTTTGAAGCACTTTAACGGACACGAAAACGTAAGGGAATTTCTGCTACTGCTACTGTTGTTGTTGTTGTTGTTGTTGTTGTTGCTGGAATATAAGGAAAAGGAAGGACACATAAGAAACGAGGATAAAACTAGAGAGAAAGGGTGATACTAAAAAGACGGCTCTGTTGTGGTTGTTGTCTGTATGTTTTTTTTTATTTTAGATCACTTCTGTGATCGATATGGATATTGTCAACTTGCAAGATTTCAACGAACTGTACGTGTCTCTGGAATACGCAACGCAAAAAGAAAACGGTTCGAAAAGGGAGGGGAATTAACGTGAATATCACAACTTTGCTAGGTACTTGGTTCAGGAACTTATGGAGGCTGATCTTCATCAGATCATCCGTTCCGCCCAGCCCTTGACCGACGCCCATTTCCAGTACTTTGTTTACCAGATCTGTCGAGGTCTCAAGTACATCCACAGTGCCAATGTAAGGGATAACTCTTCTTCGTGTACACGGCTTAAGGGGGTGGGAGGATGGGATTACAAAAAGAAAACGTTTGTGGAAACTAACATCAGCATTGGGGAATAACAGGTGTTGCATCGAGACTTGAAGCCAGGTAAGTCTCGCTCCATGGGTGGCTCGCCTTCTTTCCCGGTGATGAGTGTCGGCTTAGTTCTCGTTCTGACTGTGTATATGTATATTAACTACTAGGCAACCTTCTGGTGAACGCCGATTGCGAATTGAAGGTACGGGTCCTCCCCTCTTTTTTAGCATTTTCAACACGCGACAAATTGTGTTAATAATGGAGCGAAATGTACTATGAAATATATATAGATCTGTGATTTTGGTTTGGCGCGTGGCTACTCGGAAAGCCCTGAGAGCAATGCAGCTGGGTTTATGACGGAATATGTGGCTACGCGATGGTACAGAGCACCGGAAATTATGCTCAGCTTTCAAAACTACACCAAAGCCAGTAAGTGCTACGAAAAGAAGGAAGCAAAACGACTCTGTGATTGCCTTTTGGGTGTCCTGTCCTTGCTAATAGCTGTGATTCTGTGTCTTAGTTGACATGTGGTCGGTTGGCTGTATCTTTGCCGAAATGCTTGGCGGAAAGCCGCTTTTCAAGGGTCGTGATTGTAAGTCAAAAGTTCTCTCATACGCGATTCCAGTTGTAGCCAGATCGGTGTACTTATTCTGGAACAACGGATGCAATCTATTACAGATGTCGACCAGTTGAATCAGATCCTGGGTATTCTGGGTACACCCGACGAAGAGACATTACGACGTGTGGGCAGTGAAAGGGTAAAGAAAAGAAAAACGGAGATTCAATATGACAGCTTTATAATGTATGATGCTAATAACATTGTGCGACTCTTGCGATTGTTGCACAGGCACAAGTCTACATTCGTAGCCTGCCACGAATGCCAAAAATCCCGTTCCAGAACCTCTATCCCCGAGGTAAGTAATAACAACCCATAACTAGAAAGCTCCAAAAATGAGTAACAATTTCTTTTTTTATTTCGTTATATTAGCAAACCCGTTAGCCATCGATCTGTTAAACAAGTTGCTCGAGTTTGATCCTGCGAAGAGAATCACTGTGGAGGAGGCATTGGCCCACCCGTACCTGGGCGCATATCACGATGAGGATGATGAGCCATCACATACCGAGACTTTTGACTTTTCGTTTGAAGTGGTCGATGCGATTGAAGACATGCGCAGTAAGTATTCCTTTATTCCTTTGTTCAGAGGGTGTGGTGTGTGTGTGTGTACTGTTATACAGAGGGGGGGGACATCCATTTTTGACCATTTCTTCATGTAGAAATGATTGCACAAGAAGTCATGTCGTTCAAAGCCAACAAGCAGGGATTGTTGCAGCCACAACCTAACCCAGGTGCCAACCTGCGGCGAAAGGAGAGGTAACCAACACCATTTTGCTCGTGGGCCACAAGCCTTTCCAATATTTGCTAACTTGTTATTATGCAGCTTATCTGCTCAGGATCGTGAGACGCTGGAACGAAGTAAGCAAGCTGCTGCACAAGCAAAGGCTGCAGCACAGGCTTCAAGCACGAGCACGAGCCAGGCACAGGAATCATCAAATGCAGGCCCAGGTGGCTCGGTTGCTGCATCGGCCGTGGCAAACCATGCCATGCATCATATGGAAGTGGACGAGTTGGAAAGAGAATTGAGTGGACGTGCTTAAGCCCGTCTATTATTTTTCTCTAGTGTCCTCTCTACAACCACCCTCGTCCCTTCGCCCTTCCCTTATTCTTCAACCTGTATGCGAGTAGAAGTACGCAACCTTTTTCTTATCCACCTTTCTTTCTTTCACTTTCTCCTCTTCTTCAAATCATCAATCAAACTAAAAAAAAACATTATAGCAGGTTTTTATACCCAAAAACAAAGGAAAAGAATTTACAAGTGATTGGCTCTTTCAAAAGGTGATGTTTTGCGTGTGCTGTGTGGAAGAAATGGACAGTGTGTTGTGTAGGGATATTGATGGATATTACAATCGCGTTTGAAGGGGGAAAAAGAAACGGAAAACATAGTAAGAATATAGTAATGATAATGATACAATACAAGAATGGATGCTAGTAGCTACGTGTTATATTAAGTTCACTTTTTTTTATTCACGGATGGTTGCCAATGCGGTTGCCAACACGGACCTAAGTAAGTCCACAGTTAGTAAACGCCAGTCATGTCTCTAGCTGATATAAACATGTTGACACATACCAAGGTTTCCAATGTCTTTTCAGAGTTCTCGAGCAGGTCTCGATCGAAAGTAAGGGTATCTTGCTCCCACAGAACAACAATGGTGCTTCCGCCAAATGCAAAATAACCCAGTTCGTCTGTGCGAGATAAATAATCGCCAGTCTTGGGAGTCAACACGATGGAACCCACCATCATGGCGCCGATCAGTACCACGGCTACTTTGCCAAACGCTTCTGTTTCTAGGGTCACGACAGCGCGCGCATTGTCACCATACACATCGAGTGTGGTACGAATAGCCATTGGATTCACGGTATAGTACTGTCCTGATATGTACTTGATATCGGTAATCTTGCCATCGACAGGCGAGTGGAATCTACAGAGGCGTGTAAGCAACCACGATCCCGTGCTTACTTGAAGCTTTCTTTCTTTTTACCTATGATAATCCTGGGGTGCCAATCGGAAGATCGCCAAGGCGCCTCCTTCAAAAGCCTCTGCTTCGACGGGGTCATCTAGCAGTTTTGCAACACTGAACTCGATGCCCTTGATCCATAGACGTGTGGCATCATCGATAGTGGCAAATGCCATCATTCGACAGTCTGCTGGGCTGACCGCGACGGATGGATCGTCAGGGCATTCGCAAGGACGCGCTTCCGGTTTCAGTTTGCGATAGAAAAATTCATTGAATGTCTTGAAACTATCGAGCGGGTCGAGCACTTCGCTCAGATCGAGATTGTGGAACTTGATAAAGGGTCCAATTTCTCGTGCTGAATGTGGGGAATCGTATCGGCGACCTTGCTTGAATGTCATGTTGGTCAAAACGCGTTGGGCTGAATTTTGTTATTGTTGTTGTTGTCATCAAATGACGTGAGAGAGTGCCAAGAGCAAACCATCAGTACAAAGTCTCTGTTTGTTTTGTTTCATGATAGAATGTACAGCAGCAGTAATGGGTCATGTTGCTTTACCTGTTTTGGATTGAATGCCGGTCTTCATGCCTTTGTAAATAAGGCGCATGCCTAAACGGACATAGACACTCATCCTCTCTTCAATCAATTGGCCGGTACGACGATCTTGTACAATAATATTGGCATTGTTCTATTAAAAACAACATTTTAGTATGGAAAGTGACCGAATCCGCAAAGAATGTGCCTCGGCATAAGCTTACCCTTCCCAGTTGGTATCGTCCGTAGCCCACTTTACTGACAAGTTTGACGAACCATCTGCGTTGTGCATGAGCCTCAGTGACGAAATCGCCCATCAGGAACCGATCCACCGTCGTCCAGTCGTTGGCAGCACACATGGCCACATGCGTCACAATATCCATCTGCGCCCGCTTCGACAAATTGGGCCGATGGCAAATCGGACATTCTGCTAAACGGATCACCTGTTCATACTCGTCCTTGCCGTTACTTGAAGACGACCTGGACATGTCGAACGCGAGATGCGATTGCTCATCATATTGGACCCCTTGGGCCTCGAGCAGCACCTCATCGCCATCCGTTTCTTCAGAGATACCAGAAGATGGCGTTTCAATCGGGTCGTCATAGTCGTCAAGCAGCTCGAGCTCCTCGATATCATCATCAACATCGTCATCCTCCACTATATCGGAATCAGACAACTCGCTGCTGCTATCGCTATTATCGAGTGCCGTCACAGTACTCTCGTGTGTGGGAGGCATTTCGGCAGACAGCATGAAATTTTCAAGGCTTTCCACCAGCTCGTCCAAGGTCATTTCGTCCGTTTCTGGATCCTTGTTGTGCTGCTCCCAGAACCCATTGACGGTGGCTTCGGAAATCGTCGAGCCCAAACTTTCGAGCATCGATAATACACCCAAACGACCAATCATGTAATCATCACTGTAGTTCTTGGCAAGTGCAACCCAAAACAGCTTGCGCATTTTGGTATAAGGCACGAACTTGACACGGAAGGTTAACGTTGGATGGCGGTCCTGCCAACGGTCCTTGTTGACCATTTCCAAGTCGACCGTGTGCATGTCCATGTTGGCATCAATGGCATCGGCTGGGGTATCGGTTGCTAAGGCGTCCTTGATGATCCTATTTGTCTCGTTGCTGCTGTTGCTATCGGTGTCTTCTCCTTCTTGCTTTTTGGATGCGTGGTGGAGGATATCTGCAATATCCAACTCTTTCCATGCGACATAGTCGTGGCCTGTAATCTTGTCCTTATCGTACAGGGCAAATTTAAGCTTGTACTTTGATTCATTTTCGCGCACATGGAAAAACAACTTTTCATTCCACACGGGATTCAGGTTATGTCGGATCGCACGTGTGCGGAATGTGGATGTGCCGTATGATACAATCACAAATGGATCCATATCGAACCCGGTGCGCGTCACTAGAACAAACCAGGAATATGAGTATGATTGCGGGATCCGGTTCGAAAAGACAAGAGAAAGCAGGAGAGAAACCTACTATTTCGTTCAGGAGGAAGGTCATTTGCATGGGAGATCTCAAAGAAAGCAACGCCAACAACGTCTGAATAGAACTTGGCAATGTAATCCTTTCTACGTTTGAAATTCCTCTTTACGCGGCCGGATTTCTTTTGTTGTTTGCTGCTGACGAGTGAATTGTCGCTCTTGGTCCGCTGTCTATTTCTGAAACGAGGGCGCGATGGCGGTGGTGCCGATAGATTAAGGTGCTCCATGTCGGAAGGTTGCAAGGATGCGCTATCGATCTCTTGCATGGGATGATATTGCTCGAGGTACGTGTCCCACATTTCCCGCAGCTCGTCGTCATTGCTACTACCACCACCGCCAGTGCTATGCGTCAGTCCAAACTTAATCTCTAGCTCACCCGCCTGCTCATCGGCAACATAGTTTTTCCGACGGCGTATGCGGAACTTTGAGCGTGATGGTTCTTGGATGGCATGCCACTTTGCCTATTTTTCAACCATGTGGGATGAGCCTCTTACTGCTGCCAAGCGTTAAACATGAAACAGTTTCACTTTTATTCTTACCTCATTAACAGCGTTATCCGTAAATAGTCTTTCGACAGGGAACCGGATTTGACCGAGGAACTCTGCCTTGAACCTGTCCTTTGTGCAGACGGTAATGACAACGCCGTGTCTCCACAAGAGCCGGCGTTTCCGGCGAGTATGCGGAAGCTTGATATCAAACGTACACTGCCAATCAGGGTCTTCAGATTTCTTTACGACGTGCGTCCGTTGTTTTTGACCTGCACAGCTGACGATCACGTAGGGATTCAAGTTGGTGCTATCCTATTTTATAATTTTTTCACACAGTAACAAAGAAGAAGAAGCACAAAGCTTAAATATCTTGCAAGTAATAAGTGCTGTATGTGTGGCCCTGCAGAAAGAGCTCGGCTAGTCCGAATAAAGAAACTACATATACCTCAATTTTAGGATGCAAATACCGAGCACGCAGGATAGACACTTGCAGCACAGGCTCGTTCGAGTCTGTAGAAGACGATGACGACGGTGTTGGCGCACGTCCATTGTCATCGGAAGCTTCATTGTCAATTGAAGACGTCCGTGAGTGTGGACGGCTTATGAGGGAGCGAATGCCACTCTTGGATCTATGAAAGAGCCGCATCCGATGACTTTTGCCGGTTGTCTCGCCATTGGATTCTGAAGCGGTAGTATTGACACCGGGATCGCTTGATACGCCTGATTCCATAACTGCTGCTGCTGCTGCTGCTTTTTCTTTTTAGGGGGGGGTTCGCCCTCTTTTTTTTTTCTGTTCTGGGTTGTTCGTCAAAGTCAAAAATGTGCAGAAGTCGAATACGACGTTACGCGACTACTTTGTCTTTTCTTATCGATCCCCGTATAGGAAAGAAAAAGGGTGGAGAGAGAGAGAGAGAAAGAGAAAGAAAGCGAAGGGAAAAAAGGAAAAGAAACAAAGTTAATAGTGGTGTGTGTGTTCTTGTCTGTGGTTACAAGATCGTAAAAGAGAATGCGGGTTGCCAAGGTGCGAGAATATATGGGATGTGTGGCTCTGTAAAGCTCAGCAACCCAAAACCACATGTGCGTGTTTGTGACTCCGCATGTTATGCTTCTGTGTGTGTGTGTGTGTGTGAGCGTGTGAGGGTGTCAACAGGTAAGCCGGAGCGAGGAGAGACAGAGGGGATGTGAACATGTCAGCTAATTCTTGGGGATGTTTATTATTCCTCGACCAAGTTTTTTTTAATAATCTCCGTTGTTTCTGTTGTTTGCAAGAGAATGAAAACGCGCGTGTTAGTTTCAACCAGGAGAGATGTGCGCTGCACCCATCATACAGCATCATCGATTGGGTGTCCCCAGAAACAAGAGAAGCTACGATAATCGGGGAACAGCCATGAGACGCCAAGAGCCTAGCTTATAGCTTAAATGGAACAGGACTTTTTTTGCTGCTTTACGTGTGTGCAACCGTCCTATGTAGAGGCACATTGTCCTACTACTGTACAATCAACAATTGTCTCCGATATATTACTCTATTCCTTAAAAACAGGGATGGAAAAGGAGACTTCTCATCAATCACCACCAGTTTTCATCATCGAATGTTGTTTTTGCTGGATTTGGCTAATATAATTATACAAGTTGGAATAATCCACCACCCACTCAATCTAGCTCATATTTGCCGCACTGACGCCGATCATCCACAACCTTCATTTTGAGCAAGAAGGGCTTATGCACAATCGTTACTCAGTGCCGTGGAAGAGTCCTGTTAAGGGATTTCCCGAGCACATACTGGTAATGATATGCGCTGCGAAAACCTTTTAACCAAATATTTGCTAGTGTTGATGCATGTCAATTTGCCCTCTGCATGTTGCATATGACATACTGATATACAGCACATATAATCTCAGTCAAAAAATTATTGTAACCAAACAATGGATGAAATCCTCTCTTACTGATAGATCGCAGAGCTTACAGTATAATCAAAGCGTCGCTATCATAAGACGCTTTTACTTTCATATGAGATTTTATTTCTATCATAACCACTTTACAAGAACGAAGGCTTCCAAAACCAACTTGAATTTCCGAGTTGGTGATTGCATTAACCGTGTTCTAAATGCCGTACTTACATAAACAAATGTATTAACTATTCTTGTCAATAGAAAGGTAGTAAAAAGATGGAGAGAGAAACGCTGCGTCATAGCCCCTTATTGTGGTTTTTGTTTTTGCCAGACATGTTGAAGCTATTGTACATATTAACAAACAATACTCTTTTAGGACATATTTCACCTATTTGATTCTCATTTGTGGACTTCGCGCTAGGGACGTGTACACCCCTCAAGTTTATCTGTCATCATCACTAGAAGCAGCAATCAGCAATTCTCTTTACTCGTTCATCCCGCCATAAAAGCAGCTGTTGCAGTTTCAAACGTCAATGATACACATTTATTACTTGACGAAAAAAGCGCTTAATGCCACGTCCCAAATGTTCAAGAAAGGGAGGGTATGGCCTCCCACTCGTTACGGAACGAGGGGCGTTTAAAGCCGAAGGGTTGATTCGCACAAAAGGGCAACGATGACAACGAAGGTGGTAAAGATCATGGCAAAGGATTTGATTGGGTGGCCTATTTATTAGAGACTTCAATAGGTTACGATGTTGACAACAAGTCGAGAAGTTGATCTGATAACACCCACAAGGCCATGTTCTGCTTTCGGTCATGCTGAAACGTGCCGCTGACGAGTACGCAAAGGCACTTCTTGCATGTATACGGCAAGCGGACACATTAACATTTAGACGATATGTATTTCTTGATCCATCGTCTAAACCGTTTTTTATGTTGATAGAGAGTTTTGAGGATCGACAGATTCGCTGTTGCCGAATCTACAGGTGTGGCGAGCACGGCCGTTGACAGCACTCGTTGCAATGTGTTGGCCAATGACCAGCGAAATATTCATTTCCTTGAGGCGGTCATGGATGCTGACAGGTTTGGGACGCTGCTGTTGTCAATATCAACATGCGACAGCAGGCGTAGATGTTAGAGGTGAAGCAGCCCCTCTATGAATTTACATATGCGAATAAAGGGAAGAGACGCATAAAATGCGTCAAGCTCAATTCTGGCGCTGCTGGTGTCCCACATACGTCTTTGCAGGAAACGTCTGCTAAAATTATTCCCTTGGTAAACTCATATGAGACCTCAAACCATCTCACCCATGCAGTTATCCCTATTGGCGTAATCGGCGTCATAAATACCACAAGTAACTCATTGTACTTTTGGCAGCTCAACAGCAATGGAAGGAAAAGAGCAAGCGATAAAAGAGGTAAAGACCAGAAGCTCCAACTAAAAATCCAGAACGAACAGACGTTGGAGGCTGCTGCCCTGTCGGGTCGTTGCGTCTCGAGAAAACGAGACAAAGGCGAAGTTGCTGCAGAAAGCGACGACGTCGTGAACGTTGACGGCTGCAGTAATGACATGTCGTTCGACGAGGAGGACTTCATCGAAGCCAAGATGAGTCGAAATGCAGCCAAAGAAGAAAGAGACCTAGAAGAACTTAGGAGCCAGCGTGCACGGTTCGTAAAGGCGGCCAACGAGTGGATGCACGTCTTTAACATCTTGAAGATGTTGTGAAGAAACAAGAGCAAATGTTCAAGTACTTGTGTAGCTTTTTCCCCTCTCCTCCCACACCCTCATCCCTATAAAACGTCTTGTATTTTTGTAGTATCATATCATAAATCAAATTATTGTTCTATTCAATGGTGGTGGTAGTAGTGTGGTGGTGCGGAAAGCAGTATTTGCATCAATACATTCTCTATTCAAAAATAGTATTTGGATCAATAGTTGGATTCATTCCCTAAATCTTATTTTTGAAAAATATATTCTATTTATTAATTGAAATATTCTTCTAATACAACCATTCTCACATTTTTTTTCATTTATATGTTTACATTTTTTATTTTTTTTATTACAAATGAATTCTATTACAATTATTGTTTTTACAATTTTCTTAAAACTTACAATATAAATCTTCTTTTGGCCATGTGCATATTTACATTTTTCTTGTTTATAGTACCGACAATATAATACATGCCTACTGGACTTAACAGAAGCTTTTGATTCTTCTGCTAGTCCAGAAAGGCAACGAGATTGACGGTACGTCCAAACTCCCATTCCACACCGATCCGGACCTTCGACATCTTTTTGTTGTGAACAGCTTCTGGACTTGTCTCATCACCTTATAATCATTTAACGCGTTTAGTATATAGTATATGACAATATAGTATTGCACAGTACTCACCATGTGGCAAGCTGAATGGTGCTACCAAGTTCTGATGACGGCGGTATGCCGGGTCACCGTAAAGAATGAACTTGGCGCCATCAGCAAAGTTGAGCCTTCTCTCCAGCTCTGGGAGAAGCTGGGACTCGGTCAGCAAGTACCCATCGTGATGAGCACCACAGATGGGGCCATAGAGACATGTTGTGATGCCATCAGGCGTTGTGACGGTCTGATGCTTCACAGCATGCTTGTGCTAGTATGCATTGTATACATCAGTCATCGTGTTGTTGGAGTAGTGTATGTCCAATAGCTGGAGAAGATAAATAGCGCATAAAAGAACCAAACACACAGCATACCTTGTGGCCATTGTACACCGGGTTCTGGTTTGTAGTGGGCCTACAAATAGCCCTCACAGTGCCGTCGATGAAGCCGACGCAATTACTCAACGGAGCGCCTATAAAGATACTCGCTCAGCACTTATTTATCCGTATGGTCTGGTAAGTCGTTTGTATATAGCAGTACGTACCTTTCTGATGGATCGCATCAGCAAAAAGCTGCAGTCGCTCACGAGTGAATTGCGTTTCAGTGAGCAACAGCAGCTTGTAATACTTGTTATACAAGTATTTCTGAAACCGGGTCACCACGGATCTCCTGTGGGCTTTCCAAAAAAGCTCTGCTTTTTTGTAAATGATGGCGCATGAAGAACGTGGCTACTTGGCGGTATCCTTGGAGGCCAAGTCCAGCTCCAGCAAAGTCCTTCAAGCAACTGTTGATGCATGTTTAAAAAAGGCAAGTATATTATTTAATTATGTGCACTGTTGTTGGGTTTTTCTTAACTGACATGTATATACGTACCGATGTAGCTTCTTACTGAGCTCACTACCTGTAACGACGTTGCCGTTGGCCACGAACAAAAAGTTCTGGTAGTTTTCAATGCCGGCCTGGACATCCTCACCAGCGCGGGTCTCCTTGAAGGTGAAACTGCAAACGATTCAATTTCAACAATTTGGGCAAATCAGCAAACCAGCATCGCAAATTCAACACATTGTGAAGCGCGCTTTGGCAAAAAAAAACAAGAATACAATACATACCGTTCAAAAGGGCGGACGAGGACAAGGTACATGAGCAAAATATCACTCATTGATGACACCATTGAACATGATGCTCAGTTCATTTGCTGGACGATGGACTCCATTGTCACCTCTAGTTCTTCTTCCTGGACTGGGGAGCGATATCCAAATCATGCTTGATAGTGTTTTGAAGGATCGAAAGAATTTGCTTAAGGGACATTCTGTAAATGAGGGTGGGGCGCTGTGCAAATTGCTTCTTAGCTTATGATCAAATAAACAATGCATATTGCTGTCTGAACAACCCAATACTAACCGCTTGTACTGGTAACCCACAGCTACTGTGATTGCCATTGGCGGTAAAAAAGAAGTAGATCTTTTCCCTACCTCTGTTGCCACGGACAACTGTCGTTTGCTTCCGTTTGAGATACATTGCCAAAAGTTCAGCAACGCTCAAGTCCTCCAAACGCGCTGGATACGCCAAACGACGCGGGCAAATCGCCAAAGCCTCGACGCTTGAGACACGGAAACGATGTCTCACATCATCTTCCCTGAAGACAAAAACTAAAGGTAACTCCAATTCACGAGTGATTTCCAGAATCTAAAGGCTTATTTATGAGTCAATGCAAATGCTACGAAGATCAAGTTCATTTACTTTACAAAGTTCAGTAAGTACATACTTGGGTTTGCGTGAAGCGAAAGATCAAATTACACTGGTCCTAAAGTGGTAGTTGGAAAGGCTGAAACGTACTTTCGGTTGTCGACTGTTTGTACGTCTCTGCAAAGGTTGCTCCCTGCACATCGAAAGCTGCGAGAGAAGAAGACTAGAAGGACATGATAAAAGTAAAAAGAAAGCAAAGGGAAAAAAATCGCTGGGGGTCATTTTTAGCTTTGGGGACGACATGTTTTTTCCAAGATCAGACAATTGTTCTGTATAAGGCAGTTCGACAGCATACCAAACTCTATAATGTCCCTTCAACGCGAGTGGTAAGTTGTCGTGCCAGTGCTGTTCAAGACGCGGGATCAAGAGCTGATTATGTTTCTTTTACGACTTGAGCTAATACAGGTGTTTTTAAGCCAAGGTTGCCAAGACCGTACAAAAGCAGAACAAGACGCGCCAGGAACATGATCGTACAGCAGCTAAAGTTCGACTTGGAGTTAAAAAGCGAGAAAAAATATTGGCTGTCATTGTCGATATAGCGATCAAAAGGCTGACGGAAGCTAAAGACTCAAAGGGCATGTGCGAGCATCAACCTCACAGCTCCCCGTTGAAACCGCAAGCCAAGAACTTTTATAATCATACTGCATTGCCATGTATGCATGCGGAATCATTCCCAAAAATTTAAGCTTTACTGCCAGCTGGGTCGAAACCTTCACCAAAATCTTGTCACTATATTCTATTGATCAGCACCCACAGGTCAATCATACTCACTCAGTTTAAGAGTTCACAACTACTTCTTACCGAAATGATTTATTAAAGCCACTACAAACTACCAGTATATTATAAGTGCACTCAGTATCAGAGAATGCATCATTGTATAATAAATACTTGATCACTGCTTATGCGATAATGTGAAAAGAAAGTAAGAAGGTAATTAGTGTTGACTTGAGTGCGGCATCAGCCAATTATTATCATAAGCATAAAGAATAAGAAGATGAAGGAGGAAGAGTAAAAGATAACTACGTATAGTAGACGAGGAGGTGTTATTTGGCGAGGCTGTCATTTGGATGAACCTGATAACATAGTTGTCCATGACACTCTTATCGAAAATTACAAATCCCCTTTTGATAAAGCTGTACTAACGCCAATGCTTCGATTAAAAAGCTGTAAGTCTGTCGAGCAATACAATTTGGCGTTTGATACTGATGATCGTCGCCAAAAAAGATACGCTACGGAGCTATAAAAGATTGTCAATAATTACAGCTGCATGGTCAGCAATTTCAACAGCAGTATGTGTACTCAGCACTCTCTTGAATGGCTCATACATGGTTCCTAGGCAAGGCAACATGTTTTCGTAAAAAGCCCATGCGTCGAAGATGCGATTTTTATTATTTATTTAGATTGAAATAAAAAATGGAAGTATATATTCTATGTCAATCTTGCTTGGATGCTGCCAAGAAGCCAAGGTTTAACCTGAGGGGCTGGACGGGATGAAGCTTGGTGTTGACTAACTGTCATTCGTCGCACCCTGAATTTGTCACGTGAAAAACTTGGTTACACCGCTGAGGTCGCAAATGCTGATTATATTCATTAGACAAACTACCATTACCTGAATGAAGTACTTCATGCACTTATCATAAACTCTTGAATAGATAACAGTTATTTACTTTATATGACACAGTAATAGACACGCTCCAGTAAGAACAGCATGCTCGAGCGGCGATGGGCTCTAAGTGGACTGGGGTTTTTTCTTCAACATTCATGACCATAAGATACAAAACGAGTCGTCAGGATAATATAACTCGTCCGACGGGCATAGTAATCTTAAGCACTGTCGGAAGAGGTTCGCAAAAAGAAGAGACTTTCCTAATACTTCTTCCTTGTCCGTCTGTCAATCATCACCTGTCTTCACGCTCCTTATCCATGTATCATATCCCCTAAATTTTGGTGACAGTTAACGCTATTGGCAGGCGCGTATTTTAAATATTGAGCCCCCCACCCCATTTTGATGGTTATTGTTGAAATGAGAAAGCATATTCAAATGAAAGAGGTTGCAATGAATAGTGTGGGGCAGTTTGTTTGCATTCGAGCAAAAATTGTGATGCAAACAAGAGTGCAAGTTTTAAAAAATTCGATGCGGAAACGGGAGAACATGCACGTCGTACAAGTGGAGCATTTGAAAGGGTGAACGCCGCAAAAAGGAAGAGAGAGAGAGAGACAGGTTGTCGTACCTTTATATTTTCCTTCATATTTTTATTAATTTAATTCTTTTTATTAGTCCCCCACTTTTTTTTCTCTTACCGCACAATCGAATGCAAAAAGTATGCCACCAAGTAATCTAGACGATGCCCTTCGAGACCTTGAAAAGCAAGTGATCGATTTCTCGCTGGTAAGACAACCGGCGCGGAAGAGAAGTGCGGGTGCACAACACAAACAAACACAACAATCCCAATTAGGAACCTGCCTGTTATTTAACTTTTCGTGTGGATTTATTTTTGTCAGACTGTCGACACAGACAACAGCCCTGTACCCACAACTGCAGCACCAGCAATACACAATAATAGCAACTATAATAGCCGTCCGGACAGTTCATCAAACAATCCAATGCATCGCCATGCCAGTCTTCGCAAAACGCCAACGTCTAGTTGCGTACCAAGTGATGACGACGATGACGATAATGTCTGCGTTGCCGAGTTACGCCACCGTGCGCAACAGCAAAAACAGTATCCTGCTCATAGCCGGTCAAACACCTTAAGAGGAACGAGATCACGGGATGCCAGCAACAATGACAACAGTTTAAACCTGAAGCGAAGTGTCAGCACCGGCGGAAACAGTCGGTTCAAGATAACTGAACCGGTGCCTCCTTTACCGTCCAATCTAGCTGTACCCCCCAAGGATCCCTCTGGCGATGACGATGATCAAGATCTCAAGGCAGCTATGCACTGTGCCTGGGCTGTACTAGAAGCCGGAGGCGAAGGTGCAGATGCATCCAATAACAAGTCTGTGGAAGCAACTGCTCAGGTAATAAACAATTATGCAGATTTAAAAGAAATATGGCTGATCTAATCGATCATATTTCACCTTAGCAAGCAATCGCTTCGGCAAACATGGACAAATCAGTCAAAAGTAGTGGTGGTGGTAGCTTTGGCACTGGCGGTGTGTCCATGAAAGTCATCACTATCCGTATTTATATCAATGACGGATCAGTGCACAAGACAGTGCAATTGACAAACATGCTGACTGCAGCAATGGTGCTCCAGTATCTGAGAAAGAAGGGTCTTGTGGATAAAAGCGAGGACTGGTCATTGTTCGAAGTTGCTTACAGTCATGACGTTGGTAAGTGTGTATCCATGGTTACAAGAAATTAGTTAACATGACAAGCTGATCTTACCATTTATGATTTAGAACGTCCCCTGCGCGACTGGGAAATTGTCATGGATGCAACGTCAACTTGGGAGCAAGATACAACGAATCTGCTGCTTGTCAAAAAATACAAATACCGTGACTCACTGATGGCTGATGTACGCATGTGATTTTTGTTGATTGCTTTCTATCATTTCGATAAGAAATACTGATTCTGTCTTGTATTACTAAATGGAATAGAGCGTACTTCAAAAGCGTTATCCCCCTAATTATGGATGGCTTTCGATCGAGTTAAAAAAGGGCAGATGGCAACGACGGTTCTTTTATATTATGGATAATGCGATACATCATGCCAAGGACAACAAAGGGACAGGTTCAACCCCACTATGCCACTTGTCAGCTTTCGACGTGTATACAATGCTGCATCATGTTCGTGGATCACCAACCGAATTTGTATTCGCTGTGCGTGCGCAAGACAAACCTCATATATTCGAGCGACCAGAAGATTACATGCACCTATTGGCAGCGGACGACTATGATTCTCTACGACAATGGGTGCTCAGCATTCGATGTGCGAAGGTAAATTAGTGGATGTATCGAATAATTTCTCATGTTTTTGAGAACTAGATATTGGAGAACTTGTTTGCTCACTATTACTTTTTCTTCATTTATAGAACGCTTTGAACTATCAAATGTATCCTCACCGTGTTATGAACCCGTTGGGCCCTATTGATGCGCCTGCTTCGACTGCGCCCCTAACTTCATCCGTGGAAAGTAGTAGAGGAACGGCAAATGGAGAAGAAACGGTTTTGGTAAACCGGAGCAACACGCTGCGCCGACACAAGTCAACAAAAGAATTTTCACGATCCAGTCCATCATCTGCAGGCAACGAAGAAATCAACAAAAGCGGCAGTGGCAATGGATTATCGCGGCACAGCAGTAGACGAGGTCGCGGAGGCAGGGATGGTGCTGATGGCCCGCTGATAAATCCCTACGACCGTGATCCCTTTTCCAAGGGCTCACTCCTAGCAAACAGCATTGCCAACAGTGAAAATGAACCCCTCGAGAACTCTACCGCCAGACAAATCGTAGCACTCCCATCAGAAGATTTATCGTCATCGTCACAACCTCAAACGCTCATCCAGATAGATGATAGAGTCAAGTTCTCCAAGGGATCTTTGCTTGAAAAGTCCACGCATGGTGCGACTGCCGTCAGCAGTAGTGGTGAATCCAAATTATCACGATCCAGAAGCACCCGTGATTCAAATCATCACCATCATCACAATACCGATGGTGGAGCAGCAGCAGCAGCCACGTCAGTACCCTCAGCATCAGCAGCCATAGGAGGAGGAGAAACGCGACGCCAAATGTCTGTTCGACGAAAGCCTACCACTTCTCGAAGTCGTCGACATGATGTTCCAATGCCTGCGTCTTCTGCAGTACCTGTGCCTCCAAATGGACCGTTGCTACGACCAGATGAGGATCCTGAACAAGCACATACCAGAAAGCTAATGGAGCGACAGATAAAGCCTTTAATTAACTTTAACGAACCTTCCACGTTTGATCCTCGAAAACGATAGGACTTAGCAACAACTAGCACACACACAGTTCATTTTATACCAGTTTTAGATGAAGTTTTTTGATAGATTTGGCTGCATTATCATATTTTCCAAGAATATTTATTCCCGTTCCCTCTCTCTTCCTCTCCTTTTTACCTTTCCTCTATTTCTTCTACAATGAAAAGGCATCGTCAAAAATAGTTTTATTTCGTCGTGTATAGTGATCAACGGAGGTTTTTCTTGGTAACGCGTGTCAGATAAGCATGTTCCTCTTTCATTTCTTTCTAGCAGGATTATCTTCATCGCTGTCAATTTGGAAGGATGATACAGTATAGCAATATGTATTACCAGTGTGGTGACCAAAGACGTGTCATACAGCATTTGTCTTGATGATGGTTACCGATGTGTCGAGCTTATATATGATAAAATATATAATTTATCAGATGGTAGCGATGATAGCTCAATCAAGAAGCAAAACAACAGGAAGAATCCAGACAGCAATGATAATACCAATGCAGTAATGGAATCACATATTCACCAGGTGCAAGTTCATTTGGAAGAAGAGGAAATACTGTAGGAAAAGGCGAGCAAAATGGCTCCTTTCGTAGATGGCTTGTTGAATTGAAGGCATCCATTTGCGCCCCTCAAACTTCAGCAATCCCATTAAACAGGTATCTATACATAAATCGAAGTATGCAAGCGAGATCTACTCATTATTATTGACCTTAGCACTGCCGATTCTTTGTTTCCCTCATATGTTTTCGTACCACACCGACATAAGTACCACTCACTAACATCAAACTACATTTATAGTACAGACGTCATCATCGATCTACTCTACAAAGGATACAAATTCGAGCAGACCAAAGAGTTTACAATGCGATCAACATGTTTAAGAACTATTATGATAGCACGGTCATTGCGCAAGCTTTATCGCCTTCTTGTCGCCTCTTGGAAGTGACGTTTGGTCCAAAAACAGGCGCATTTTTCAAAATGACAAAAAGATCCTGTTGTGATAAGCTACTTGCAGGAAAAGAGAGAGAGAGAGAGAGAGAGACGAGCAGCTGAAAACAGACTTTCCAATTTTAAGATCTAGCAGTTATACTAGCCTGTTGGCGTATGCTCTGGTGTTGCCTCTTATAAAATAACCCCTTTTCACAAGAAGGTCGCATCATATCTGCGGTAACAAGCAATGTAGGCGAGCACAGAAAGTGAAGAGGAGTGTCAAAGTGTGATAAAGCGCGTTGTGATCATGTTACTGTCGTCTGTCATTGTTCCCCGCTTTGTTTAGCACGGAGCTGTGGGTGGGCAAAAAAATAAGGAACATGTCGTGCGCGTGAGCAAAAAAATAAAATAAAATAAAAAGCGGTAAAATGTTTATGAGAAGAGTGCGAAAAGAAAAAGATTGTTTTATTTTGTTTATCATTTTGTTTATTTGTGTTTAATAAATAATAATAATAATCTGTTCGTTCCTCACCCTCCACTGACCCGCACTGGTACATTGCAGTCATCTCTTCATGGCGGACCACTGAGCCCATCCAATCATCAGAAAACTCTGAACAATCGCCAGCACTGGCACGGAACTGATCATAGCACAGACAGTGACCCCTGCGCATACAGCCCAACGCCTTTCCAAAACGAACTAAAGTGAAGAAAAAAAAAGAAGTAAAAGAAAAAGAAAGGATGCTCGCTTTATATAGACGTTTTTTGACTGTCACGCTCGGGACTTCAAAAATTCCACCAAGTTCCATGGATTTTCATTGGCTCTTGCTTAATAGTATGCCTTTCAGCATATGATATGGCTCAAAGGGACTATCACGAAAGGAAAAGAAAGGGGGTGTGCTTGGTGGTCATCCAAACAAATGTGCTGCGGCGGTAGTGGTACGTGTCTCTCACCATGGGCAGCTGTACCTCCGACGACGACGTCGCCGCTTGGTTGCGAGAGGTCCGTGCACGGCACCGTGTCAAGCGAAAACAAAGACACGAATGCGAATGAGCATGTAGATTCACGGAAGAAATGCTTTCATGTGAGCAGTAAATGACGGAAATAGGAGTGACTGACAAAGTAGACAATTTACCATCAGTGAGTATTGAGAACACTATCCACCCAGCAGCCAGTTTACAGTCCTTCAGCCAACAAGGCAAACAGCGTGTGTAGATAGCGTACTTCACAGACAAATCCACAGTACTTTAATATTGTCTTTTGACTGTGTGTGTGGCACGTAATGTTATGTGTGTGCGGAAAAAGATGCCCCCATCGCTGCACTTTATAATAAAGACCCGTTATCTTCTATGTTCAACCGTGCTCGTCAACTGTTGCTTAACCATTGTCGCTATCCGCCAACAGTTCTCTCCTCCATCCTCCATCCCAAGTATGTGCTGCTGCAGATACGTTGACCCGCTCATAATAAGTATCCGCTGTTGCCAGTAAAATCGATTCATCCTTCATTGTTTTTCATTGCTGCTGATAAAGTAAATCGGTTCGTTTGTTTTTGTGCGGTTCTACGTTCTTTTAAAGCAGCGTTCAAGATCGATTGAGACGATAAGAAGAATAACACTACAAACGACTTTTGCGTGTAATTCGTTGCTCCATTAATCACCTTGTTCACTTGCCATCTCTTTGCGCATTTCGAGTGCAAAGTCAATTGGCCAAATCGTTGTGTCACAATGCGCATAGTTTCCGTTTCAGGGGAAAACTGTTGGAACGTTCAAGATTTGACACACGCGTAACTTTGTCACTATCCAAAAAAGAAAAATCTGTGTTGCGCTCCTCACTGCTAGACTTTTGCATCCTGCTGATTTACGTCCTTTATGCTTGTCGTTAGTGTGAGTTAGTGCATACGCGTTCATAGCCTTCGTTTTGTTATAATAAAAAGAGAGATGAAGCGAATTCTCCCCTATTGTTGCCTACTATTTCCACAGCAAAATACACATTGTGTCTCTGATCGTCTCTTTGCAGACTATTTGTCGTTGCCGAATTAATGATGTTATAATAAAGCCCGAGAGAAAAATCCTGCTCTTTTGCAGTTGCTTTTTATATATGTTAAGAGCACCGTTTAGTGTGTATTACGTCCCATTCGGCCCTTCTGGTATAAATTACGATCCGCTTAATTTTACTATGTGTCTTGCCTATAGATGCCACAGAAAAGTGTGCTGGGGACGAGCAACTTCTTCATTACAAGACTTCTCCAACAGTAATTTCATTTACAACCGGTGCATTGACTGGTGGCAAGGTGGCATATCAACTAAAGTTGGCAGGGATAGTAATATGTGTTTGCTCTTGGACTACATGCGTCTTATGTAGGGCTTGCCGTAAAATGGACGCTCCAAGGCTACCATATTCTGGTAATTTTAAATCACCATATCTTGAGCCACTGATTCGGTCAGTATATGGAAATGTTAACCAAGCTCATGTCACCTTTACCAATAGGTCAAGAAGGACTTAGTCTCTGGATCACTTTCAAAGGCATTGCATACACCGTGGGCGACGACTGATCATGAGCGGCGAAATGGCTATCTGTCCCTCCAATAGGGTTCGTCGCTTAACAGAAATACTCATAATTCCTAGATTTCAATGGAAGTTTTCCCAACAGTGGATCATGATGTTTGGGGAATCGTTTGGTCATATAAATGTGTGGACAGTAGCATATCATCAAATAAAAAATTAAAGGAACAAGATGGGCGGTGGATTTGAGAAAATCACAACGTTATTTGCCCGACGTTGGTCAACATCCAAACTTGGGTTGAATCGTTTTTTTAAATGCGTGCTTCCCGTTTTTGCACCATCATCTCATCGATCAAAAAGGCCTCACAATTTCTTTTTGGTAAAAGGTCTAAGTCTCGCCCTGTACGTGGCTGGACACGCTGATGATTACGCCTTGCGGTATCAATCGACGCTCAAGCGAGGCGTGCTCTTTCCCCATTATGTTATCGAACAATTGATGAAACACCTTGTAGCCGAAGAAATTGCAGAGTAGATAGTCTGCAAGAGAGACATTACCGAAACTACAATAACGTTTATGTGCAGTACAGTAAAGTGTATAACAATTTAATAGAATCTGTATAAAACGACCAATCTGGACGCATCACCAAAACAAAGAGTCCCTCGATATGTGTACAAGCAATGATGTATGGCGTGAAGGTGGACTACGATGCCCTTGTGCAAACAAAGCCTGGGCGAAAAGGAAGCGAAAGTGGAACACTAACAAACATGAACAAAGAGATAGCAAGGGTAAGTGTTTTTCGGCATTGATTCCAGGCAAAAAATAGCTGTAATAGATAACGAACAACAACAGCGCAAAGCATGTGTTATTTCCAGTGCTTAGTATAAAAGACGCATTAATTTGGGCTGCAAGAGTCTTTCTATCAAGTGATATAAAAGAATCTAGAGATGAATAGTCTAATGTAAACGAACAGTAACGCAGCTGACATAGTTGTACATGCTGCATAAATAGCGTTCTGTTCGTACTAGATAGTACTTTTTTTCTTCCACGCGCATGGGATTCTTTTAAAAGAGATTTGGCAGGAGTAGCGCGCGCTTAACATAGGTGATTAATGGACATCTTCGGGGCTTGTAGAGAGCACATGGAGACACAAGCATTGAATCTATACCAGACAACAATAGTACTACCGTGCTTGCACAGAACAATCTATCACCCTCTTAGATTTGTGCGTAGCAATTACTATGAGGTAACTTCTTCTCTCTTTGCATTCACACCTCCACCTCTCTGCTATTATTCTGTGTATACTACTAGTTCTCAAATAAACCTACATCATCTAATACGGATAAACGTCTTTGGCTTCATTTTCGAAAACACACGAAGTTTACTGCTACATACACACAAAAAGTAAGAACTTGGGTGTCAAAATGATGTATGTAGATCTCTCTTGCCGATACACCCAATACAAGGAGATGTCACCAACGAAGACTATATGGCATTGTGGATGGTATGGACTATCTATGCTAAGTACACTGTATCCTATGATGATACAAGGACATGTTGTGATAGAAATCTTGATCATCTACTACAATGTATTTAAAAATGATAAATTAATGGTAAAAACATTTATTTAAAATAATATTTAAAGTGAATGACAGTGATATTTATAAAGAATTCAAATGCAGTGGAATTTATCAGGACAGAGTAAAAAACTATACAGGGGAGGAGTGAAATGAAAATTTTGAAATTCACAGCAGGGCGACGATGTTACTGTCTCAAAGATGACGGAATGAGAAAAGAGTTGGAAGAGAAGTGAGTGTGCGAGTAAGGTTAGTGAAAGGAATAGAAAGAGATGGCGGACAACAGTTCGGTATGTAAAATATTTGATGTGTGATATGTGGCCAGTATGTAATGTGTGTTTGCGCGTTAGAGAGAAAGACAGTGAGAGATACTACTATTGCTACTGTTATTGATCTATTGTTATGAGATGACCACTTCCACCACATCCTCGTCCTCAAGTTCCGTATCACCTATAGTATCGTCAAGCGATAGATCCTCGCCATCGAAAGACAATCGAACCCTGCCTACTGCATTGCTTTCCAGTCCCTTGAGTTCAGCGTATCGTTGCACAATGGTCCGTAATAAAGTTGTCTATGAGAAAAATTGGAGTATAAGTATCCACGACAAACAAATAATAATTTAAAATCCAAATCAAATTTTCACATTACCTGTTTAACGCGCATATTGGTATCCTCATTATTTTTACCCCGTATCTTGATATGCATGGCTGGGTCATCTTTAGCAACTTCGGTGGTCTGTTCCAGACTTTCGATGAAGTTTTCATCAAATGGCGTCTGTTGAAGCTTTCGTTTCAACTGTTCAGTTCTCTCTTGTTCATACTTCTCATAATCGTCTTTGAGATATGCCTCTATTTAATCACCAAGAAAGTACTAACATTAATACACATCTAGACGTAATAGCGATTTTTCTCCCAACTTCTCCAAACCACTACTTACTCATGAGATTTTTAGACTTGATACCGGGGATCATCTTAAGACTGGATGGAGTAGCACGTAGCATGACAGGAATACCATTGTATACTAATATGATCTCGCTCTGCTTCAGAAACTTTGTCTTGCAAAAGTACTGAAGCAGCTTCTCGAAAGGATCGCTCTATAAAGAACGAACAAAAGATTTATATCTTAGTCACCTATTATCCACTAACCCTTTTTGTTTATTACCTCCAGAAGAATCACTTTGATGGGCTGACATAATCTTTCAATTGCTTTGAGCATAGCTTCACCCGTGAGTTCCTTGAGGTTGACAAACTCGACCTTTATGCACACTTTTTCCGCTTTTAAACTTTCATCAGCAGCACTGCTAGAGCCAGCATCAGCAGAATCGGGTGTGGAAGAGGCAGCAGCAAGTTTCACCAGATCAGGATCAAGGTCGGCCATTTCTTCAAGTGTGGGTATAACGGGCGGTGGTGGTCGTGCGCGTGGCTTCTCTTGGCGACGGATTTGTTCCTGTAGTACTTGTATATGATCGAATCTAGAAACACACATGGTTACTTTGATACATGCGCATATGTTCTTTTGTCGTGAGGCTAGTAGTAACACTACTAAACTATGGGAAAACAAAAGACATAAGATTGCGACGCTATACCTTGGCATTGTTGGCGATAAAGATGAAAGGCTTTCGAATGATGCTGATAGATCGCCGCTTCCGTCGTCAGCACCATCATCGTCCGAGAGTTCACTAAATACGATGATGTTGTTTATTCAGTGATCCATTTAGTGGAAAAGAAAATCCAAAACGGGGATTACGGCTTTTTTTAGACATATCACACATACGCGCTTCCTCTCACTCGCACACACGAAAAATCCGTAACATCATTGTTTCCTTAATCTGGCCACACAGTATTATGTGATACGTGCAAATGTAAAGAAAAGCTGAAGCTAAACTTACATGCATGAACTTTGCACTCTGTTATCACAAGTATCAACTTCAAACGACATGTCGTCTGTTATCGGTTCTACGTTTTCATTATCCAGTCCAAGCGAATCGCCGTCGTTTCTGTCCTCATCGTCTTCTTCGTCGTCGCGAGACTGTTGTGAATGCAATCGCTTATTCAATTCACTGTAAAGCAACTTTTGTTTCTTTTTAGAGGAGGACTTATGATCATCAGAATCGCTGTCGTCACTGTCTGTTCGCGATCCGTCAACGCCCAATTTTGCACCTAGTTTAAAGAAAGAAATATATATGTGGGCCTTCTTCCTAATAAAAAAACTGTTTTCAATAGAAACATGACATTCTTACGGGTTTGAAGGAATTCTTCATATTGACTTTTGCGCTTTTCAATCTTTTCAGCTTTTTCAGTTTTTTCGATTTTTTCAGTCTTTTGTCCTGATTTCTTCTTTCCAGTGGTTTTTCGCTTGGCGGGACGTCGATGGGCATAAACGTTGCAAATATCAAAGTCTGCCATTCTCTCTTGTCAAAGTGTTGGAAGAAATAAAGAAAAGACAAGAGGATCTCCAAGCAACAAGTGGTTTAAAGCGCAGCTGGTGTTAAAATTTGGACATAAATCATCTTAATTTTTTTACTCTTTATTTTCTTCAGTTAAAATTACGATCGATCTCGAAAACAATGTCGTCTTCTATGCGCAATGCCGTTCACCGGCGTAATCACAGAGAACGTGGTCAACTGGCAGGCCGTGAAAGGCTTGGCTTGCTTGAAAAGAAGAAAGATTATTTGCTTCGTGCCAAAGATTTTCACAGCAAACAACGACGATTGAAGGCTTTACGAGAAAAGGCTTTGGCACGGAATCCCGATGAATTCTACTTTAAAATGATCAACTCTCAAACAAAGGCAAGTGGGTTTGACGTAAAAAGAAAAAAATGGATTGATTTGATTCGAGGAAGTGTGTGAATTGACACAGTCTATACCTCTCCCACTTTCCAATATAAATAGGGTGGCGTGCATATTCAAAAGCGAAACGAGGCTTTGCCACATGAAATGGTGCAGTTGATGAAGTCACAAGATAAGAATTATATTAAAATGCAACGCGATATAAGTAAAAAGGTACCTATTTGATCTGATAGGATCCATATGAGTATACCCATTTGGTTCAGGAGATAGTTACTGACTGTATTATTTTTATTGTACAATTACTAGAAAATGGAAAAGTTACGGGATTCTTTGCATTTCTTGGACGAACAGCTGGATGATGAAGATATGCTCAATGTATACGAAGAAGACGAAGAAGAAGAGGAGACACCTATGCCACAGAAAAACAACCATGTTGTCTTTGTAGACTCAGCTGAGCAGGGTATGTTGAAGGAAACAGGGATGAAGAGCGTATTAGTCTGTTTGGAATATGGATTGTTAAATCTGAGCTTATCACTTTTCTTTCTTTAGCCAAATCATTTGATCCTGCAAAGCATTTGGATACATTGCCGGAGCTCGTCAATCGCAAGTTTAACCGACCACGCGTGGAAACATTAAGAAACAACGAAATCATTGCTCCCGAGAATGCTGCATCACTTAAAGTAATGATAATAACTTAAAGTGGGGTGTGGAGGGGTGGAGTTATTAAAGAGAAAGTATCATTGACCAGCACTTTTACATATTATACTTAGGCATTAAGGAAAGAAAGAGAGGCCAAGTATAAAGAATTCACATCGCGTGCCAGCCGTGAAGCTGATCTGCAGCAGGTTGAACGCGAACTCGAGATCCAACGTGCAATGCAGGTAATTAAAGAACTAGCAATAGAAGAGGAGCATATCGCATGTCGTATCCAGGATAGATGCACTTACTGAGCCCTTTTATTATCATCAAATGCGACATCATGTAGGCTAAAGGTGACAAAAAGAAAGTCGGTGTGGATAAGAACGGTTTGGCAGTCTACAAATGGAAAGCACGACGTAGCAAGTAGATCCATAACCATGACCCCGTTCCTCCTTCCTTCATTTCTCCCACTCACCCATGCATTCCATCACCTCTTTTTTTTTGTTGTTTGTAAAAGTTTTCTCTTTTTTTCGTAATGGTGTTATACCTTTTGATATTATGAGCATATTTGTATAAAGGGAAAAAGTATTTACATTGTTTTTTCCAACTTTATATGTACACATGTATTTATACACCTTTTGCGAAACCGACTCGAAGTGTTTGATCAAAGGAACAATAAGCCAAGAGTCCCTTCTTGTCTCTGCTCCAATCGCTCGAAATTATTGGATGTTTGGATGCTGATAGCACTGAGGATGTTTTTTTTAAGTTATCGTAACTCCACAGACTGACCGTGCCATCACCAGCGGCTGCAGCGAAATAGTTTGGACTTTGTGGTAATTGTCGTGTAGACCATACAGTAGTGTTGGCATCTCCCTATTTATAATTTTGTTTTCAATGTGAGCAAAGCAGTTCCGGGTCTTCTTAAAACTATCGCTCTCTCCTAATGATATCACTGTTTTCTTAGAGAACATACAGGTAGTTTTGTTGCTCGTAATTCCTTGCTAAAATCGATGACTACGATACCGGTCAACGTGCTGAGTGTGAGCTGTGTTGGTCCCGAAAAATCAATAGCACAAATCTGTATAATTCAAAACAAGAGACGCTTAGCTTCAGTTGACAGCACATGCGATATTCTATTCCCACTTACACCAGATTTAACATTTGTTTTGTAGATATAGTGAGTGGTTGAAATGTCGAACAATTGGAAGTCACCGTTATCGAAACCGACTGCCAAAAGTCTCTCGTTTCCGTTTTCAAAATTTCCTACATGTATAGATAAAACGACTCAAGTTAGTCTATGAATCTCACTTTTATACCCGCCCTGTGCCTACTATACCAAATGCAACAGCCCAGGCATCGTTCATTTGTTCAGCCGGTTTAGGTTTTATTACTAGTACGGATTTTTCCAGGTCTCTGGTATCCCAAACTTTTACGCTACCTATAGTAAAATCCACACCAATCCCCTTTCACGGTCAATACACACTGTCCAATTATTTAGAATTCTGTTTTTTTTTGCACACACAGCATACCATCTCGACTAACAGTAGCCAATTCGCGTGCTCCTCCGGGTCGAGTAGCACCACCACATCCATCTATTGCATTTATAATCGTCTCGTGGGCTTTAGTGGTGGATAATGGCAAATCGAATCGGCTCGTGTCCCTTTTATCATACAGGTTATAGTATCGTTAGCCTTGCTTTGTCCATCTTTTTCTCTCCCTGCAGGAAAAAAAACATTCGCGCGATGAAACAGTACACACCATATTTGCAACTGTCCGTCGAAATCTCCTGTCGCCAGACGACGCGTTAATCCATCAGCTGCCCCCATTGTGCAGCAACGTACAGGGGTCGTTGTCTCGGTCTAATACATAATTTAGTTTGGTTTGTTTTCTCCTTGTAAAAAGGGAACAGTGATCATTATTCTGTTATAAGCGTTGGGAAAATCACATACTTCGCCTACTAAAGTGAGCATTTTGTTCTGTAGTTCATATACAGCAATGGAACCTGTACCGCGACCGGTAGCGCCGACAGCACAAATCCGTACTGAAGTGGGTATCCATTGAATGCTGTAAGGGGTAAATGTAAGATCGCGGCTGATTAATGGTGCAATCGTCGTCATATATAATAAAGTGTCTTGAGAACAAAAAAAAAATAGGAAGAGTGTTGGTCCCACTGTTCATAATACAAATTCCAGCTTTTTGCACCGCACTGTTCACTCCTCTAAGAATCTTCGAGATATCATAACTCCAATGTATTTTTAAGCTTAGTTGATACTGGTTGTCTATCTGATAGCAGCATATAGCGCAATAGATCAGTTGTATTATTTCGGTGTATATATCTGTTCACCTCCATTTAAAGAGTGTATGGTATGTAAGTGGTCGTTTTTTTCAGCTACTGTTGCTTATAATAATACATAACAGTAGTATATACCGCAGACACTTTACGAAAAGACGCTTGTTATGTAAAAAAAGGAGATGTATTGTAAGTATCAGGGGAGGGATGACGAACAGATTCATCGTCGTTTGAGAGTAGCACTGTTAAAATGAAGGGTGCCGTGCAGTTATTATTCAGGCTACTAGATGATGTACAATCTTTGACATCGTTATCGACAACGATGAGTATCAGCTGACATGCTGCGATAAGAAGACAAGACGTTGAAGAGAATATATATCTGGGAAAGTGAAAGAGAGAGAGATGGAGGGTCAGAGGAAGGGAAGATAAAATGCGGCAGGGTGTGCGGCAGTGTATATCCGGACAAACTAAAAAAAAAAGTCAACAAGAAAGAGCCGCGCGTCATTCATCAACCCTGCGATTGTATAGTAACTCGGCTACACCAGTTTAAAAAAGAGATAAAGAGCACTCTCTCAGTTCTGAATATCTTCTAGACATATCAGAGATTCTTCCAGTTGCTCCTTCATTCTTTTTTGACGTGTCAGATGATATAGCACTTTACTTTTGTATGTCTTTGTTATATTTCTATTGCACACGAAGACTCTCATTGAATAATACACATGGTGAGTCAGTGAAGAGCTACGTACACTCGGAGCACCGCCCATTATCAATATGTAGAAGAGCTTGTATGCAATACACTAATAGTAGTAGCAGGTCTAGTCAGATCTGCTGCATACACAAAAAAAAAGTTGAGATACAGGAACTGTTGCCCAGGTGAGGTTGCATCACATATTTACGGAGAAGACACCAATGGGGAGACAACTGCATATCAGTGGAGTGTGTCCTTTATAATAATGGATGAGCTTGATGTGCATAATTACACTCGTATCACATAGAGGTTCTGCTTCAAGAATGCTTCCAATATAGTACTTCTCGTATGCCGCGAAATGCACTCCTGCAAGAGTAAAAAACGTTGTGGCAAATATTTTAAAATTACTTTGGTATGTATGCACTATGCCGACGAAATATACCACATTAACGTGCAAGTATTACTACGTTGTCAAAATAATTACCATAACTGCGCTATAATACTACACATTCGTACATCAACATGCAATACCATAACGAAATAGCCAAGGAATGTGTTATTACATGGTGGTCTGTTTTTTTTTCTTAATTCCTGTCTTTTTAGATCTAATCCTGTGTATGATGTCTTCGTATGAGACGGTATGGCATAATGACTGAGGATCGCTTAATATGCAGCAGAAAGCCAAATATAAATGATGAGCCGGCAGCAAAATAAGTGGCATGTTGTTTAATAATCAATGCATGAAATTTTCCCCTTTAGAATGGCTCCATTCTTATATTTTTAAACTTTCTTTAAATTACGTATTTCGTTCATTATTTTGTTTATGTAGCTTTCATTTAACATGCTACAAATATATTGCGTATAATGACAATAATTTTAATGCTACTTTTTATTACATAACAAGTCAAAGTCGCGGTACATTATAGTTTACAATATGCTGTACCAAACCAACACCAGGTCTAACGACGATGATAGGCACAACCAACATATCATCGCCAGCCATTTGGCTGCGTTACGTGTATCTATTTTCGATTAGATGGCGCCAAGTCACGCACATAGTTTGCGTTGTGAATGTAGGTCTTCTAGTACATACACATCATGCACAGTGCGTCAAGGATTCAGGAAGAAAGCAGAAGGGGAGATAGAGCGGAGGGGGTTGATTTAGAAAAAACGAAATATCTGACTGTATAATGATTTAAAGTAAAGCCCCCCTTTCTTTCTCCTTCCCTGTGCTTCCTACGGAGTTTGGCTGGGGAGACTTATCTTCTTGCATCAGAAAAGAAGAGGGCGCAGCATTAAGGAAATATTGGAGAGAGACAAAAATGAAAAACCCTTGCTTCCAAAGGTTATCATCCTCACGAATGATTACTGTATATAAAACTGAAGCCATTTGGTTTCTCCCCTTTGTCGTATGAAAGGAAGCCCTTCATTTTGTTTTCTTTTGTTTCCTTCTTATCATTATCACTATTGTTAAGATCAACTCCTTCTGTAAATACACTTCCCATTTTGCATCAAGTGCGTGTAACCACCAGAAAAAAAAGAAATGAGACGCTATACTCTAGTAGTATTACTTGTTATTGTATTATCATGCTGGCTTGTAACCTTATCAGCACCAACATCGTCGTCGGTTGCTTCAGCATCTTCTGATAACAGCGACAAGAATCATCGACATCCGAAAAAGAAAAGCAAGCATAAAAAAAGTCATGAAAGCAACTTCCACCACGGCAAAATAAAAGAGAGTCACCGCACAATGCTCGACAAGATCAAAGGTGATGCACTTTCTGGCGTTGGCACGTACTATAACGCGGGACCTGGATCTTGTGGAGAAACCGATACCAATGACGAACTGGTGGTTGCCATAAATAAACCACAAATGCATAATGGTACGTGTTTCTGAATCAAATGAAATGAAATGTTTTTGTTTATATTTATGTGTTGTTGTGTGTGGTCTGCCGTTTTGGTAATTAATGAAAACAACTTGTCAAAATCAGGTCCTAATCCCAATGTCAATCCACATTGTAACAAGTACGTGTATGTAACAGGCCCCAATGGTGAGACCAAGGCGCGCATAGTCGATACATGCCCTTTATGTCCTGAAGGTAAAAATTTTAAACCATATTTAATCTGATAATTCGTTTACTGATGGGTGTATGCTTGTGTGTGTGTGTGTGGGTGGGTGGGTGGGTGTATGTTTATTTGATAAACACTAACACTGAATTTTTTCATGTGCAGGCTGTCTCGACTTATCGCCTACTGGTAAGTTAGAATGGAACAATTCGTTGGAAGCCAGCTAGCATGAGATTAATGTTTTTTTTTTCTATAAATAGTTTTTCAAATCGTTTGTGGCGAATTAAGTAAAGGGAAATGTCAGATCGACTGGAAGTTTATGCAGTAATTGTTATAATAGTGGGTTAGCGGAGAGAGAGAGCTATTACTACAGAGTTACTACTATAACGCTATATATACTACATATATACTGTATACAAACATTGTACTACATACATACAATACATAATATTAACACACTCCACTTCACCTTCTTCACATCGTCTTCATCATCACTCCCCCCTCCCCCTCCCCAATACTACCCCCTTCTTGTTCTTGATTCAGCCTACTATTCATTCACACCCCTCGCTCTCTCTGTGTCTTCGCATACCTTCATCATTAGCATCGTCTTGTTCTTCTTTTTCTCTACTTATCTACCTTTTTCCTTTTTTTTTCCTTCTGCCATTTACTGAACCTTTTTACATAACATACAGCATCATTATATACACAACTTTTACATACATCATTGTATAGCTACAATAAAGCAACACGTTATTGCCATTCTTTTCCACGATGGATATTCAAAAAACTTCAATTTTTGACCGGCTATTCGGTGCAGATAATACCTACCACAGCAGTAACAAACGACAGCACCGGTTATTACACATGGTATGGCGCAAGCACCGTCGAGAAAGGGTGGTGATGAATCCAGATATATTCTGGGACTCTGAAGATTCTGACGAGGACGATGATGACGAAGAAGACGAGGACGACGACGAGGAATATCATTATCACCGCCGTCGTCGACATCAACAGCCTTCACAAGACATCAAACGAATACAGTACAAAAGTTCCAACAGCAAAAAGGGTAGCAGCCCTATTCCAGCAGCAGCATCTGCATATGGGCAAGATCACGAGCATGCAAATCGAGTTTATGCAGCAACCTTGAACAAACTACAAAATCCACCGCACGATCTAAGGGTCAATGTCGCTCTTTGGTGTATATTAGGCAAATCATCTTCCGCTACAATTATTGCTGCTACTACTACGGCAAACAACAGCAAGCAACAACAACAACAACAACAGCAGCGTGATAAATTATTACTTCCGCCTCTCCTGGCGGACAATCTGACGAAAAAACGAAAGGTGTCATGCCGCTACTTTTTAATGCTTCTCGAGACGCCGGTGCACCAAATACGTCAGAACAGACACCCAGTTCACGAGGCTGTCAATCGACATCGAGGGCGCTTTCAGGACACAACCATCGTGACCACAGCTCAGCCTGTGACTTCTTCTTCTGCGGCATCACCAAACAATGGTGCTGAGTCCACAACAACCGTTGTGAAAAAGGCAAAAAGTTTTCCGTCTTACTGGAAGCGGCAGCGTAATGGTGGTGAACAACAACACTTGCGGTGTTCCACGGAAACAGTAGCAGAGGAATTAAAAGAACGTCGAAAGAAGAGGGCAATGTTGCATAAAGGGGCTACAACAGCAACCACCAGTGCTACTACTACTACTACTACTACTACAATTCCGCCTAATATTATTCCGCGGCCTACTTGCCCATCGTCGTCTTTGTCTTTGTCTTCGGTCCGTCCTCAGCAGGAAAAAAGGATGAAACGAACGGGAGCAGCAGCGGAGGAAGATGATCAAGATGATGTGCCACTAGGACTGCTCAAAAAATCATCTGTAGAGAACATTTAGCGAATACCTAATCGATAATAGTAAAATAATAGAAAGAAAAAAAATAAAAATATTCGTGGAGGGAATGAACGCCTAGAAAGGGGTGATATGATAGGTGCCCCGGGACATGTGACTTACTGGGTAACGCTACAGCACCGTATGTGTACTGCTACTTCCTAATTGATGATGTAAACATTCAAATGGAGATACAGGGAAATGACCACGTGCTGTCATGTACTCTACACTGTGGTAGGTAGCAGATTCACGGTATCTGTACCTCTGATCTGTCTCGTGTTTTAAAATGGACGATAGGGCTGCCCTGACGTGGCGTTTTGAAGGGAATTGCTTGTACTGTGAACGTTAGAGGGAGTGTTTGAAGGTGTGATGTGCGTCTATTTAGTGTGTAAGCTGGATGGGACCGTTGATGATGGGCTTCAAGTGAATTTATGCAAAATGGAAAGAAAAATCCTAAAATTTTTGTGCCATCGAGAGTTTTTCTCCTACTACTGCTATCTCAATTAATGCTAACCCACGTTCCGGAGTTTATACGAAAAGCACAAAAAAAGCTCCTTCCTTTAATCGTTCACTAGTTCCTTGTCTTGCTTCGTCTGTCCATCTTCTATTTCTATAATAAAGAAGACCCCTTTTTTGTTCGTTTGTTCGGTCAACTCTCCGTGTTGTCACGTTCAGAATGAGGATGATAACGATGATGGGACCGGTTCCAATCGATGCCACTCTCAGCAGCAGCAGTAGCAGCAGTAGCAGCAGTAGCAGCAGTAGCACCCAAACCTTTTTCATCACAAGAGTACCCCGCTCGGATGTTGTTTACTTCCATAAAGTTTTGGTCCAGTTCTCAAATAATCATCGTTCACTCTTGCAAATCAGCCCGCCCTAATCCGACTCCCTCGCTTCGTCTATATTTTTTGTTTCTTTCAGCTACTGCCTTTCTCTTTTCGTTCAACCAGATTATTAATACGACTTTTCTTCCTTTGTTTCTCTCCACCCGTACTTACATCTTCTATCTAAATCTATCCTTCTTTCTCGATATACAGAAGCGACGTGTGTGCAGACGAGCACAAGATTAATAAAATTAATATAATGCTTTCTCCAAAATCACCATCATCACTATCATCGTCATCAACAATCGAAGCCAAGCATCAACAGAAGAATGGTCTTCATCCTGACAAAAAACCTGAGCTATACAAGACAGAAATGTGTCGTAATTGGGCCGAGATGGGTCATTGCAGGTAATAATGAAGAGAATATCCACCTGAACAAAAAGAAATGTTTACTGAATATATATGGTGTTATCCGTAGATATGGTAAAAAATGTCGATTTGCTCATGGAGATCGAGAACGAAGAACTGTTCAGCGACATGCTCGATACAAGACGGAAATCTGCCGAACTTACCACATGACCGGGACATGCTTATACGGTGTTCGGTGCACATTTATACACGATGAAAGTGGCCGTCTAAATGATGATGACAGCAGTATGAGCAGTAATAGCAGCAGCACAAGCACCAGCAGCAGCACTTCAACAACGCCGAATATAACAACCGCAACCGCAGCAACGGTGTCAGCAACAAAAACAGCAATGGCAGATCACTACTACTGCTACCACCCTCTCCCCCGACTGAGTTCAACCGTCTCCACACCCGAGCTTTTGCTGAGCACCACTGTAGACAACAACAAGAAGGATAAGCGACTCGCGGCTTTTTCCTCCATTTGCTCATCGAGACAACAACAGCAGCATAGTCATGACGTTTTCAGATCATCTCGTCACGGTAACCATAGCAACAGCACTTGGTTTACCTGGCAACAACAGCAACAGCAGCAGCAGCCACAATATCATCATCATCATGGTTCTGTACAGAGCTTCTATACCTCACCCAATTTAGCTTGTTAGTAGGAAGAACTGATACCCCGCATCACTTATCTTCAATACTTCTCTCTCTCTCTCTCTCTCTTTCTCTCTTCATACCATTATCTATTATTCTTACTTAACTACGCAAACTGTTGTATATCAATCAAATGTAAAAATCGGAGAACTTGGTTTTCGTGGGTTCAACTGCCACAAGGAAAAAGATAACACCAAAAAAGAACCGAGAAAGGTTGATATCCGACGACCCGACTATGATGGATGCGTCAAGCGGGGTAGTAAAAAAAGGAAACTAAGCTTTCCTTTCACAACCACGATCGTAAACCATTGCTCGAATTTTTCGCCCATTTCATTCTTATACATAATGCATAAACCATCATCAACAAAGGCATCCATTTCAGGATCAGCAGATCCACAACATCTTGAGAAACAGCGAGAGGCAAATCAAGCGTAATTGTTTTTTAAATATGTTTATGCCATTGTGAAGAGAAGTGAATGACGTTGCTTTTTTTACGAAAAGAAAAGAGCACATACTACTCTTTATGAAACAAAAACAAATTAAACAAAACTATAACAACAACAGTTTTTTCCGGAAAGCGGTCACCGAACGAAATAGAAAATTGGAGGATTTGCAAAAGACACACACTGTATTAGAAGAAAACGTTTCTAAAGCATTTCAACAATCAAACGGGACCAAGAACGGATCATCCAGCGGCATTACAAAAGCAACGATGGTACGCTCCTCGCTCCTTTCCCACCAACTATAGCCCACTTTCTGAGGGTTCATATGTGAACTCCTTAGTTAGCAGCTTGTATTAATACGACCATTGTTTTAAATATGAGTAGGCTTATTCATTACTAGGTGAATTGATTGATGACTGTATATACGACGTACTATTCGAGGCACATCGAGACATTAAGCAAGCCAACAGTATTTGTCAAATATGTCAAACACGGTAAGTCAGAAGAAGAAATGTGGATAGATAGAACGCAAAAGAGAGGGTATTTATAATCAAGGTGGCAAAACTGATCTTGTTTCTTAACACCCCCTTATTCCCATCACCTCCTTTAATTCATTGTTAGCTGTCGACAATACGGTAATTTTGTTTCCGAAAAAAAAGAGCTTACATTACATCATTGTTCTTTTCTATCATTTATCCATTCATTATATTCTAATTCTAAAATCGAACTTTGCAGTATCGCGACCGGGATGTGATGTGTTCGGAAACACCTATGCCGCCAACAATCTGCCGGCGTATGAATGCGTCAATTGCCACAAAATGATTGCAGCTGTTCGATATGCCCCACATTTAGAAAAGTGCTTGGGTCTTGCCGGAAGACAGTCGAGCCGGGTAGCAAACCGACGGTGAGGACCCACAAAAAGAATTACACAAAGAACCGGCATATAGGACTCAAGAATGTGTCGTGTAATAATGACACCATGATATCATATAGACTTGGGTCATCCTCTCCATTTGCATCCTCAGCATCTGTGCCCCAGTCAATAGGAGTCTCAGATGAACCTATCGCATTTAGTGACCCAGAAACGACGACCCAATCAGATAGCAAAAAGAAGAAGAAACCGCTACCGGTATAATTAGAGCAACTATTTCGTGTATCGACGTCGGGCAGCAGTGTAAGAAGAATTCCTAATTTGGGTTTGATTGCATTTTTTTGTATAGTCTTCAGCTGCCAATGGTATATCTCGTATAAAAAAGCTCAAGAGTACGTCGTCGTCGGAAAAGCTATGAAAAAAACAGCAATGAGGTTTATACAGCACACATACATCACACAATCATATATCCATTTATATAAGCTCACGAATTTCCATTCTCTCTTTGTAAACAACTATTTTCGCTCTTCTGTGTTGTCAGTTAGTACATACTATTGTTAGAAATTTCGGCTGTAATTACACCGGACAAATGCGCGCATACATGCATCACGAGCACACAAATAATAAAGAGGTCTATAATCATCATCATCATTTACAATAATAGTATCATCGTCAACAAGGAAAGCACCACTTACACCGGGTTTTGACCAATTGTGGCGAACAAAACGGCAAAAAAGCATAAATGCAATGTCAATTTAACAACGACTCGAAACATGCCCAAGTCACTATCATAATACACATTATCATTAACATTCATTTGCTCCTACTCTTACGATGCGTGTCTGCTCTTTGTTTTTTTCGTCTCTAAACGTCGCCGGAATTGCTGCTATCCTACTCGCTACCCTGCCGAATTTCGCGGACTCATACTGTGTCTACAACAAAATGGAAGATGGCAGCGACATCGACGTTCGCCAGATTAGCGGCCAGGGTGCAAAATCCAATTATTTTGCGTACGTTATTACCATCGTTATCATTCAGCCTCTCTATTATCACAGTAGATACTAAGTATATAAACATTCCCCTCATCATGTATTAGCCGGTTTGAGCATAGACAAATTCGTCCTGGAGAGCACGAATGCTGTCCATACGATAGTTACGATTGTAGTGATAAACCAGATAAAAATTCTATTGTTTCTTTTTGGGTAAGTGCAGTTTTCGTTTTGTTAGTTCATATCTGGGCAAGTTGCGCTTAGTAGTATACCAACGTCCTGTAACACAAATATGCATTACACATCCTCTCTTTTGGCTCAAGATCTCCTATCATTAACACAATCTAATTAATTGCGGTTCTTTTCTATTAATATAGTCTCACCACAGTAATGAAAAGTTTTCGGATTATGGCGTCGAGATCAAATGCCCTGCTGGAGGATTCGTTATATTTCACGGTACTATGAAGGCTCCTAGATTCAGCGTCTTTTATGACAATGGCGCTCCTCTCCAAAACCACATCGGTTACCGCTACGTCAATTTGCGCAAGTCACGTAAAATGCAGACAAGTAGAGTCAAAAAAGGTCAAGAAGCTAAGAAAAAAGAGGCCATCGGTGATGACACTGTTGCCGACCGAAAAAAGCACGCCAAAGATTCCGGAACTGCTGCTTCTACTATTGATGCCGGTGACAAAAACAGCAACAACGACGTGGAGAATGCCACTATTACTGTTTCTAACAGAGAAAACAAATCCAAATCCAAGGATAACGGTGTTGACAAACAACAGAACAATGAGGAAACTTAGGATTATAAGAACTTTTGTCTCTTCCCGCTATAGTAATTATGATAGAAATAATTCCTTTGATAGAATTCATTATTACAGCAATGTAATACATATTATGATAATAGAACTTTTGATAATCCTTCTTCCTCTTCCTCCTCGAAAAGTGTACTCTTTGTCGGTGCTGCACGCTAAAACCACACATCAGGTACGCCATTGGTTGAAAATGGTGAATAGGAATTGTCAATTATGCACGAATACAAAGAGGGAGGGAAAAAACGAAAAGTGTACATCGCTTTATCAATCAACTTCTTTACACGTCGCTCGCATATCTATTCATGATTCCAATATGCTAGCGTACCAGTTTTTTCCTTAAACCTGAAGAATCCGTTTTTGATGGAAATGTGCATAGAAACAAAAACGTATAAAGGAAGGGAAAAAAATTGCATTGAATATATAACCTCATTCCTCTTTCCCTCATTTCCATACTACTACTACTGCTACTAATACTTTGTTATTACTCAGCACACACGTTTTACCACTATGCGTTTCTTATCTGTTACCACTTCCCCTTTGCTTATCACTGTCATAGCTCTACTGCTTACTTTTACACGTGTCACCTTTGGATATTGTGTCTATAACAAAATGGAAGACCGCTCTGCTCTTTACATCCGTCAAACTGGAGGTCAGGGAGGAGATCTCTTTTCGTAAGTATATCGCCATCTATTGTCACTGTCTTTTGATCTGTTATAATCGTGGAAACTTACCATAATGATTGGATAATATGTAAATGTATGATAGCCGTTTCAGAAGAGATCGACTTTATGCCAGCGAGGATGCATGCTGTGCCTATACTAATAAAGACTGCTCCAAGGAACCAAGGCGCGACTATGAAGTGAAGTTTTGGGTAAGCTTATTGTTATTGACCATCAAGTTGCCGTGAAAGTAATGTATAGGACGCTCATGGATTGTTCATTTTTTTAGGTCTCTCACATTAAAACAACTACGAACCGTGTAGATCCTACTGGCTATGAAATCACTTGTCCTGCTGGAGGCTTTATTATTTTCTCGGGAACATGGGAGGACCGCCGTTTTCAAGTCTTCGATGCCGATAGCCAGCCCGTCGATTTTTACCTCGAGCATGTCTATAGAAACTATGCAAAGCGTGAAAACGTGCTAGACGATCACGAAAATGAAAAGAACAACGCACACCATGATGACAACGACCAAGGAGAGCCCATGGTCTGAAAGGTTACGGATCCTAAGGAGACTGAAGTGGTCAAGAAGGATTTCTGAATAGATGAGGCGAAGGAAACAATAACGATGAAAAGAAAAGAAAGGGACCAATGATAAAGAAATGGTTTTTAATCGTTTGTATGCCATAGATAGGCCACACAACAGCAATAATATGTAGAGAAGGGTATAGAATATATACAAATCGTAATAATAGAAGCAATGATAATAGAAAACGATAATGATGAAGAATAGACTTTTTTCTTTAGAAGTTGTTATGATGATGATGATCATAATGGGTTTGGTTGAATTCATTATTGATGTCGAGTGTTCGAATGGGTGGTAACTGGATATCTTTATTGTCTTTTCCCTGATCGCCTATTTCTCGTACATTGCGCCATCGCTCCAGCCATAGTTCAGCGCGATCCACAGTATCAGAAAAGATGGACGAGATGGATTGTAACATTTCCACCGACTCGGTCCCGAAAGTTAGCACCTTGATTGCATTTTCGTCGTGGACAGGAGATAATCCTTCCTTCGGTGTCAGTAGTGGCGACGCTGCTGGTGATGACTGGATATCCTACGTGCACCATATGAATATGACAAACCATAATAATTAAAATTCGTGTATCTGCTTTTGTACGATAGTGAACATTTTTAATGACTTACCCAACGATTTGGCAAATCTAAAATGAAACCTCGCACAGCAACTTTGGAGTGCTGCGGGAGTGATGTGCTTGCATATCTGCTGATTACTTCGACCACCTTACGAACAGTTTCCACGATATCTTTTTTGACAGAAGAAAGGGGGCTACTGTTACTGGTTGTTGGCTGTTGTTGATGAGGTACTGGGGTATTGTTTGATGGTGCTGATGATGAAGCTGCTGCTAGTGACACAAGATAGTTTCGTACTAGTGTCATTTGTTGTTCGATATGTTGTATCGCGTACCGTAGCCAGCTCAGGCAGTACTTGAGACATTTCATGGATTCTTCACTGACGACCGCCGCAGTACTTCCTGCAGCCGAGCCTGCTTGGACAACAAGTTGCTGCCACGTACTTGTCGCGGCAGCTGTTGGTCGGTGATGATTGTGCATTATAGGAGAGCGAGAAGGCGGGTGCTGATATGGTGCTAATCGAGCCGGAGATGAGGAGGGTGAGCTCGTTGTGCGTGTGGATGTGCTGAGTAATCTCGTAGCAGTGGTAGCGTTGTTGTTGTTCATGGGTATGTGCTATTGTTGGATGTACCAAACAGCAAGAAAGAAAAGAAAGAGAATAAAAGGTAAAGAATCAAAAAGTTGAATCCAGCAGCCGATTGATCCGGCTCTTGAGCATTTTCACGTGAGCCCCAACTTGAACTTGGTTGTTGCGCCACCCGAAAGATTTTTTTTTTAAAACCGACAGTTGCTTACTCAGTCGTGAGATCATCATCAGCTTGTTTCTCATGCTACATATGAATTAAGTATATAAGGGAAGAAGGTTGGGTGTCTACATTTACATATAAACACACCAACGTTGCCGTTATTTGCTTCGTGACTAGCGCATGTTGCTACAGCTTCTCCTCTTGTTCTTTTTATTGGTTCTAATTAATTGGCGCGACGTACTCAAGATCTGAAAATTACGCCACTCAACAAGAATTGGATCGAGCCCTGTCAGTTTTTATACCTTTAAAGCGCAAAACACAGTATTGTGGCGATTATTACTACATATACGAAACGCCAAAGCATCTATTCCACCTATGACACTTAAGCATTACACGATTATCCGATACACATTACTAGAAGGTTGTGCCACTGCTGTGAATGTGAAGTGTATTAAGCTTTTTAGTAGTGTCAAGTTCGTTCCAGAAAGTATCTTGTACAACCCTCTATCTGCATGAGTATGCGTGTATACACCGATGTGGGTCGTGGGCCATAAGCCTCACGTTAGTATTAACGTTTGTCCTAATTTTGTAAACTCAACATTTTATGCTTACCTTCCATGTGATGTTCACCACGACGTCCGAGAAAGAGCAGCAACTCATCAAAACGTTGACTGAGGAAGAGGGAGAAAAGACGACCAATGATAAATAGATCCAATATCATAGAACCCAATTGATTAGATACTAATTTTATTTTGTTGACGTAAGCAGCTTTTCGATCTTGCTGCTCGGATCCATTTCCGAGTTTTTGAGTATCAATTATTGCCTTCAAAGCATCCTTGCTACTGCATCCGAAGTCGTCCATCGTAGTTCGGTGATCCTTATGCTCAACGGGTGGCTGTGTGCACGCGTCAACAGCGGGTTGAGCATGGCAGAATAGGAGCTGATACTGTATGGACATCATTATCGACAGTCTTAGCAAAAAATGATTATCCATCAATTCGTTTGTATCACAAGCAGCTACATTACAGTATTCTATTTCAGAATTTGATTGACTTTACAATAAATGGTATCAGCTATTTTGTCTTGCTTTTCTACACTTAAAAAATTACAGTACATACACGAAATAAGTAAACGCTTTTGAGAAAGAAGCGATAGTGAGAAAGAAATCACACTAATCTAATAATACTTTTGACCGCTGGTTTTTCTAGAGGGATTTCCAGGCGTTAATCAAACGTGCGATTTCTGGTTCCTTGCGAACAGCAACCCGTACAAACGTTGGGCATGAATAACCGGGCTTGCCACTTCGTACAGGCACACCAGCTTGACGAGCCAAATCAATAGCCTTGGACGCAACCTCCTCAGAGAGCATATCCACCCAGACCCAGCTCAGGAATGGCTTGCCGTGGTACACCCACTTGTCGTTTAAACCAGTGAGTTGGTCGATCAGATAAGCGCGCAAGCGTGTCGTGTTTTCCCAAGTTTCCTTCATGTAATCATCATCAAGAACGACGGCTTCAACAAACTTGAGGGCAGGGCCATTGACAGACCACGGGACTTGGATCTTGCGCAGAGCTTCACAGTGGCTAGCAGTAGGAGTGATCACGGATCCGACGCGCAGGCCAGTGCAGGACCAGATCTTGGTCCATGAATGGATAACGTGCACACCAATTTGATCATGCTCCCACATTTCCTTGACAAAAGCATGGGCCGAAGTAAGCGAATCAGAGCGGAAATCGCTCGAGTGCCATGGTTGCATGGATTCGTCTGTTTTGTCACATATCTTAGAAAGTGAGTCGTCCATCATTGGATAGTTGTTGATTCCCCAAGCTACTTCAAGTCTCCTTTTCTCCCGTCCAATAGATCATATCAAAAAATGCATATTCCTTACCAACAAGAACGGTACCGCCAGAAACAACATTGGCCTTGATAAATGCCTTCAAGCTTTCGACGTCAAAGTAGTCACCAGTGGGGTTGCATGGATTGACAACGCAAAGCAAGTCGACAGGCTCCTTGTATGTTGGATCCATGATTTCGAACTCGTTGTTCTCGGCACTCCGTTGGTATTCACGGTACTATATGGAACCCATGAACCCGGATCAGTCCTAACCCTTTTGCTTCGCTTTTCTCTGTCACTTTGTGCAGTAACTAACCTGAACGTTCCACGGACCTCCCTTCCACTTGGGCTTTGTGACACCGCGAGAAACACATGTCAACAAAGTCTTGCGTACAACCAAGTCGATTAATTCCGAAGCGCCGTTACCCAACAAAAGACGACCGTGATGCTCACTGTAGTTGGATGGCCAGAGGAATTGTGCAAGCGAGGTTTTGGCAGGCTCTTGGTTTGCAGCCGGGTAGTGATGCACTTCGCTGATCTGTTCTTAAAAGGGATTAGTGTTCCTGTGTATGTGTGTCAAGAGTGGAATGGTGTTTGTCTCTCTTTCTCTCTGCGTAAAGTTAATTTTGAAAAAAACTTACAGCTTCCCGGGCAGCGTCGAGAGCTTTGCGGGGAGTACCTAGATAGTTGGTCGTCACGCTGAAGTCTTCGACAAAGTTGTCAAGGAAACGGTGTTCTTGGCCACCATGGAATGCTTGAGTCTTTGTGTCCCAGACCTCGGTCTTTTTTGTCTCGTCGGCCAACATGATGGAATAAAAAGGAATGGGGTTAATGAGAAACCCACAACAGGCGGTCTTATTCTTCTTGTATTTGTATCCTCCTCGGATTCAATAGCAGCAAATGAGAGATTGAGAGGAGCTTGAATAAGCTGCTTGACTCGGTGGCGACGACAAACCTTATTGCTTTAGCAAACTAGCAAAGAAAATAACATCATGTGATACAAGAGAGAAAAAAAAAAGATCTTTGTATTGTTTCTAAATTGCAAACTTTCTATATGATTAAAGAGTCCCCTCCTCGCAGCACTTATGTATTTTATCTCTATAAACCCTTGTTGTAGTAAAGGCGACTAATAGGCTTTCCATTATCATCTTTCAAGTTCTGGAATTCCTTTTCCATGGAAGAAGTATCAAGGGACGAGATCTGTGGGAAGGTGGCGATGGCCAGAGGCAAAGAGGTGAACATACTCAATGCAATCAAACCTATCGTGTAAAGACATTTTATAGTGAGTACATGTACGCCCTTCTGCGCGGATATGTACTGATTTCTGTTGTATGGTACTCACCAACGTTGAGAGGAAGCAAGGCCTTGGGGTTAGTCTGGAAGAATGGCTTCTGGGCCAAGTGATCCATGATCAAGGGTGGGACAACCAATGTAGGGGCGTTTGTCAAGATACGCGACAAAGCAACCTATATGTTTTGCATTTTGTGTATCGGATGGTGTTAGTTAGTATCCACAAATATATTTTACAAACTCATGAATTCACTATCCCCTTCTTCGTTTTGTTACCTGAGAAACAGCGGCAAGACCTGCTTTCTTTGATTTGCCCACGCACTCATCGTTTTCATCGTATACATCGATACCTTGACTATGTTACCCACATTTGAGTAGTTGTCTGTCAGTTTGTCTCTCAAATTGCAAAATAAGATCATCCCAATAAGAGCACTTCATAAACAGAAATCCATCCAACTAACGTGATTTCTTTGCCGCGCATCAAAAACACATTGACAGTTCCTGCAGCTGCGACGGCGGTGAAAGGAACCAACTTCATGAGCATACGTTTGGTGGATGCCGCAATATTCAATCGTGGCACAGCTTGGTTCAAACCAACAGCGATTGCACAGGATGTTGTCACAGCAGATACATAGGCAACTAATATAGTAGCATTCCGTCGATCCAAATCAGAACTCCTTCCCCTCTTTCAGCAGCTTTGATGTAATTAGATTAATATTACCAGCTGTTTCGCTCCAGTTCATGGGCGTCGACTTGTTGGCATTGGCAGAGTTGAAAGCAACGTTGACACTCTGGTTAGCCCATTGCCAGAAGATGGTAGTCTTGATCTATATATTAATGACCAGGAAGGAACAATCGATTAGCCCATTTCTTCTTTCATTTGACCCTAAGGGTCATATATGCGCTTTTAAATAGAGATATAACGTCAGCTTACCGTAGGGTTGGGCGTAAGCATACCAAGAACGAGAACCATGTTCGTTGGGACAAAACAAGACATGCGGAAAGGAAGCAAAATTGGCTCGCCAGTATCGGGATGAAGGGTTGAATCAACCACTAGAGCATCACTTTTGAGTTAGACTCTTCAAAGATCTTCTTCTTCCGATAATGTATATCCTTTTTGAGAGATAAGAGACGACACAACACCTTTCTTTGCTTTCCACAACCGTTCGGGATCGACCTGCATGCTAGGGTTTTGCTTATACTGACCAAGCAAATCCTTAGCAACCTCAAGCTGTTGCTTGGAAACAAACAGTGTGCTATGAAATAATACACAAAGAGAAAAGAAAGGTCAGTGGCTTTATATAACATAATTGTATAAACCGAGAAACCTAATGTTGGTGTCAATGCTTTTGTAATTACCGAACGTCAGTGACATCGACGAAATGACGCACACGGCCCCAGTAAGTCGATTGGGGATATCTCGGCTTGCCTATAATTTAAGTATCGTTAAAACAATGAGTATCATTTGCTACCGAGATTCAAAATGCCCTGAGAGAAAAACCAAAACTAATTCTTACTCAAATCGATCGACATGCTATATACGCGCCTTTAGGATATATGTTCGTTCCTGGGAAAAAAGGAAAGCTTATCAGGTTACACATTCGGTGCTCAGATATTCAAAATCTTGGGAATCGCATGCATTGACAGTCATCGCATCAAAAAATCAGGTGGCTAAGTCAGCTCATTTCATGCGCGGGTGCTAAAGTGATGACAGACGGATATTTGACTTGGACCATCCTGGATATTAACAAGGCCAATTGCCCCTGCTTTCGATCAGCCTTTTGCACAATACATTTGTCCTGTTCAGTCCTTGCACACAATCTGAGCGATGTGCGTAGCTATAGTTCAGCCAGCTCAACTTACTTTACCGTCTTTATACTCATTTGGGATCGAGGCTTCTTCGTGATGTGGCTACACCAACAGCTAAAACTGTCTTGGCAACTAATTTTTTTAATATGCGGCCCATTGCTGCTGCATCAATTTACAAGCGTGGTGATTTACGTAAGAATTAGATGACTCTAATAGTACTGCTGCTTACTATATTTTCATTTTCATTATTATTATTGATATTATCATATATATCTATTACTACCATACTAAGCAGAAAGAGTAGAAAAGAACAAGATACAACGTCTGCGGGAGCAAGAAAACGACTGTTATTGTTGCTGGTGGGTAACATAATCAGCTCGGTACAGTCGATACTTTTCAATGAGCTCTGGTGACTCTTCGAGAACAGCAAACTTTCCCTGCATCATGTGGCTCGTAATATGGCAGTGTAATGCCCAAACACCCGGATTGTCCTATAAATCATGCTACCGTCAGTAACCATCCTCTCTCTCTTGTTCAACTCTAATCATATACACATACAGCATAAATTCGAATCTTGGACCAGCCACAGCCACCACTTTCTTCAGTATCTGTGGGATACACCATGGACACATCTCTGAACAATGGGGTTGGGTAGTTCCGCACATCAGCATGCGTCTCATGTACATACTCCCCAGGACCTGAAGCAATCATATAGTGCGAGTGACCATGTGTATGCCATGGATGGATAAGACAGTTCCGACCGGCCTTTGTGTTTTGCAATACAATATCCACAACCTCGCCCATTTTGATCGGGAACGTATGAAGATCGAGTGAAAATCCATCATTTTCCTTGTCAACCATGTCTGTATGTATATGTCTTTCCAAGACATCGGTGAGCACAGGTCGCTGTCGAGAAATAGGAGCACGGTCATTCATCAGGTATCGCGTTTCGTTGTTGGGCCGTTTAACAGACGTTGAGCGCAGTTTAATCACACGGTCCGCTTGAGCATTCAACAAGGTGGTGCCAGTTGAGTCATCCAAGGGAGCAATTTCAGGCCAGAACCAGTCCAAGATGTTTTCGTTCGGGAACACAGGGAGTCCATCAGCAAGTGTGTATGATGGATAATGCATGCTTTCGGCAAGCTCTTTTCCATTACGTCCAGGAAGGACGGGCTTGTACAAAGTTTCATCTTCCTGCTTGAGGTTATTCGTGTACCGCAAGTAAGCAAATCCGTTTTCGGTGTGACCTCCTGAAGGTCGATGGCGCCAGCGGTAGCTTGTGGCTATAGGGAATACGTTTTCGTCGCCGGCTTTCATATCGCCAGTGTGGATCAAAACCGAAAATCGCTGGCCAGGTCCGATCTCAAGCCAGTCGACTTCGTAGGGCTTGGTGAGCTCGCCATCGGCTTCAATTACGGTCATATTATGCTGCTCAATCGCTACACCCAACGTGCGGAATGTGTGTGCACCAATGATACGCAAACGGTACGTTTGGTTGGGCTCGACGTTAATAGCTGAGTAGCCAGGGCAAACGTTCTTTGTGCTCATCTCTAACGAGCTATTATGGTTATCTTGGTGCACAGTACGTCCGTTCAGCAAGATACTGTCAGCTCCCTTGTCATAGATAAAGTGCTTGCTCATGTAGTATTCTTCACGGTCAACAAAGGATTGATGCCACCATTCGCTTAGCTGCAAAGTTCGTTCACCGTAATATAGGTAAGGTCCCTCGACGAGCCCACAATCTGCATGATCTTCTGGTGGCATTGAACGTTCGTCGTCGTGTACAATCAAGGCTCCTTGCACCGTATCGTCTTGCATTCCTTGATGCGCGTGATAAAAGTAAGTGCCAATCTGGTCGATTACTCGAAATCGATGTGTGAACGACTGGCCTGGTGGAATAGCAGCTTGTGTGACATCTGGCACGCCATCCGACTCGACGGTGCCGTACTGCCGAATTCCGTGGAAATGGACTGTTGTGGAAACATTCAAGGCATAAGCAGAGTTGTGCACAACAACCTCTACATCGTCACCCTTGACAACGCGAAGCGTAGGTGCGGGGAATTGGCCGTTGACGCGAAGGGCTGGATATGGTGCCTGGTGACAGTCTGGATTTGCAAAGTCCGCTGTAATGTCAAGCTCAAAGCGCCGTACTGCTGCATTGGCCTGTTGTCCCAAAAGCAAAGCCAATGCCAGTATGGCTGATTGAAAGCCATGAAAGTGTATCATGGATGCTTTAGTGGATATACAATAAGAATTAGAAAGGAAAAGTGAAAGCGGATGAGGGAGTGAGACAAGCTCTGCTCGGTTATTTTAATATGGATTGAAATGTATACCGTACGCTGTTGTTTGTTCGTTCGCATCGAAACTCCTATTGATATCGTTCTTGGGCAATAGATGTCCATCAGACATATCACAAGGCGTGTACCATTATGTAAAAAATCTCAAAACCTTCCTTTTCCATGGGGTATGACCCTTGGTAGCACATCCTAACAATTAAAAGTTATGCTCTAGAAAGTTTGACTGCATAGCATACATGTGCATGCTTGCCCTGGACCGAGCGCATTTTGTTGCGAGCTTGGGCTGCGTCTCGTTTAAAATATGCATGAAGAATGATAACAATGATTTTTTAAGATGACGGTAACGGTTTATTATTATATTAACAAATTTACAAGACTAATTATAAACAAAGAAACTACCACAAATTCATTTTCTTGTCTCTAGCTTTGATGGACCTTTCATAATCCTGTGCTTCCTCCACCATTCGACGCGTTTGTGGCGCATCCACTCTCTTTTGAAGCCGTGTAAAGCTGGTTTCCTTCTTTTTGCGAACATCAGCCAAATTAGACTGCGGTTTCTTTCGCTTCCGCTTTCCTTTGCTAGGCTCAATCAAGGGCTGATCCACCTGTCGCATTACGTCCCTTTCAATATCCTGCCAAAGATCGTCGGTCGAGTCACTATGGCTTGCTGGCTGCTGTTGGATGGTTGCTGCTGTAGTACCAGTATTAGTTGTGGCAGCTGAAGATGATGTGGATGGTCTGTCTTGTGGCTTCACCGGTCTTCCAATCTCGTCTCGTGGAATAATCTTTCCATGGAACGGGCACGTTACAAGATCACGTCTAGGGCAAAGGTTTCCACTACGCAGGGGTGCTCTACAAGCCTAAACAAGGAAGTTAACGAAAAAAGCAGCTTCAAAACAACAAGTCATGTAATATGCGTGTTTGCTTGTCTTCTTGTTTTCTCGCTGACCTTTAGGTTTTGAGGTACTTGAGGTTTATAGTAAATAGTGCGTTTGCGTAACTGTTCCAGTAAATGCTCTGGCATCTCGTTGGAGCCCTCGCCGACTCCCATAAATCGATGGGATCGCTCTATGTACACCTTTGTTAGACGTATTGCTAAACCTGTTTGTACGTTTTTTCCCTTCTGTTTACCAATGCCACTGGTGTTAAATTGCACTTCGTTTTTGTCCCAATAAAACAGATCGTCACCCCACTACAGGGTTAACCAAAGTTTAGCAAGTATATACGACCGTCCAAAAGCTCTCTTTTATCTCTCAACCATATGTACCTCAACAACAGGTGCTTGTTTCAGAAGTTCTAGAGAAATAAATTATTTAGTCAGATTCACTTTGGGAAAAACGTTCTACCAGAGAGTAGCATTATTGACGCTATATTTCCTACCTTCTTGGTTCGGTTTCGTCGTTGCTTTTCCTTTTCCTTTACTTGACCTTTATTTTGGAGTTGGTTACAGAATATACCATCCATTCATGTCCACATTACCTGTCAATATTATCATTGTCTTCCAATGCTGCTTCTCGTTCTTGGCCAGATATGGTTGATGATTTCACTTCTGGGAATACGTGTGCCCTATTATAGGTGACATCTTCTTCCATCCCTGGTTCAAAAGCAAGTGGGAAAATCCGCTGAGCAGGTGGCAACCTAGGATTTTTCTCATTCTTTTTTGCCCTAGAAGAAGATGAAGGTAATTCCACTTCTTCAAAAAGTTCATCCAGGTACTCGTCCTCGTCTTCCGACTCTTCAGCGTTGTCATCTGCAGGTAGCCGTATACCGAGAAGCTCGGCTTTCCGTATAGTTTCAGTCATTTCTGCCTTGACATCCAGCAATTTCTTCAAAAGAGTCCTCCGCCCTTCGCTATTCTAAAAGTTATATAGATGTTACTCCAATGTATACGACAATACCTCCCTTTCCTTCATTCTATCGACTCAAAGTTTCTCTTCTTGTATGGTACCTGTAAATCCATACGCCCAAGACTATTGATCCATCCGTTCAGCTCTTTGGCATGTTTATCGCGAGCCACTTTATAGCTTTCACGCAGTTGTTCAAATATAACTTGATTTTCATTGGACTCGTGTACCTCGTCGGCCACAGGGTTCTCGGACATGACTATCTCCAATTTGTACCGATTAGATGCCAGACCATGCGATCTGATTTCCTGTTTAACAACATTGCATAGCGCTTTTTTTAGCAATTATATTTGAACCGACAGATACATCAGAGTTACAAGTGTCAAATTGTACATACCTCTTTATAGGTATTGTGATCTTGCGCCTCGACTTTCGAAGATTCTATATCTCCTTTCATCAAAGCATCAAAATCGATGCCTGAAGCATCGTCGTATTTAGGTATCAATATCTCAAAACAACCTTCCTACGTTTGGGCAAAGATTTGTATGATGTGAGTACATACTCTTATCTCAAACCAAGCTCAACATCATTAATATTATACCATTTGCTGTAGGTTCTCATAGATAATGGGAAGTTGCTCTTCAGATTCGCTCGCAATTTGCTCTAATCGTCGTTCATACACTGGCTGCATTCGGGCCTTTTTTTCAAAAGCAGATATGTTGTCAACATCTGGCATAACAATCACAAATTGCATGATATGCATAACATGACCCACTGGGGCATACCAGTCTATTGGCTCTGTCTTCATTTTGTGAATGGATCGAATTGAGGGATGGCTGATCCGCTGCTAGTACTCCGTTATGTTGAAGATAATCGTAAGCAATCGCAATGGGGCGATACTTGTTGGCAAATTTGTCGTGCCATGCTTTGATCAATGCCAATGAATATTGTTTCAATTTCGTAGCCACGCTGGCTGGTGGCGGTAGTTTCTTTTGTCGAACCCCAACAGTAAGTGCAATAAATTGTGGGAATTCGTCGGCAAGAAGTGTGCGAAAGCGGTGCGAGCGTTGAAATAGTTGTTCTGCCAGTTGCACGCACGAATATCGAATCTAAGTGTGTATCGACAGGTTAACATGTTGCTGTAGTAACTCTACTGCTACTACTGCTACTACAGCTGTATGTACAATAGCTAAATGCACAAATTTCATATTTGCTTACTTGAGCATGTTCTTTCTTTATTTGTGCAAACCAATGCTCAAAGGTAAAATCAACGTTGGCATCGGATCGTTTGCAAATGTTCTTGATCGACTAAATAGATCGTTCCCATTTTCGAAGCAGTGAGCAAAAAATTACCACAGCGAAGTTGAACCGAGTACCTTTAAATCGTCTTGGTCAAGATTCCATTCTCCTGTTTCCGTTATTTGCTTAATGAGTTTTGCAAGTTGAGTGCTTGTTAGAACATCCATAAAGCAAAACAGATAAGAAAATGAAGACAGGCGCAGCTGCTGCGGGAGCTGCTTTAAATTCAAGCGAGCTTAATTTCATCGTCAGCCTCCATTGGTCAATCCCGACCGGATGATTCTGCTTTCTCAAGGTACGTTGGTGTTTTTTAAGCTCTCGTTGAGCACAGTGTCTGTGGGAAGACATTCAATCAAGACGGCTCAAAGGGTATTGGGTCGCTAGAAGAAACCTTGTTGGAAATTACGGCGGTCAACATAAGTGACGCTATCTAATCAGTGGAGTGAGTCCTGTCATTTTCAAGGTTAAACACATCAACACAATGCACATCGTAGATGATATGGAAAAAAGAATATGTAAACGATGTCCTTGTTATTACTATTATCAACTTTTTTAAACGAGCTTCTTGGCTACAAAGAAGCTCTTGTAGTGACGCATCTGCCACACACAAATAGCACCTAATACTACAATTTGCATGATCGTCCACCAAACTACACGCGAGTTAGTCAGTTCGGATTGATCACGGTATTCGGCTTCCCGTTCCTGAAAGTAGCAGAAGCGTTGAATTAGCTCTTTGTCATTCCCTTCTTCTTCTTCTTTTCCCCCTATATCACCACTACTTACTCTTTGGAAAGCTTGCTCTCTGCGGATATCTTGAACGCGTTGATTCAATTCGTGAATACGCATTGCCATGGCTACATATACAATACCGTGAGTACCCATTTCAACCATTATTCTAATTGCTACCCATGATCATTGTCAACGTACCACCCAATGTTTCCTTGTGATCATGGTGGTCGCTAGAGGGATCATCAAAGTCCATATCAAATGTCATACGCTATATACCCAAAAAAAGCCATTATAAATGTGAGTTTTTTTCCATATTGTTAACATGTCAGAAGAAAAAAACAAAACTAAGGGGTTAAATTGTCTTACAGTCTTGGTTGAATCGAACCACGAGCTGCTCACGACCGACAAACAAATCGAGTGATCACCCGAATCAGCCGAAGTAAATGTGAAGCGATCCGAAGCTGCATTTTGTCTTTCCACTACAACGTGTTCTTGGGGAAGTTCCTACAGTAGTAAAGGAAACGCGTGAGCCGGTTCCTTATCTTTCGTTTCTACATCTTTTTCCCTTTCTTCCATTCCATCACAGGTGTTTCGGGTGTAGGTAGATAACTCACCTCAACAGTGATTTGGATGCGCACGTCGGGATTCACAATCCATTGGTTCTGAACAGCAGAAAACTGTTCGGCTTTGTATGTTCCTGGAGAAAAAAAAAGACATGAGGGCTAATTCATGAATTCCATTTTCGAAAAATAAAAACGTGATATATGTATGCGTCGCCCTTTACCAGTGACCATGGTTTCCTTTGGCAATTCTTCGAGAAAGCATTTCTTTTCTGTTCCTTCGAGGTAGAAATACAGAGCATCGGATACTTGTGCAAAGATGGCGAGAGAAACTAGTAGCAATGCGGTCAAAAGCCGCGTCGATGATGCACTGGTCATCGTGTGTGTGTGTGTGTTAGCAGAAAGTTGGAAGAGGGTCGCAAAAGGGCTCAAAGTTGGAAGTTCGGTTTGCAGGCAGCCTGTCATTGGCCAATCAATGCTCGTTATTCGATTCGCGCTTTTCCGCACCCTCTCTCATGTTGGTGTGTGTGGATTCAAACCGGTAATACGGGTTTGCTCACCAATAGCATAGCAACAGCTGGAGAGGCATCCGAGGGAGATCATCTGTGGTATGGGACAGGAAGCAATACTGCACTATGCATTTTTGCACCAAAGAATTCGTATCTTCATGACCTAGCTTCATTCCAAATATAAAAGCAAGCATAGATAAATTCCTGAACAAAGCCCTACCCGGATGATAATCTGAGACAGACGTATGCAAGCTCTTTAGCGTGTGTGTGTGTGTGTGTGTGTGTGTGTGTGTGTGCGAGATAAAGCTAGACAAATTCAGGACACCAATGTTGTGCTCTAGCAAAGTAAATGACGAAAAACTCGAGACAAACAATGCCTTTGACAACTCCGCTTGTCTATGGACGTCGCGCTGTGCCCAACAGTTAACTCGCCTTTGTCCACATTTTTTCATCAGGAGTCAGTAGAAGCGAATGTCGGATTTCGATCGTGAAAAGCACATTCGCTACTTTGTAGCCAATCTACGAATGCTGCCTTCAGCATACACGGAGACAGAGACAAACAGGTTCAGTCTAATATCTTACTACGCTGTGCATTCGCTCGGGAGAACACTCTTCATACTGACAGCTCTTTTTCCTTCTTTGTTTACTATTTCACTTAGAATGACACTCGCTTTTTTCTGTCTGGCGTCACTCGAGCTTCTTGGAGCTCTGGACACAGCCATATCAGCACAGGATAAACTCGACTGGATAGAATGGATTTACGCACAACAAATTCGATTAGATACCAAAGGTGAGTTGCTGTTGTCTGTGTGGATATTATGCGTGGCGTGCATATGCTGAATGGTGTGACAAATTGAGATGAAGAAAGCGTTACGACTTATATATAACATGAAAAGGCCTGAATAGAGAGCATTGTGGATTCCGGGGATCGCCGTGCACGGGACGTGCCTTTGAACCTCAAGCGGTAAAGTAGAAATAATGTGCGTGTGCGTGTAAACTCTGATAGAAAGGTTGGCAAGACAATGAAAAGACTTACTCGGATGATGTGGCTGCATGTAAGAATAGACAGAGACCGAGTATATACCCTATGATACATCGCATATTGCAAGTACCTATACCGCCTTGCTGAACTTGCTGATACTTGGAGACGACCTTTCGCGTGTGGATCGCGACGGTATTGTGGGGACCATCAAGCGCTTGCAACAAGAGGATGGCAGGTAAAGAGAATAAGAAGGGTTTTGAAATTATCTAAAAAGCGACGTTGACATCATACTTTCGTTTTGGACGCAACCGAATAAACAAAGTGTTGCTCCGACGAATAACAGTCTGGAAAAGGATGCACGATTCTTGTATTGTGCATGCGCTGTATCCTACATTCTGGATGACTGGCGTGGCATAGATGTAGATTTGTCTGTAGAATACGCTAAACGTCTCCAGGTAACTATTGCCACCATTTCGGGTGGAGGGTAAGGAAGAGAAAGAAGAGGCTGACGTATTTTACATGCACGCTAACGGAGATTCCTGCTTGATATAGACATATGAGCATACATTCAGTCAGTCGCCCAACACCGAAGCACATGGTAATAATGACCCTCGTAAATCATGGTTTAGCAATAAGCCAGAAGGAAAGAATGGATAGGAAGCAGTTATTGACTTGGTTATCCTAGGCGGATCGACCTTTTGCGGAGTGGGAGCATTGACGCTGATGGGAAAACAAACGGAAGGATTGATAAATAAGGAAAAGCTGATAAAATGGTGCTTAAACCAGCAGACTACCGGATTCGCAGGTCGACCCAACAAGGATGCTGACGCGTGCTATTGCTTCTGGATTGGTGCCGCATTGGAGGTAAAAAAACAAAACAAAAAAAAACCGCTCGCTCTCTCGCAACGCGAAGGCCGTCGAGCGATATTATTGACTCATTTTACCTCACAGATGGTTGGTGCGTACCAGCTTGTGAACCACAAGAACTGTCGCGATTTTCTTTTAGCGTGCCAGACTAAAGTTGGCGGGTTCGGAAAGACGCCTGGGACGTATCCTGGTACGTGTGCGCTGCTCTGAAAGAGAGAGAGAGAGAGAGAGAGAATAGAGAATAGAGAATAGAGAAATAACAGCTGTCTGGAAAACAATAGACCTGATGCACTCTTATATGAGTCTTGCTGCGCTGTCACTGATGGACTACGCAGGGATTGGCAAGCTGAAGGTCGCGGTCAATGCGCCAAAGCGGTCGTTTGAAAAAAGGAATATGGTGGCAGCGGCGAGAAAGGAGCAGCACATTTGAGAATCCACCAGAAAGCCACCAGCACACAGTATTGGTTTTGGGGGGACGGGGGGAGGGGCTGGGAGCGACGTGATAGGCTAGAACGGAAAGGTCTTTCTCCGCAATTCGATTTTATTCTTTTTATTATGCAGCTGAAAGCAATCATCATCGACGCTATATAAAACCCTTCACGTCTCACATTTCTGGTTTTCTTTTTCTTTTTTTTTTCAGTCCACAGCGCCTTTCTTTCTTTCTTTCTTTCTCTGCTTCTACTAAGCTACTGCTACTACTGCTACTACTACTACCACCAAAAGTACTTATATCACACAACACTTACAAACACTATGACCAAAGCCGTCGGTATTGATTTGGGCACAACCTACAGCTGCGTAGGCGTATGGCAGAACGACCGCGTTGAGATTATTGCCAACGACCAAGGTAACCGCACCACTCCCTCGTATGTCGCCTTCACTGACAGCGAGCGTCTCATTGGTGATGCCGCAAAGAACCAAGTTGCTGTAAGTATTTTGTACCCTCTGACGTGTATTGTATAATCATCGTCAATCACACGTACCCTCTGACGTGTATTGTATAATCATCGTCACTCACACGTCTTCTTCTTCTTCTTCTTCTGCTGCTGCTGCTGCTGGTGTAATAGATGAACCCACACAACACCGTGTTTGACGCCAAGCGTCTCATCGGTCGTCGTTTTGCTGACCAAGAAGTCCAATCTGACATGAAGCACTGGCCCTTCAAGATCATTGATAAGGGAGGCAAGCCCGTGATCGAAGTCGAACACAAGGGTGAAAAGAAGGAATTCACACCCGAGGAAATCTCGTCCATGGTCTTGATCAAAATGCGCGAGACCTCCGAAGGCTACTTGGGTAGCAAGGTTGAGAGTGCCGTCATCACAGTACCTGCTTACTTCAACGACTCGCAGCGCCAGGCTACCAAGGACTCTGGCTCCATCGCCGGCTTGAATGTGCTGCGTATCATCAACGAGCCCACCGCTGCTGCCATTGCCTACGGTCTTGACAAGCAAACCAAGGGTGAACACAACGTGCTCATCTTTGACTTGGGTGGTGGTACCTTTGATGTCTCCCTGCTTACCATCGAAGAAGGCATCTTTGAAGTCAAGGCCACGGCAGGCGATACACATTTGGGTGGCGAAGACTTTGACAACCGTTTGGTCAACCACTTCATCCAAGAATTCAAACGCAAGTTCAAGAAGGATATTTCCGGCAACGCACGTGCCGTCCGTCGTCTCCGCACTGCTTGTGAGCGCGCAAAGCGCACCCTCTCGTCCTCTGCCCAGACCTCGATTGAAATCGACTCTCTCTTTGAGGGCGTTGACTTTTACACGTCGCTCACGCGTGCCCGCTTTGAGGAATTGAACCAGGACTTGTTCCGTCAGACCATGGAGCCTGTCGAGAAGGTCCTGCGCGACTCAAAGATCGACAAGGGTTCTGTCCACGAAATTGTCTTGGTCGGAGGTTCCACCCGTATCCCCAAGATCCAAAAGATGGTTTCAGATTTCTTCAACGGCAAGGAGCCCTGCAAGTCCATCAACCCTGACGAAGCCGTTGCGTACGGTGCCGCAGTCCAGGCTGCCATTCTCACCGGCGATACCTCCGAAAAGACCGACTCCTTGCTTTTGCTCGATGTCTCACCGTTGTCTCTCGGTATCGAGACCGCTGGCGGTGTCATGACCGCCTTGATCAAGCGCAACACCACCGTCCCCACCAAGAAGTCAGAAATTTTCTCAACCTATGCCGACAACCAGCCTGGCGTGTTGATCCAAGTCTACGAGGGTGAACGTGCCCGTACCAAGGACAACAACTTGCTCGGCAAGTTCGAACTCACCGGCATCCCGCCTGCTCCTCGTGGTGTGCCCCAGATTGAGGTCACCTTTGATGTCGATGCCAACGGTATCTTGAACGTCTCGGCTGTCGACAAGACCACCGGCAAGTCTAACAAGATTACCATCACCAACGACAAGGGTCGTCTGTCCAAGGAAGACATTGAGCGCATGGTTGCCGATGCCGAAAAGTACAAGGCCGAAGATGAGGCTGCTGCTTCCCGTATCCAGGCCAAGAACGGCTTGGAATCCTACGCCTACAACTTGCGCAACACCCTCAGTGAAGAGAACGTCGCTAGCAAGCTCGAGGCGGACGACAAAGAGAAACTCGACAAGGCCATCACAGAAGCCATCGAGTGGCTCGACAACTCTCAAGAAGCTAGCAAGGAGGAATACGAGAGCAAACAAAAGGAATTGGAAGACACTGGTAAGTTAGCGCGCATCAAGACACATGTACTTTATATTATAGTCGTATAGCTTTCTTAACCTAACATCTTCAACACACACATAGCCAACCCAATCATGCAAAAGCTCTATGCCCAAGCTGGTGGTGCTGGTGGTATGCCTGGTGCCGGCGGCATGCCAGGTGGTGCTCCAGGCGGTGCTCCAGGCGGTGCTCCAGGTGGCGGTGGCGACAACGGCCCAACTGTCGAGGAAGTCGACTAAATCAATCCATACAGTCCTCACACCTACGCACTCATTGCCTTCCAAAACATATCTTTTACATCCTTTTGACATCATCTGAGTTTGTATAAACCCTTAGTATGAAAAATAAAAAAACCAAGACATGCTCGTTGTACATAAATAAAATGAAGTTGTCTTCCACTTGAAGAATAATTCTCGTCGCACACGGAAAAAAAGTCTACAGCCTCATCGATGCGATCGTGCATATTTGTAGCAACAGGTGACAGTAGACAGTGGCCACTCCAACTGTTGTTCAGGCTGACAGTCCTGCTGTAACGCGTCTTTTCCTTCAAAGAGAGGACTTTTCGCAAACAACTGCACGTTTTCAACGGCTGATAATGACAATGATTATCGACTGCCCATATTGATTAGCGGTGTATTGTGGAAGCTTGTGATGTGCAGCTGCATCACGTAATAGCAGGGACGTGATCACCCAATGAAAGCAATACGCGCAGTATTTAACGCATAACATTAAAGCACTCCTATCCTTTCATCCATGCTTTATTATCCATCTCCATGTCTGTTAAAGCAGCTCACTGATACTGAGTATATCGTCCCGTGCGGATCCGTGTATTTGACAATATTAAAAACCAAACTTCCTTGGCTTATGTACAATTATTGCACGACATGAAGGACTCTGTCACAGCAGAAAGGAGCTATCAGTTTTGCATGGGCTGGTCCCGTTGCCTTGCTAAGCAATAACAGCAACTGAAAGTCCTTGTCCCCCTATCTGTGTTGTCAAACTCATCCTTCTCAGTAGGTTGTATCATTAAAGTAATTCAAGTTGTTCGGTTGTTTCTACAGCACCGAGATTCTGTGCAACAACACATATGAAAAGGTTTTCTCGATGTGAGATTTCTATTAGTTGTTACAGGATGTCTATTCACCTGCACAAATACTTTGACGAAACGTTTGGTAGTCTTGGCGAGGTTGATAGCTCATTGTCTCTTTTCCCATATTTATGAGCAAGTGCTCACTTTTACCATTACACGGTCGCTGCAATTATTCCTATAGCAATGTCTCTGTCAGCTCAGACCGCGATTGTTTATACATATCGCTCAAATCTAGAAAACGAACTCACTAAAACTGACTCGGTACAGCATACATACCCATTTCAGTTTCCCCAGCATCAGCGATCCCGGGAATAGACACACTTTAATATAACTGTGTTCTTCTATTTACATATATGTTGAGGAAGCTGTGATATGCTAATCTTTGCTCGCGATTGGCACGGCAAAAATTGTCGGTACAGCGTTCAAAGTTTGGCATGAATCAGTCGCGACGTAACAAATAATAACTGCTGCCATCAGTTTTGGTATGAATTCGCTTAAATCTAATGTAGTATACATTGGTGTGTGAGAGGTTGAAAAGGAAAAGAGAAGAAAAGAGGGGTTGCTATGCAACTTTGAAAAAATGGTATATTACCAATTTTGGCAGCAAGAATATGTGTATACACCCATATGATACATCGTGGAAAGCACTACAGTCGCATGAGGATAATCATGCAAAATCAATTTGAGTCTTGGTGATCCAGAATCGGCGCGCAACAGACTGTGTTCCACATGAAACAACGCCGATATCCAAGTATCCTTTTTCATCGCTACCAAAGCAAAAGAGATGTTGCAACAGGGAAAATTAACTATTCTTGTGTGTTCGCGTAGGACTGTAAATTCCACGTTAAAACATATCTCATAATTAGCATTCTTATATTTTCTGTGTTTACGATGATATAGCAACTGTCAGATATAGGGACTCACATTGACGGGGAAGGGCTTTTAAACAAAATTTGCTGGTATCATAACAAAGTAAGAGTGGATAATGCGTTAGTGCAAGTACATGTATAGAATTTGATAGAATGTATTAGCAAATGGAAGATAAAAGGCGTACAGAATCATCCCCATACATATATATGATGAAGCAAACTGTCAGCATTTGCGTCTTACACCGATAAAGCAGCTTTGTAGATGTAGCGACCAAGTAATGCATTGCAAGTTCCGCATGATTTTTCTTCGCACGAAAAACCTGCATAGCAGTAAGAGATAAGTGATATGTATATGACATGGCAGGTGTGGGACATATATTCGACGTTGTCCCGTTTTATGGAATCCCATTCAGATATCATTTTTCTCGGTAGCCAATGCCAACCTTCAGTTTAATGATGCTCTCCAATATCAAATTATTATAGCCACAATAATATTCGCTCATTGGTGTGACACCGAGATCCTGCTTGCAAAAAAATAATGAGTATGCATGTTTGTTTTGAGTTCAAATTAAACAAACGTAAAAATTGTCATTATTACTACCTTTAAAAGTTGAGCGAATTTTCCTCTGGCGCAAGTCGGTTAAAGTAAGATTTCACGAAAGTATTTAACGCGTTGCATACCTCTCTATTCACGGAGTGACATTTAAGTAACCCAGGTTTATCATTGATTTAGTTCGGTAGGAAAGATAAGCTTTTTCAAACCAATACTGTATGTGATCATCTAATGGAGTTGACTCAAAATTTATATGAATATTACTTGTGTCTAGGTCTGATGGACGCGTTTTGTCATCTTTACATATGCTTACAGTTTATTCACTTTTTGTTTTTTCGATCAAAGCTGCGCCATACTCAATAAATGAATTGACGAGTATACTCGTGTTGGCACAACGAATTTAGAGGAGATTATGTGCAATGTTTAGTTTTATCCGTTGTCTCGCCGAGAGGCGATCGCGTAGATGCTGTTTGATCCATTTCACTTCAATCGCGATACGAGGAGTCCTTCGGTCAAGTCTTTTTTTCCCATTATAAACATGGCTAGATCAGTAACAGCTTGCTGTACGTTTAGGATTATAATAATTTGCCGTAATGCTTTTTGCTCATGTTGTTTTGGGCTCGGGATTCAAGTAAAAATTTGCCGTTGCAATCCTCTACATAATACCCTCACCAACAATTTCATTTCATTTCTGCTTTTTAAGCTCTGTTTCTCGTATCGCTGACTCGAACTGCACCGTAATGCTTTGTGTGCTAAAGTTCCATAAAGTTCGTTCTCGTGCATGCAGCGGAACAAGATTCATCCATAAAAATGCTTTTTGGCAGCCTTCTTATCGTGATGAGCGTGAAGGTATTCAGTTATATGCATTAGGTGATCCGTCCTGCTATGTTGTGCATTGGTATTTATATGTAATAGCAGGTTTAATACCTGATTGTGCATACATGCGCGCATACTTGCACCAGCACCAGCACGTACTATTACGTGCGACATACATTCACATTAGTGAGCAAAGTGATGAATGCAGAAATTCAAGTAAAAAGAGCAGCCTTGCATTTCAGTGTGGCGTAAACCATGTGGAATCAAAATGCAGTTGATTTCAACAAATATTCTTCGTCCACGCTGACGACCAGACATACTTATGTGTACTAGATCTGATCACCGCCGGGGCAGCCATATAGGTGTCCTTACCTACGTATACTCTCCTTGCTGTATTTGAACGAAATCCCTAAGAAATTACCTAGCAATAACATCTATATGCTGTTTACTGGACCAAGTGTAAGCATTGCCGTCACATCACAGGTTCTCAGAAATGATGACTGCCATGCATACACTTATTTATTCTTAGACATATTTCATCTGTCAGCAATTACATGGCACAAGTAGCTTCATAAAAAGGGTAGGTTTTAGTGCTATGAAATGAACGAATCATAAACATTTACAGTACGCTTCCTCAAGAAGGTGTATGACCATACATATTTTCAATATATTGTAGAACATTTATGATTGAGAGGTGATGAAACAGCTCCCTGTTTTCAACTTCACCACCATCTTCTTTTTACAGATGAAGTTTCTCACAGTTCCTGCAACAAACCTTGTTGCCTCCCGATATAAACACTGCTGCACAAAATACTTCTTAAAACTGCATGAGATATAGTTTGGAATGTTTTATGGATCGGCTACCAACTTGTTGTTGATGTTTTGGATTGATAAATGGTGCGGGCTTCGACAAATTGTTTCACAGTTTTCTCCCAATCTTTGATCTGATAAGCATTAATGCGACTACTATACATATTGCAATGGAACTTACCACGGTGGTAAGTTCCATAATCTTCTAAAAGTCGACCATAACTGTAAAATACTTGGCGAAAAAAGCTATATAGATTTAACTGCTATAGAAATCTAGGTAACTATAGAGCACGTAGCAGTTAGGGTGATCCGGAGATATGGTGATGGCAAAATTCAATCATCCTGTTAGTACAATTCTGTTAGATTAGATACATTGTGAGTTTGTGACACAAGACAACATAACAAGCAAACAATGTTGTCGCTCAGGGGGTGAGAGGAGGGTCCAGAGACACATTTCGTAGCATAACATACATTGCGCCCCAGACAAAGCATATTGTAACACAATACAATCAACAAAAAAAAGTAATTTAATGTGTTTCGAGTATTTGTTGACGCCTACTAGTCATACGCCAATGTAAACCTAACCATAGAAATGGATGAAGCGAATGAAGATCATCAAGAAGAGTGTTTTATATGTCTAGTATTTACATAAACGAAATAAAAGATAACGCCGGCCCTAAATCATCGTTGCTAAATGAATGATCTATGTTTTACGTGTGTACAAGAGGATAAAAAAAGAAGCTGTCGACTTTCAACATTAAATCGATCACATGTGACTGACAGACCGATACTTTTCTAGGCATCATGTATTTTTCCATCTTTGTCACATATAGAAAGTATCGCAGCAGCAGTAGTAGTGATTGATGATACACCTCGTGGGAGAAAAGCCCTCGTTTTTTAATATAGAGGTGTGATCTACGCCAACGATGGCGATCAGCACAAATTCGTTCTAGCACGTTCAAGGGCATAATTGAAGGAGTACAATAATAGTATAATGTTTTTAGTTACACGGTAATTCACTGAGTTCACGATGACGACGAGTAAGAAGTTCAGTGTGATAGTATGCCGATTCTGGCAATTACATTGTAACCTCAGCGGCGGGGCGGAAGATCCTCCGGATGGGCGTTCGTCGGCGTGAAAGTTCTATGGTACATTATACTTAGATCTTAAAATAGCTCATGTTTCATACTATGACATAAAAGATCTCTCTCTATCTCTCTATGTTCTCAATACCGTGCGTAAGCAGACAAAAGTTTGTTGTAATATGGTATTGAAAAAGAACGAGATTGTATTATATTAAATGATCGATTAAATAGCGTAATTACATAAATAAGATTTTTCGTCTTTTAGTCATTAGTAGCGGGGTGGATATATAGGAAAAGGATTATTCTAATAATTGATGAGAGGGTAGATGTAGAAGCCATATTAAAGATGCGTGTATTATTACGTGGTAGCGAGGGATGGATGGATAAATAATTAAGGTGGAGAGACAAAGGGAGGGAATATGCAATGCAAACAAAAAAAAAGTTTGAGGATCGTATGGAGAATTGGGCATAAATGATTGATCATCGATGTGGTTGTTGTGGCTGTTGGTGCTGTTGCTGTTGTGACGCACATCTGTCGCATGGCTCATCTATACCAAGGGCGCGACCACATTGCGGACAGTTCGTCCGGCAATCGGGACAGACCCATCCTTGTTTCAGCACTCGACCGCAGCCGCATGTCGGAGGGTCACAGCCATCGGTAGTGTCGTAGTCGTAGTCGTAGTCGTCATCGTCATCCTCGTCTATGCTCATCTCTAATTCGACATCGTCCGGTCGCTGCTGTCGCTCAGGATCGGCATTGTCATAGTAACCGTTGCTGTTGACATGACTGCTGTTGTTGCTGTTGCTAGGTTTCCGTCGACGATGCAATCCGAAAATCCGGGCCAAGTGATGTAAGAACACGCGTAAGATCTCTTTGAATGTCCGCATGACAAAAGTAGTGGAAAAAAAAACAAAAAACAAAACAGAAAGACTTTTTGGGACTGGAGAGGATTGACTTCGTCACTGTGCATCCCTTTTATAGCGAGTGTCATTGCTTCTTGAAACTGCGATCTCCGCAAAAAAAAAGAGAAGCACCAACGATGTTTTTTTTAGAGCGACGGACGGTGTAGCACAAATTAATAACGACTGGCCCACTTGGAGCGAAGGGAATATATTTCATTCACGATTGAAATTAGATGACGAATGTGATGATATCACAACCATGAGAGAACAAAAAGAACCCGGGATTTTGGAAACTGTGTTACTTTGTGCACTCTCACTCACATAAATTCAGCAACAGCAACAGCACATCCTCTAACATAATACGAAAACGTGAAACGGGCCTGGCCTTTCAGCCACGCGCCGCCACACCTCACCGATTGGTTCCTCTGAAAGAACCGACAGCGATCTCGCCACGTGGGAGCTTCTAGTTTCCGTGGGCGAAAACACGCCAGCAAGACCATCCACACAGAAGCGAGGGGCGCCATGTGATATTTACTCCACATCATCCTGCCATTTTTTAAATGTACCAAGTAAGTGAAGGCTATTAATGACGCGTGTTTATGTGTGCCGATGTAAAAACGCCATTTCGCCAAAGATCTTACTCTCCCTTGATACTCTTTCTTCAATCTTCCAGCCCGCCCCCTTGCCATGCTACCCACGAGGGAGGCGCGCGCTTTTGTTGTGGGTCGCTTTGCGGGAAAAAAAAAACAGAAAGAGAAGAGAGTTTCAGGACTCCCGCACTGTTATGTGAGATATGCGCGCGCGGCGTTTTGTGTCGTTATCTCGATGATTGTTGTCCTGCTATCGATACGAATTTGGGCGTTGTAGACAGGATACACAAACTGTCAGCTTTAGGGACACTCCTGTCAACCCTGTTTCGGTTGCGCTTCCGAGTGGCCATGCCCCTTCCGAAAGGTATAAAACGGGTCCTGCACCTTTTCGTTTTTGCAAAGGCATTCCTCCTTTTCTCTCTCTCTCTTCGATTATTCATTCTTCTTTCTCCCGGGCTCTGCATCCCATTTCTCGTGATACTACTGAAACCACTACTACAGACATAATCCAGTAATCATGCCACCAGACAGACCCGCCAAGCCCGCTCTCCCAAGACCATATCCCGCTCAGGTCAAGCGTCCAAGATGAAGGGCAACAAGCATCTGTCCTTTTCTTTCCAGGGCACAATTTTGCCTGTGTGTATCTTTCCACCTCTTTCTATCTCACCAACCAAGACCATTGTATATATCCGTATTCGAACAACGTAAAAGCTGCCATCATCCATCCGTTTACAGCAAAAAAAGTTTTGTGGTTTCCAAGCAAACGCGTTTTGCCGGTGTTATTTTTTTCGGGCGTCGTTAATGTAGAAATTCCTTTTGATAATCTTTGTCTTCCTGTTTTCTGTTTGTACTTGTCTTTTGTTTTTGTGCTTTTCCAAAATGAACAAAAAATCATTTTTCGCGCTCTTTTTCGATTTGCTGTGTTTTGTTCTTGTACAGCTCTACTGATGTATTTGATCTGCTGTTACGTGTGACAAGCCGTCAACTTTTAAAACGCCAAACTATACTCACTGATGGATTGACGTAGTAGCAGCCCGCATTTATATTATCGTCAGATATACATTCGAAGAGAGAAAAAAAGAAGGGACACAAGGTGCTGCTGTTTATTACTATTGGCTTGTCTATCTAAGCAACTGGCTTGCGAATCTATCTCTGGCCGATTGGTATGCTTGCATCAGCGTTTGTTCACTGAAAGGAATATCGACCATGTCAAGTCGTGGTTTGGATACTCGACTAACAATGGCGTTTGCGTCTGTCTCGAGAATGATCCTATTTATATCTTGGTGAGTAAAGTTCTTTCCTCCCCACCGCCTATCTCCCTGGGTGCTTGCGAAAACACAAACTTACCCTGCGTCCACCGTTTCATCCAGACAGAGCACCACTAGATCCAAATTATCCATCACCGATCGCTTTTCCACTTGGAATCTTGCAGTCACAACGTACACACAGATAGAGAGAGAAAAAAGTAAGAATTAGAAACATAGCATAAAGCATCTAGTTTGTAGCCATCAGTCTTTCGCAGGGACATTAAATAGTACCTCAACAATGTAGAAACAGCGTCATAGAATGCATTAAGCATGCTCAATAATATCAGCTCGTTCTCTTCGGTGGATCCAACCACGTAAAAGAATATATCAATGTTTGAGCGATACAGCACAACTTGATTATCGTACAAAATAACTTCGCCTGGTGTTCATCTTGCATTATTAGAGCTTTGTTTTTCATACCCATTCACATCTCGTTTCTGCTCGTAATCACCACTTATATGTACTGTGAGAGAAAAAAAACGAACCTTGTGCACGCTTGGTTTTGTCGAACAATCCCTTTTCAAATGCCTTTTGTTCTTTCAGATTCGGGTAATCTTGTCCATAGTATTTTCCGAGAACACGATTTCCTTCGGCATCAAGCAGTACGACTGCCTTGATGGAGTATAATGAGAGATTCACCATGGCTTCTTGAAGGAGGAGTTGAAACAGTGCGCGTAACTGGGACACTTGGTCGCACCTTGAATGAAATCGACAACAGCCAATTAAATCGCGTCAAATGCCAATACGGACACAATCCGCTTCATGTTCAGCAGTGTAATACTAGGGTTATGAGTGTATCGTCCTTGAACGTCGATCCAGTAACTTCGAAAGGAAAACGAGATACGCGAGTGAGAAGCATAATAAAGATATATGTATTGTTAAGCCTAAAGAGCTTCGTCCAGAGAGGACACTTTTGCGAGTTGGTGACCGTGGTGGCTCTCGATGGTTTCATTGTCATAAAATTTATCTAATTCAAGAAAAAACTCACATTGCCTACTTGAAATATTATAAAGCCCACCCACCTCTTTCTTTCACGACTGCAAGACATTAGAGCTCTCTTTATTAGCGTAAGATCACTTTGCACAACTGGCTGCTAGATTCAAAAAACCCTTCGATCATTCTTGCTCTTTTACCTTGACAACCATCCTAATCTCTGGGTTCAGCCCCAAGACCTAATCTGAGCGGGACTCGTACGCTGGCGGTATTTACCGAAGAAGATCGTACCAAATGGCTCAAGTAAGAGTCCCATAGAGGCTAAGCAAGGATTTAAATGGTCACAGCTATAAAGACGATAAAGGTCTTTGATAATTGTCAAGTAACAGCATAACTCCTAAACGGAGATGACAGAACTTGAAAAACAGGTACGTATATCCTAAAAATTCTGAGAAGCTCGAAAGGGTAGTGAGTAGCGTAATATCAAGGCTCGGCAACATCGCCTGATAATGTCGCAATAATATGCTATACTGACTACGTATATTGCTTCATGTGTATTGCACAGATTGAAACAGCTCTGAGGGCGTTTCTTCTTTCCGTAAACGTAACTTTCTGTTGGTTGGTACGATATTCGTTCCGGGGTTTTCTGCCCACTACTGTATCGCCACGAAGTCTTTTGTGACGAGAATATAAAGAAATCGACATTGCAAAAATTGTCAAGAATGGGTACTGAGGTTTTAAAGTCTTGCTTTATAAAGATGCATTATATAATTTACATAGTTGATGTGCACTCTAATATTTATCTAGTATACAGTATACTATGTGAAACTCACACTAGATATGAGGTGTAAGTAAACGAAACAGACTGTCACCGACAAGCAAAGCGGTTTTTTCGTTATTGGTCAGATACAACTTAATCGTTCGCTTCTTCAATTCAAGCACATATGTTTAGGAATACTCTGCTTTCTTTCTATCTTGACCTATTGTTGATAAGACGGAGATCAGTACGACAACAACCATGTGCATAATGCGTGCTTGCTTCCCCATATGCAGGTATCAGACTTAGAAGCTCAACCACTCCTTCCTTCATCCGCCATATTAGCTAGAGCAATAATATCGGAGCCACAACCGTGATGTTCCCGTGTGCTTCGTTTTTCCCCCCAGATTCGATCTCGCGGCGGCGGTTGTATACATTGCGCCTATTATATTTCGGCGAACACACCTTGTACAACATTGCTGAAATAGATACAGATCCAACCGACTGAACCAGTGAACTGTCGAAAATCTCACCATCCTTGATGATAAAATTTATTCGTCATGCTAATAAGTACCGGAAATTGCTTAAGCAACAGTAAATGTATAGTTCAACATATAGCCGTTGTACGATCAAGGCTGGTGTATTCGAGCTGCAATATCATCATATTGATAATAAAATCAGATCTGCTCGTCAGTGGTCATCATCGTCAGCGTCATACAACCCCATGTCATTGTGCTCTATCTTATAGCACACTAACTTGTAATGGTGTAGCATAGACTCATATATGTACAAGAGAAAGAGGTGTCTGTTATTACTATAATTACGTATTACCAGGGTAGGACAGAATATTAGCCTTAGGTACTATGGTAAATGGTTTTTTGAGCTAGCCAAAACGGTTTCCACAGCATATGGTCGATATTTTGCTTTTTTCCTATGGTGATACCAGCCCGCGTAATAAAAAAAAAGAAAGATGACATCCGATCAATGCCGAGTATTCAAGTGTGACAAGTCTCCTTTTCGGTGTATCTTCAATTGTTTTGATGACCGTTAATTACGTCTACTTCCACATGTTATTATGGCACATCTCATACGCTATTATTTGTGTTCTCCATTTCATTTGTTCCGAGAAAAGAACATAATATAGCAGGCTTGTAGAATTATTATAGTCAGCTTTTCATTAGAGGCCTTTTTTTACGCGGTACGAATCTCACGTTTCGTCCTTTTAAAGCTGGCCTTATTTTTAGAAATAATGAGTCTGAGCATCATGCTGAAATAATTGTAACCGGAGGAAATGGAACTCCCGTTACAGTAAATGACCATCTTCACTGTTTATAATGTTTGTATTTTAATATTTACCATTGTGTCAAAATTTTTATATTTTGGAGAGGGAGTTCTCGAGAAGCCTTGATGGGCTAAAAAAGAGAAAATAGTAAGTGCATACTTGTTGTTGTTTCTATGTTGTTGTTCTACATACAAATAGAACGTCCTTACTACGAAAGCGTATATCATAAACATCGAACCATTTGATGCTGTCGGCTTTGTTCCAAAGTTTATTTTAGGTAACACACGAAAAAGAATAGCGGTAGTAAATAACGTTTTCAATCAAGTGGCAACTCATTAAATGGAGCGAATAAGGCACAGGTACGCAAATAAATAACCGATTATACAAAATTAACCGCGGGTGGGTGGCAAAACATCCAAGCCGGTGGAGGCCGTTCGCCATAAGCGGTACATAATCACGCTTTAATCGTTTTTTTTTTACATTCTTATCCTACTCGCCTAATAGCCAATCAGAAAATATAACTTTCTTACGGTCTTTCATGCGAAATAGAGCAGCAGCGATCAATTGGTCTGAAATTCACTCAAAGAGACCTATAACTATATATTTTAACCAGATTGCTGTTGTAGGACTGACAGTGGATAATTCATGACCATAGTTGCTTGCATGTAAATTGGAAGATGATCCTATGCGGCTTACAGTAACCCACAACATAAGTCTCCCAGATATTAATAACACAATCCTAATAAAATTATACTCATAATAACTTCCATTTCTTTTGTATGTATTGACATTAACTATGAATATTTAAGAAACCGACAGGGCTTATGGCCAACACTTCTTTCACGCACACAGATATTGTTAGCAACTTTGAGGAGCAGCAAAGATAAAATATATGCATGTATATACTCTCTTACCAAAACAACAAGGCCAAGGAAGACGGCGGAAAATCATTGCATGTGCTGCTAGGAACTGGAGGCATGTGCACATGCAATAGCAAACAAGTGTACTATTAAAATAAAGACCATGGAAAGATCAAGGTTTAAGTGAGCAAAGAGCTGTTAGCAATTAGCGTGTAATAGGCATGAATTGAGGACCTTGTAGTGCTCAACGCAGCTGTGGCACACAGACATACGACAATGATCCACGCTAAAATAAGCATCCTGCAGGAAACATGAATCTTATGATATCCAGGTAGCGTGATCGTCGCCTTTGATAAAATATGCCAACGCTCCAAAGCAGCAGAAACCGTCCGATACCACATTTTCTACCCTTAGATAGCGCCTTATTCTAGTCAATTCGAGCGGTAGCGCTATGGATAATCGGCATCACACAGACATAATTGGATAACTATAATATTGGCTTACATCGCAATGGTAAAACTAATATTTGAAAAGGATCTCACTCTTTTGTGGCTTTCTAATTTTCGCTTTTTTACAGGATGGCCATGATAACGCTTGTTTTTGCCAAAATTGCTTTTATCTATTTGGGTTTTTGTTACTCCAGATTTAGCTACATAAGGCATACAGGTAAATATAAACCGGTCAATGAAGAGAGTGATAGAATTATAAGGAGAAAGTAAGTATGATACCTAGAGTAAGGTCATCGTTTGTCAGATGAACAACCGAGTGTATGCATCATACATAATTTGAGCGATTATAGCGTCGGCCCAGCAGATTTAATGCTTGTATCATAACGTAGACGGCAAACCATATAATACCCAGAGCACCTTTATACAGTAATCATATCAATGGTTTTGATAAAATATACACGGGGAGCTGTGGTTAGTTCACTTGCCTTTGTGTGCTTCTCTTTCTTCCACGACGTATTATATGTGAGTTCGGGCTAAGGTATGGGGGAAGTAAGCAATGAGGAGTGTAAGGAAAAACAAACCTTTAAGAGAAGACAAACAGAAAAAGTGAGTTGCATGAAAAGATTAGAGAGGTATTAGGTACGCAAACTTATCTTTTCGACCAATTTATCAATGACACGGTGATACTTGTAAGAGACAACCTCTGAGTGTGTCAATTAACGATGCTTCGTACAGCTTTTTCTTCGACAAACCCAATCTGTGAAGCCCACCATAAGATTACATGCTACAAAGTATAAAAAACAATAGAAAACATGGTGAATAAGGGCTAGTTGTGTTTCGTGCTGTTCATTGTATGACACTTTCTCATAAAGTTCGAAACAAAAACCAAACAGGAGGAGTGCAGACTTTACTTACTATAGCGACAATTGCTAACCATCTATGGATTACCCAAAAAAGCACGTCATGCGCAATAGTCCACAGTATCATCAGGGAGGCAGTTATGATCAATGCGACCGTGGTGGTCTTGACGATATATGCGAATCAACGTTTCTTCCTCTATACTATTTCAAGTAAAGGCGAGCCAATAAGCCAATTAAACCCATTTTTTTGGGTACTACAGTACTACTATGACGTCGGTGTAACAATTTTTTGTGCTGGTGCTTTCCAAAGCTACAGATTGAATGACAGTTCATTTTCTGATTTGATCCCCCCAAACCTTCTCTACTGTCCCCCGCGCCTGATGGAATCATATGAACTTGCCGTGGTACGTAGTTTATGCCACCAAAACAAAGCATCTTAGAGAAGAATGTAATCCCAAGGGGGGTGAGTGGAATTCTAAAGGAATACGTATCAAGAATGAGTAGAAACCACTCCCAAAAAAGTATACTCAGAAAAAGAAAAACGAGAGACTTGACTGTATCCCCAAACTCAAAAAGAAATATGCTTTAAAGGGATAGATCGACGACAACGGAATAGAAAGGTCGATCTACTAGAATTGATTCGTCATGTTTCATCCTTCCTTGTAGCTTAAAGCCAAACGAATTTCAAACGGAGAGTAATGGTGGTGGATCGCGAGGCTGTCCTGTACCTTCTTTTCCCTCGTCTTCAAATTGATCCAGCATTGTATCACACGAATATATCAATAGAGCCAAGAACAAAGACCCTTTGAAGTTCCAACCAACGTGACACACAGACACACGATCTCTTATCTTTCTTTTTCTGTTCCTTTCTCTTTACTTGTTCACTTCTACCCGAGAAAGAATACATACCAAGAGAAAGTGTGTCTTATTTTTTTGCGAATGGAGTTTGATGAAGTCAACCACTTTGTCAAGCATGGAAAGCCAACGACGCCATTGGACTCAGACGATCGCAGCATTGCCGCATTGGCAATCGGAACTCCCTATTATCCTGATTTCCCGTACCCACAAACATTCACCAGCATCAATAATAAGAAACGGCCCATTACAGCCAAATTCGTCGACACAGTCCGCCATCGATTAAAGAAATCGTCTAGCGTCACAGCATCTACAAACAGTAATGTTGAGGGAACAGATCTTTTCCAGCACCATAGCGGTAGTAGCAGCAGTATTGCGCGCCAACAACAAAGTCAACGTCGTCGTCCTCTGAAACGAGCAACAACATCTACTTCGAAAAAGGCGGCAACAACAACAACAACAACAACAACAACAACAACGAGGACCGATAGATCAACCGCGAGTGATAGTACTGGTACACGCACTATTGCAACGACGACAGCAACAACACCATTACTGGTCAAATCAAGTACTGATTCGCACCATCAAAATCATCGACCACGAGAAAGATCAGGTGGTCACCGGTTACTACTGTCTCGTTTGAAGAAACAGCAACAGCACCACCATCATCATCATCATCATACTAGTGGCGGTGTCGTAGAAGAAGGAGGCTACTATTCTGTAGACGATTCATTGTATCGCCGGACGAAACAGAGGTCTACATCTTCGAGACTGTGGAAACGACGACGGCGACCAAGACGATTATCTTCAGCTATTGAACCCCCTGATCCCATGTCCGCCACGGCGACGACGACGACAACGACAACCATTCCAGTAGTAGCAGCACTATCAACGCAAAAGTTGGCTGATCTGCAGATGATCAGTGATCAAATGCGAAGGTTTTGTGTGCCGTCTGACTGGGCAAGTGTTACGAGGCGGCCCTCGCTAACTGCTTTTCCCCTACCACCCATATTGGAAGGTTTGGATCGACAAAGGGGCTCTCCGCTGTAAGTTCCATCACTCAGTCACTGCCTTTTTTCTACTTTCAACATGTCTTTTTTTTTATGATGTGAGGTGACTCGGCATTAATCAATGGTGATTATTTTTAGAACACTGGCCAGTGTGTTGAATGACATGACAATGAGCATCTCTCGATACCAGTATCTGTGCGATCAAGAGCAGCAACGCATCGAGTCCAGTCGTCAGGAGATCGAGGAGCATGTTTTCAAGTTACAACAACTGGATCGTGACGTGGAACAACTCAACAGCAAGATCGTGTTGGCACGGTCCGAAGGCATGGAAGGACTGCAGCATATGCTCCAGGACACGCAACTCCGTTTGCCACTTGTCAAAGAGGCACGTTTGCGGCACAAAAGGACGGTGGCGGCAATTGAAGGCTACAACAAAAGCATGAATTATGCCGTGCGACTTGCGGATCTGCAGAGTAAAGTGTTTGCTGCACGACAGCGTCAGCTGACCTGGAATTGTGTCCAGCAGTGGATTCCGTCTATTGGTAAATATTTTCTTATTGTCTAGTTTATTTTCTATAGTGACTACCAAGTAGCTCGCTCTAACACGCGTGCTTTCTCTTGTTGTTGTTAGTTTTGCTTGCTGCATCGGCATTGCTGGGACTGTTGATATCGTATACGCACTAAGTTCCTGACTGTCCTCATCATACCGTCGTCAATAATCCATATTCACTACATACTTTATTGCTTCTATATACCCTCCATCATTCCAGAGCCAAAACGTTTGCCCTCTCCACTATTCCAATTCTTCTGTTGTTGTAACTTTACTATTACGATACTATGCTACTATGCTCCCCCTCGGAAAAATGTGTACATAATTACTTCATACTCTTCTAAAGACGGTTGGCCATTAATCTATTGTTTATTCCAGTGAGGAACGCAAAGCTCCCAAACCGGGCCACGTGTTGAAGGACTAAATGCTTTCTGCTCTTTCTTGGAATGTTTGTCTTGTCCGAGTGAGAGGCCGTGCTAACTCTCCCCTCACCCGTCCCCCCACCCCTTTCGCACAGATGCAACATGTCAGGAGAACAAAACAAAAGAGAGCGATTCATACAAGTTTGATTATTATACTGCACACAGCTCATTCACCCATACAAACACACATCAGGAGAAGTCTAAAAAGAAGGTTGCAGTGAGGTGTATACTAGCGATAAAAGATGAGTGTTTCTTCCTATAGCTGGCCCCCATAGGGAGAGAAGCTTCCTTTCTTCGTTCCAAGATCGAACAAGAGGAAAAGAAGAGTGAAAGGAGAGGGTGGGTGTTTGGGGCTGTTTGTGCACCCAGCCAACGGAGCCCATAACAAAACAAAACAAAAAAAAGCAAAGCAAGATAGAAAGCGCAAAGGCTGATACAGTTAAACACGCATAATGAGCGCAGTCGTCATCATCTTCAGCATCATCATTTATGCACAGAAAGCGTTGGGGCCCCACCTATTTCTGCATGCACCTGTTTTAGCTTGGCTCAGTGGATACGGAAAAAGGTAAAGGGCAGGCACTCCTTGCTGTGATTATAGAGTAGTAGTGCACCGGCTCTATGTGCTAATCCTTCTGTCCGCATGATAAAAAGTGCCTTGTATCGTGGCATCCTCTTTTGCTCCAGATTATGTGCAAGTGTGCCACCCCTCAAAGATTTCAGTCAGCACCAGTGTTAATCTTATTTTTACTCTGCCTGCGATCTGTTCCTTTCTAATCTCTCTCTTCTTTTCCTCTCTCTCTCTCTCTCTCTTTCCTCTTTCCTCTTTCTCAAAACGACGGTCATCAACAAGCACCTTTTCCCTTTCCCTTTTAAACTATAAGCTCTCTCGTTACAACAACATCTACTACTATTACAATAATGGTTCATTATGGGGGCAACAGTGGTAGAAAACGGTGTGACTCGACCGTGTCAGTTCAACCGCAATCATCATCGACACGCCGCCGCTCTCTGCGAAATGTGCCATCGTTTTCGGCCATGATCAAGTCCACCTCGCTCCGTTCCATGGATCCTGACCAGGTCAGCATTGCTTCAACTTCTACGACAAACAACAACAATGGCGTCACTAGCAGTAGCAACAAATTCGCCTCCTTCACATCGAGACGTCAGTCATTGACAAGAGCCACCGCATCAAGCCTGGCAAAAATGGTTAAAATGTCGTCCTCTGATGAACAGCAACAGCAGTCGTCTACTTCGCCAGCAGCAGAAAAGAAAAAGTCCTCTTCACGATTCAACAAACTGCTGAAGCGACAATCTGCATCATCTGCAGTTCAGCAGCATTATCAGCAGTACCAGCAGCAACAGTCGGCAGCAATGTCCAAAGAAGAGCAGCAGCAATTGCTGCCGTCACCTCCTGATACGCCGCTGCCTTCTATGACCACGACGCCAAATGGCAGTAGCAGCAATAACAAGAAACGTGCGTCATGGTCGCCTTTCGGATTGCTCCGCAACCATGGCAATAATAGCCAGCACCATCACCATCACCAATATGAACCCGTGTCGCCTGCATCGTCATTGGATGAGCCTGTTGCTGCACCGCAATTACCGCCGTTGGACCCAGAAGACGAGTCGGGTTTCTTGCTGGACCCAGTCATGAACGACCGACGACGGTCCTTGGTAGTCCAGCCAACAGCTAGCACAGCGACCCGGTCATCCAAGCGTCACAGTACTGGTAGCAATTTCTCGCAGTATCAAATCCAACCATCTGTCTCGATGCGCACCAACAATAACAACAACAATGGGAGCAAATGCGAAGCGTGCACTCGACGCAAGGCTAATAGACGAAGGTCTGCAGCTTTGGATAGTGACAGCAATAGTATGACTGCCGAGCAGCACCATCATCATCATCACCATCATCATTCTGCTTCTTCTCGGCCCAATTCAATGCTTATTCAGCAGTCGTCGTCGTCGTCATTCTTGACCACCAGTAGTACGATCACGACAGCGAGCAGTAGCCACAACGCTAGCAGCACCAGGACCAACAACAATAGTAACAATAATCACACGAGCGGCAAGGAGAACCTGCTCCATAATAGTAAGGAGCATCCTCGACATAAGCAGCAGCAGCAGAAGGAGGTTTCCGGAAAAGGAAATCCAGATCATGTCATTGTCGTCGACCAGCCACTTTCTGTTAAACAGCACCAGCTTGTTCAGGAACATTCTTCATCATTGCCTCCACAGCAGCAAAAACAAGACCCTGAACCTGTTATCATTACTGCCACTGCTACTGCTACCACCACCACTACAACTAGTGCTGAGCTGCCCAATAGTGTGTCATCACCAGCAGCAGTGGCACCAACGTCGTCATCACCTGAGCAAGATCAAGCAAAGCCCAAATTATTACAACAACAGCAAGAACGTGAAGCAGAAGAAGAAGAACAACAACAGTCGCCAGAACTTGACGTTGTGCACACTCTTGCGCTTTTGGAACAAGTGGTTGAGGAAAAAGAACAAGAGCATATGGAGACAATCGAAGAATCAGCACCTCAATTGGAACAAGAGCATACTTTGGTGGTAGAAGAAAAACAAGATCTACGACAACAAGAAGAACAGTCTGCCATTGTTGCACAACAGTCGGCTGAACAAGAAGTATCACATCCTCAACAACAACAAAAGCAACGAGAACCGGGTACACCAGTGCCTGAGAAGAAATCGATCCAGCAACAACAAGAATCAAAAGGTACTACATCAGCACAGGCTTTACCTGCACAATCACCCACAGCACAGCAAACACAGAAACAGCAAACACAGCAACAGCAGCAGCACCAGGGACAGAAACAACGGCAAGTTGAAGAGGAGGAAGTACGACCATACGTTGTTGAGCAGGAACAAGTCGAGCGACCGCAAGTGGCAGCAGAATCCAGCACCAACAACAGCAGTAGTACTAGTAGTAGTGGTTTTCATGCACGAGAGTCCTCGCTATCACTCGCCATCATGCACCCACTTTTCAGCAACATTGGCGATCGTGCTGCCCTTGTTCCTCAGGAAAACTCATCCCTGATTCAGCTCGTCACCAGCTGCATTGCTCATGCCGACAAACTCAACCGACTTGCTCAGGACCTATCCCTGTCTGAATACCGAGTTGGCCAACTGCTGCAAAAACACCAGTCCTTGATCCAATCGATGGATGCGCGAGAACATCGATACAAGGAACATGTGGCTACGTATCAGCGACTCTTGTCTACTCAGGAACGAATGCTTTCTGAATTGGAGGATATGTTGGTGCTTTCTTCATCATCGTCAGGGCAGCAGCAGCAGCAGCATAACGGCAACAGAAATTCAACTACTACCGCCATGTGGATCCCGACTAATAATAGTTCGTTCACCTCAACTATCATGTCCGCTGCACCTGCATGGTGGCAGCAGATCATCCCTCAACGATTGCTACTACGACAGGAGTCAGGGTCAATTGTGAGTCGGCAGCATAATGCGTTAGGTCACACGACGGATATTGTCATTGCTGGTACATGTGTCACTGTAGAGCCGAGTCTCGTTCCAAAGGTAACAGAAATAGCAAAACTCTTTTTTCTTCTCTCGGCATTATACTAACTTGTTTATAATTATTATCCTCATTACAACAGCAACTCGTTGTAGCGTCTTTGGGTGATCAACTTGAGGAAGTACAAGCACACATACAAGAGCAGCAACAACAGCCGGAGGAGCAAAGGGGACCATGGATTTATCATCATTATTTGCTTCACATTCCACATGATGACCGTAGCACAAAGTTCCAATTGCTGCCTGAAGAAAAATGGGTTCCAGACGATCGTGCAGCAGGCTGTCAATTTCGTAACTGTGGTATCCAATTTGATGTTTTGCGTCGTCGTCATCACTGCCGCAGGTAAGCACCATCATCCTCGTTGATAGAGTTAGTGAGAAATACGAAAGCTGAACAAATGTGTAAACAATTGGTAGTTGCGGCAATATCTTTTGCTACAAGCATAGTGCAAATCAACTTCCTCTGTTCAAACCACTCAACCGAGACCAAGGCGAATGGGCACGCGTCTGCGACGCTTGCTTTTACCAACTCCTTGACACATAAAAATATATTACTACAGCATTCGCTTCTTCTGCATCATCACCATTTTTATAATCTTCTTATGTGTGATTATTATATTATTAAATTGATAAAACACAAAAAAAGACGCATTTCTTTATTCAGCAGAGAGAGAGAGAGACAGACAGAGAGACAGAAAAAAGAACAAATTAAGGCGCGCGCGTGTGTGTGTGTGCGTGTGTGTGGGACGTGTGGCAGAGGAGGGGGGAATAAATAATAGATAAGCTAGATGCGGGAGAAGAGAGCGAGAGAGGTTGTACCTCTTTCCTTCGCTTATTTTCCACAAGATGATATGGTTGAGGAGTGGTGCTTTTCTTTTTTGTTACGCGTGTACGTGCGTGCGTGTGTGTATGTATGTGGTGTTTGAGGAAGGAGGAGGTCGCATGTGGCAAGTGCATGGTGGTGTTGTATAGATAGAAATGCAATATATTAGATGAAACGGAGCAGCAAATGATTTATTTCAACGGCGGTTGACCTGCAGCAGCATTCAAGCTTGATTGTCGCATGGAAAGTTGATTCGGCCGGAAGTCAGACGAAGGATGCTGGTTAGGATAGGGTAAATAGCCTTGTTGTGCGTAAATGGACGTGGGTGAATGCTGCTGATACTGATGCTGCTGCTGCTGGACTTCGAGGAAGCGGACATCGTTGACGGACGAGTTTGCAGTGGCAGAGGTAGCCGTAGAAGCGGATGACATAGTGGATACGGGCGACGATGCAGACGACGCATTACTGTGCTTCATCATTTGCTCTACCTTCTTTAAAAAGTCCTTGGACGACAAGTCGGTGGGCTTGCCCTCCTTGAATTTCGGGTCTTGCAGGAACGGTTCCAAGTCTTCGGGCACCATGCAAAACTCGTCAAACGACTCGAGCATCATTTCAACCACGCTGATCGAGGTGAACGAGTCGTCTTTGAGTGGATCTTTGGAGTTGGTCGTCAGGATATTCGGTGCAATCACACGCGCAAGGTTGGGTATATCCATACGGCTGCCCACGTCGGTCGTCACATGCGAGAACGAGGCAACCCAGCGGAAAAACAAAAACAACACTTCAAGAGCGTCGCGGTTGACGCGTGGTAGCATGCAGTATGCTAATTGCAGCACACGCTTGCACGCAGTCGTGTCACTCAGCTTTAATGCGCATGTAAACAAGCCATGCAGCTTGTATGTCATAAGTGGATCGGGCAGCTCACGCAAGAACTTTTTCAAGAGAGCTGCAATTTGGATTGACGGCTGGGCAAATAGATCGACGTCTTGTGGATTTCTGTCAAGCTGTTCTGTCAGATCCTTAAGTCTTCGGATGTTACCGTTCTTTCGGAAAATGCCTTCCACCGACATGTCTAAAGTGTACAGGAGAGCAGAAGAGTGTTAGGAAGGATCACCGCATACATGCAAGGTCGATACTGGTAAGTATGGAAAAAGAAGCATTACCCATTTGGCGCATAGCAGTAACAGAGTCATCGATAAATGCGGCAACGCGCACAGGAGAAGGCGATGCGCCCAAATTGGACTCAACCCCAGTGCGTTCAGTGAGCAAATCTAAAGGAACGCCAAACGTGCCGTCTTCCTTTGCCTTGATCTGCTTTTTGCCTCCGCCATGCATTATCGACGTGAAAAACTTGCCCCAGATGGACACCTTTTTGGTTTCAATCAAGTTCAGCAGCTCGCTCAACGAAAAGTGCTCGCGGACATAGGGCTCAATGTGCACCACCGCCACGTGCCGAATGATCATATCCTGCAGTGCTGAAAGTTCCGACAGATACACTCGGGGTTTGCCAGTGGTTGCACTGACGTTGATGTGGGTTCCCAATGTGGATGGTGTGTGCTGATGTCTGCTAGGCCGATCCGTCACCTTCTTTGCAAAGTCTGGCACGTCCTCAAGGCGGATACCCTTGCTGCGATAATCCTCACCGCCACCATCTCCTCCCTCGTCCTGTTCTTGCGGCAGAGGCGGCAAGTTCTTGTGTTGGTCCAGGCGTGGTCCACTCAGACTCGACTCGCGTGCTGGAACCCCCGAGCGGGTATTATCTTCGTCTTCCTCGGAGATGGGAGTCGTCTTTTGCGTTGTGTTGTAGACATTGCCGAGAATCGTCGATCGTTTGGCTGTTTTAAATGACCGTGACACTTTTCGGTTGAGGTTTGTGGCTGGAACGTTCTTGACATCGGTGATATGCGTCGGATACGCAGGCGTGTTGATTTGTTTCTCGTCCACAGGTGATGTAGGAAACTTGGATTGTTGCATGGTCGTGGGCGATGCCGACACCTCTTTGGTGGGAGGCACATCCTTTGGCAAATAAGGTTTGGTTTTGATTGAAAAGTCAACAGACGATAGCTGACTGTCTATCAGACAGCAACAACGCATATATCACATATCACATATCACATACAACAAGGGTTGAATGAGTCCTCCAAGCCTTCATGATATCTGTATCCAAAGTTTCTTTTCTTGTTTCCTTACCAGTGATCTGCAAGAAATTGCAAAGACGGCTCAATGCTACACGCAGCAGATAGGCAAATTGTGTGAGTTTGCTGACATATTCAAACGGGGTCGGCACTTCGGACTCGTGTACGCCTGCACAAGATGAACACAAGGCGGATTGGGATGCTGAACTGAACGTGGCATTGCGGAACTCGCGAGCGAGCGGCCTTTTGCACTGGCGACAGTTGAAGCAGTTAATGTGCCACCGTAACTCGCCATATTTGACACATTGGTCCTCCACCGTAATTCGACATACGTGACACAGGTCGGATGATTGCTTTGCTTTCACCAGACGCTGGCTGTCTCGACTATGGCCTTCCTTTCCTGCAACTTCCATCAACTTGGCCAGCAGACGTGACACGGCAACTGGACGACCCAGCACCAGTTCCTGTTATCAAAGTATTAGAGTTAACAAGCCTTTTCGCCGCTAAATACTATTAACTCATTACCAGTCGCAGAGCAGTTGTCAGCGCCACCCGAATCAATATTTTAAGGTAATGTGCTAAGCCAGTGACTAAAGACAGCAACTCTTGTGTAATGCCGAGTCGCTTCATTTCTTGAGTCCGCGAAAGCAATGAGAAAAAGTTGATGATTTTTTTACACAGCATCTTCGCTTCTCGTGTGTACTTGAATTCTGTATATTCAGCAACAAGAGCAACTGTGTTAGCGTTCTGCATGTACTGAGCAAACTAAAACAATCATCCTGGTTATTTACCTCCTTGGTCATATTCGTGATGTATCTTGTCAAGTTCATCCACACCTGAAAATAAGGCTTCGACATGGACCAGGAACCGCTCCGATAGACAAATGCCTTCCACATAGGCACCGTTTGACACGTGCAGCAACATCTCCGAAATACAAACCGCGGAAGATTCTACATGCATATTCAAATGGTGTGTGTGTGTGAGAACACTGTTTTTCCTAAACATACACAGTAGTATGGATCCTCTTTTCTCCTACTACCAAAACCATCAGTGGATGGCAAAGCTAGAAGCAGAAGAGTACAAGAAAGAGCCCCTCTTCCCTGCTTGCTCCAAATACCCTTTCCTTCCCCTCTTTCGCAAAACGCTCTCTCTTCCCCTTCAACCCTCCTTCAAAGAAAAGCAAAGGTAATAACCTTCAAATGCTGATAACACTGTCCATATACGATACACTTTTTCTTCCATATCCCGTTGTTTCTCGGCCAGTTCCACTGGATTTTTTGGCAGCAGCTCTAAAGTAATCAATTTCATTAATATGTTTCAGGAAAGGTCCCCAGGGGGGAACCAGCACAAAAACTGAGTCGTAAAACTTACCATGATGGATGATGGTCTCCTTGTCTCGTAAGGAAGGATTAGCGATCCTGACGTTCCAATACTATAATATATTATATGATTAATTCCACTCAATATTTATTATTATCCTTATTACCACACCACGCTAAAAATACGACACTAATATATATATAAAAAGGGCATATATATATATATATATTACCTTGTGAATCATGTAGCATTCCGGATGCCAATGCTCGACAATATCTTTACGGTCAATCTCGACATATTGCTTGAGGATGGCCATTTGACAGCCAGCACAACTGACTGCAAACTGAGTTGAATAGTGGAAATGGCAAAAGACCTGGCCATCATGTTCATAATACGAGTCTTCAGGGCCAAACACGGTGGAACATGCACTGCATGTAAAGTGATCGGTGTGGTATTTCTTGTCAAGTGCAATAATATAGGGTCCTCGCAGGGCTTCATTGCACTTGTCGCATACAAGCCCAAGTCTTCTAAAGTAATCGCGCTCGCAGAGCGGTAATGTTTGTCCCTCATCGGTGGTGAATGGGAAGAACCTGGCTGCGACCGGCGCATTACAATCCTGTTTAATAATAATATTTTTATTGAACATATGCATAATGGGTTGTGTAAGACATATGTATATGCAAGCTGGGCCTTACCATGCAAGTGAAACATTCTGGGTGAAAAGTGCCATCCAGGGCTCGCACCAGTCGATTACCAAGAGGTTGATGACACTTTGAGCATGTCGGTACTGTGGGAGATGGCAGCTCGTTACTACTTGTCATGGCAGTCTGGTGCTGCGATCGTAGGCAAACAGAAGATATGGAAGGAAGAAAGAAAAAGAGAGAGAGAGAGTAAGAGAGTATATATAAAAGAGAGGGAAAAGGAAAAAAAAGTGTGGGGGAGAAGGGGTTTGTTTTGTTGCTTAGAGAGTGCCTTGTTGCTCAATAGGTGGATGTACTGTGTATCAGTGTTATGGGATATACACGTTATTTATGAAGTGCTTGGAGCCTCTGGCAGGTGCGTGAATTGTATATGCCGTTGCTGTTAATATTGTTTTTCTGAGCACCTCTCTCTCGTTTCTCTTATTTTGCTATTTTTTTTGCTGTGTGCGTAACAGTAGTAGTGATAGTAGTAGTAGTAGTAGTAATAGTGGAAGAAAAGGTAAAGAAGAAAAAAAAACACACAGTCTGTGTCTTTTTTTTAGCTGGTCGCGTGTAAAAATAGCAAAAAAGAATTTGATCCGACTTGAGATTCCTTCAGTTTCTTTAAAAAGACCAGCTTCTGCCCTTTCGGTTGTTTTATTAAAGTCTTTTTTTTATACCGTACCACCCAGCAGAGAAAGAAGGAAGGGTAGGGGTGAAAGGGGGGCAAAGCAGGACAACGACGCAGGAAAGATATGGCGGCTAAACAAGTAAAGAAGACGCAGAGGGTGTGGACTAGCAAGCGCCGGAGGAGAGGAGGGGGAGGAGCGACGACTTACAAGACAACTCTAGAATATGGAGTGCAAGGAAGGACCCAGCGTAGAAAAATAATAATAAAGACAGCCAAGCCATGACATGCCACTGCTGAAGCGGAGCCCCGACACACCCAATGTCGTGCCGCACTTCCTGATCAGGCACTCCCCACAGGTGCGGTTCAATCTGACTCTACTGGTCGTGCTTCTTTTATTCTGTGCTTTGACGAACAGACCTGCGTTTGTGTAACCTGCAGTCGGGGAAAGGGTAGAGAGGGAAGCAACAACACCGTAGTATGATAAACTGTTATCGGTGGCATTATGAGGCGCCAGCACAAGTGGCGGCTGTGTGCACTAGGCTTGGGGGCGCGGTTACTATTTGAAAGGGGCTTTTTCATCTAGTGCAAAACAGCAACGACTTGCCAAAGAAAGAGAGTCAGATTGGACGGTGATATTATGCTTCGAATATTTGACATTATTTCCATGACAACAAATTCAAAAGTTCCGTTTCCTGGAAACGGAAATGAACGCGTGCTCCCACGTTTGATGCAAGTAAGAATGACGCCATACGCATAATGATGTAACATCGCAACAGAGAAAAGAGTAATACAGCAAGCTTCGCGTATAAAGTCTTTGTTTGGTTTATGCTGATGTTGCTGGTTGAGCATACAACAATACATCCGTGATACTAGAGTCATCCGTAACACTAGAGTCTAACACTTGATGATTTCTATCTTTACTGCAGTAACTGTGGAATGCTTTTGTCCAAGTAGATGTACGTCCATACCATATTTGGGACGACCTATTTTTTTTGCGCTACCCAATCTTCCTTCCACCGGGCTGCTCCATGATTTGCTTAAGCTTGCCAAAAATCCTTTCACCTTGTCTCAAGCTGTGGAGCTATCCTTCCAGGACCACTTGAGAGATAGCATACTCGCCATCATGACTTAATGCAACATGAGATCGTCTGATCCCATACGCTTCACCATTCGCCACGTGCAAAACCGGTTTTCCTTTTTGTTTAATGTCATACAAAAAAGTTAGGTTCAAGAAATATTATCTTGCCAATGCTAAGAAAGAAAGAGAGAGACGTGAAGCCATCATCAATGATACGTACCTTGGTTTTTAGCTACTGTCACTTGTTTCCATTCTAGTTTGTGAATCGGATAAAGTGCCTTGTACACAGCTTCTTTGATACACCATCTATAGAAAGAAAGAGAGAGATTTTGTTTTTTCCAAATAGATAAAAAAATCTTAGAGATATATGACAAGGTATCACTGATTATCCAATGGTTGTTTATTCTTTTTGCCTACTGTCCCTTCGTTGTTTGTATCTATAAACATACCGCGATCCAAGGTACATGACTTGTTGATCAATCGCATTGTCGTCATGAGGAAATCGTTGAGTAAATTCTTTGAGTTCTAGAGGACTCAGTATACGTGTGGCAAGTGGTGTCCGTCCCCTTCGTGCTACGAGCGAGGCTATTCGCTGCAAGTGAACAAGGTCAACACCAATGCCCAAAATCATTCCATGAATAAAAAAAGAAAGCGGCGCCGCTCCTTCCCCTTCTATCGAAAGCGGGTTTAATTCGGCTTGACTGCATATCAATTTTTCTCTCCCTCATGGTTATGTGATCTTTCAGAGCAACATGCAGCAGCGTATCGAGCGTGAGAGTATCCAAAATCATGCATCGAATATTTGCAACATCACACACACACACACAACTCGCTGTCCTCTCCTTATTGTCCATGTGATACATCACCATCAACGTCCATCTTGGCTGACTAGTGAGAAGTGCCTTTTGACACACTACCGCTCGTGGTTTTAAGAAGGAAACTATAGCAACGGAAACCTACTGACATCTCCAGAATTGGACATGTTAGCAACCTTAGGGCTTAACCCAAATCTATTTCCCATAACACATATAACACAAACCCCACTTGATTCGTTAATAAGAATATTATGTAGAGTAGTAGCAGAGAGTGTGTGATAAGATCACGCACAACCTAAAAGTTGTATTATTCGAGTGGGGCGTATGTGCTTCTTTCTCTTTTTGTTATCAATAGCGACTACTACTGCTGTCATCGCTACTGCTGTTATTATTGTTGTTTTAAGGAAATTTTGTTATTGTATGAGACTATAGAGCGCTCAGATCGGAAACCTATGCGCCGGCGTTTCAAAGCAAAATCGCTGCGGACGAAGCTATTGAGCCTTTTGTTCCACAAGTCCACATACGATAGCCTCATGGACCTAACAATCAATGGCACCTACAAACTTTTGGACAAAGTTGGTGGTGGATCGTTTGGCGACGTCTATATAGGTAAGAAAGACTTACTGATTTTCTGTTGGTATGGTCATGATTCCCTAAACGATCATGGTTACTAAATTATTGTTTGATCACTTTGTTCGTCTTCTTTCAATGTGGCTGAATGTTAATATCATTGATTCTAACATAAAATAACTGCACCAGCCAAAAACATTGTAACGCAGGAACTATTCGCTGTCAAAATCGAAACGAATTACGTTGATTGCGATGGTCAGCTGCATCGCGAGTACGATGCATACAAAGAGTTTGACGGTCCCCAAGCTTATTACTTTCCGCAGCCCAAATACTATGGTGTCGAAGGAAGGTACAACTGCCTGGTAATGGATTTGATGGGCCGTAAGTTTGACATATTTGAGTTCCTCAAAAAGAATGCCAAAATACCTGATTTTCTTTTGTTGTTGCTGTGGCCTTGATGCCCTGATTAATAGGAAGCAGCTGTGGCAAAAGTATACATGTCTAAAGAAGATAGCTCATTGTTACGTTATTATAGCATCACTAGAAAACGTTTTCCATTTATGCCGTCGGAAATTCTCGTTAAAAACTATCGTACAACTTGGTGAACAAATGGTATGTTGGCTATTCTAAGATTCGACAGGTGTAATGAATTCTTTTCTAACTATCTGTTTTTTCTTTTTTTTTTACCCATACATCAAGCTGTCTCGCATCGAATTTATTCATAAAAAGGGATGGCTTCATCGAGATATCAAACCGGATAATTTCTGTATGGGGCTTGGCAAGAAGGAACACATATGCTTTGCAGTGGATTATGGATTGGTCAAACGCTTCAAAGACCCGGTCACCCGAAGGCACATATCATTCAGGGATGGTAAGAATCTGGTTGGTACCGCGCGCTATGCTAGTCTCCATTCTCACAAAGGCTACGGTAAGTATTGGGAAATTTCTATACGTCGTGATATTTTTGAGGAAAAGAATATCCCAAGAGCCATGCTCATATTCTTATCTTCTATGACTCTTGGATTGTATTATTAGAGCTATCGAGACGAGATGATCTCGAGTCTCTGGGTTACTGTTTGGTGTATTTCTTCAAAGGGAAGCTACCGTGGCAAGGCATCCAAGCCGAAACAAACGAAGAAAAGTACCACAAAATCTACAAATTCAAGAAGAAAACGAGCATAGAAAAACTCTGTGAAGGCATGCCCGAACAATTTGTGCATTATTTTCAGTATGTGCGCAGTTTGGATTTTAAAGACAAGCCAGACTATCCCAAGCTTCACGGCCTATTTGAAAAAGTGATGAAAGACCATAAATGGGAGACGGACAACAAGTTCGAGTGGTTGGTAAGGATTTGATTTTTATGCTTTTTATTCCTCTCTCTCTCTCTCTCTCCCTTATACATATGCATACTGACTCTTGCACCTTTGGTTGGGGCGAATTAGGGTAAGGCATCATATCTGTCCAGTATCAAAGCACGATTACCGCCTACAAAAGAACCTGTAAATCCAGTAGCGACACCTGCACTCAAGCCTACACTGAATTTTGCTTCTGGAAAAGCACAGCCGAAGAAGCGACCGACCAAATCTCAAAAGAAGAGACAGGCTCTTGCTGAAGGAAAACCTATCCGATTAAAACCTAATAAATACATACCCAAAGCCATGCGCGCTAGGTTGGGAGTAAGTTGCCGTATTTGTTGCTATTGTTAGATGTTGGATCATGACTCAATTAAGCTGTCTTTCTTCTTCTTCCTTAGATCACCCAAAAAACGATCCCACGCGAAGAGTTCAAGAAACTTTGTGTATAAAGTGTTAAATACAATACATACACCTCTGCCTCCCCCCCCTCACACACACACACACACACACACACACGCCACTTTACTCCTCCTTTGTTTATTCCTCTCCCCACATGACATAGCACGCATAACATACATAATAAAAAGAGAATAATAGTTGATCTTGTTCATTGTAGCCTTTGATAAATCATATCTCTCCTCCATCTCGGTTCAATTCATTCGACTATCCAAAGGAGATGTGTTTTTAATAAATAGATGCACAAGTGATTTACCCCCTTTTCCCAATATTTAATTAATTGATTAGGCGTGATAATCTCCAGATTGTTCCATGTCTACACCAAACTGCTGGTATGTTACTTTGTACCTCAACCGCAGAGGTTCCTTTTGTTGATGAAATTACAGAGGTGAGCTTTTTGTTGTTGCCAAGGGGCCATGTGTGCAGAAAGTCGAATTAATACCTTATTTGGGTTATGCAATGCAATATTCTGCGTTACTTGATTTTCGGACTTGGGTGGAATCACTTCAGATGATTGTGGCTCCATTTTCAGTTGCATTGACTACAGCGAACAAGAAATTCAAACCTTTTAATACCACCATTCTATACGAAAGGACACTCGTTTCATGATCCAAGTTACCTTGGGTGCAGCCAACCGCAGCATAAGCTGCTCCATGGGTGCTGTGGATTGGTTGGAAAAGAAAGCTTTGAGGCGCCAGATTGCATCATTTTGGACAATTTCAAATGTGATTTTCAGGCCATTCTTGTTTACCAATTCGACTATGGATTAGAGTTAACAACCGTTTTAAACATCACTGCGCATTCTTTCCCCCACTGCTTTTCTTTTCTTTAGTGTAAATTTTACCTGAATCGTGTTTGATGGTGTTGCCGTTGTTTGCAGGAGCTGGCAAAGTTTCTTGTGTTTGTTGATGAGCAGCACTAGGTGTACCCATAGATGATGACGACAGGGTGGGAGATACAATAGGAGGAGGAGGAAGTGCATGCACTGCGAGCGAGGAAGAAGTCGAGTGTACAGGTGATGGGGAAGACGAGGTCAAAAATGCAAGCGGATCAATCAGTTGTTGCTGAGAGGGTTGTTGTGGTTGTTGTTGCTGTTGTAGTTGCTGAGCAGGTGGAGTCGATATCGAAGCGCTGGTACCAAATATATCGCTGAGTTCATCGAGCACATTGACCGGTTTAGCGGTACCACTGCTTGGCTGAAGTTGCGATGATGAGGTCGTGGAAGAGGGTTCATCATCCAAATCAATCAAGCTGATCGCTTGACGTGGTTCCTCTGCTTCATCCGTTTGTTTGGGCGGCTTTCCACTGATTTCGTATTGTGTATCGTATAAGCCCTTGGCAACGTCGGCAAACTTAGACATTGCGTTGTTGATCATATCGTTCAAAGTCAATAGGTTTTCTGTAAAACAGCATCATTGATAGATTAGTTACACTAGAGTAGAACACGTTTTTTCCTTCACATATACACTCTATTCGAGTGTGTGTAACTTTTCGTTCTCTGATTTTGATTTCCTTTACCAATTTTTTCAGGGTCCTCCTCTTCTTGGATCATCTTTTGAATTTTCGGCTGGGCCCCGGCGCTCGAGTTCTTGAGTTCCATCAAGGTATCATTGCGTACTATCTGTTCCCCAGGTCGTACATTTTCAAGCATCTCGTACAACAAAATAACCTTTTCTTGAATTTTGTGTAGCTCATCTTCAAACTTTTGCTTGTAATTTGGACGTTGCCGTTGATCCTGGATAATTTGTTTTTTGGGAACTTAGTAACCCCTTCTCTCTCTCTCTCTCTCTCTCTCTTTTTCGTAGTATTCCTCTCATTCTACATAAACACCTTCTCTTCCGCTCTCACGATCCAATTGGTATATATGGTTTTGTCTTCTTACATAACCAGACATGACTTTCATAAGTTGATTCGCTTCTACAAGATCTTGTGGTCGTCCTCTTCGAATAAGCTCTTGCAATTTCTACGTTTATATTAGAAAGAAAAAAGCAATGTTACACACATGGAGCTTAGAGAAACCAGCCAAAACAATAACAGCAACAGCAACAGCAGTAATAGTGTCCACACATCTAAAGCGTTTCATTGATCCACTTACCGCTGACTGTGCCACACGGTCCTCTTCTTCCAATTCTTCAGCTGATTTCAATGATTGAGACGGTGCCAATGCTGCCACCGAGGAATCTTTCAGTTCTGGGAAGCGATAACCTACATATCCAGTGAATTGGCAATTAATTTCTCGTTTTTCTTTTTCTTTTTCCCTTTCTGTCAATGTACCTTTGAATCGTAGCAACCGATACATATCCTTAACATGCATCAAATCATCCTTGTGCCGAGACATGTCTGCCAAAGCAACTTTCCATTCCTTGATCATATACAGAATACGCTGAATCACCGGGTTTGGGAATGGCTAGAAAGATCAAAAAACAATTAACATATATCATTAAAATATCGCTTGTCCCAAAGAAAAACTAATACTGGTTGACTTACAGCAGGTCGTTCAGGAAATTTGCGTACAAGTTCGTTCAGAAATTCTTTGGTGGCGATTTGTAAATGGAAGGGGTATCCACAGTTCTTGACGCAATTATCCAGCAGCTATTATCCAACCATTATAAACATGTACAAGTATACAAAGCGATTTCACTCTTTTTCTTCCTTCCTAGCTTTTTCCCTCTTGTTACCGTCAGTGCAAGCATGGCCTGGTTCATGTTTTTGCTATTGATATGCTGAACAATGCTTGTGGCTGCTTCTCGAGGACTATGTAGAACCACAACAGGAAACGTTATTTTGTTATCAGTTTTTTCTTTTCTTTTCGGCTGAATCACTGGTCAACTGCCCTATATTCCAAGAAAAACCACACTTACGCATTTGCTTGCTTCTTGTTAATCATTTCGCAAATCTCGATGTTCAGTGCCAAGTCTGGCTCATAACGTGAAGGGCTGCATGCACCGTCTATTTCCACAACAAATACGTTCACACGTCCCGAGAGAAGAGTCAAACACGTTTAATAAGAGCGAGAGAGAAAGTCGATTAAAACATAATTCTCCTTTCTATACAACTAGAAAAAGAAGTTACCGATGAATTCTTGTATCGGAGACGACATTATTCGTATATATTAACTGTGCGCCAAGATGTGCCTCTCTTTTTTTACTCGTTGCTAGCTAGCCTAGATGGTGTGTAAGTGTGTGCGTGTGTGTGGGAGAGAGAGTTCTGGTTATAAAGTTTAGAAGAACGCACGACAACGTGGTACGTATCCGCAAAAACGCTACCTGCTACCTTGTCGGCGGCTTTTCAAATTTCGCGTTTTGGGTACAAATGCTTGGTGCGTCTCAGCCTTGGCTGGCTTGGCAACTATGATAGTAAGCGATTGTTAACACTGAACGCATTTCGTGACTTGATACTAGTGGCCACGAGTCTTGATCAATGAACTGGCTCCAGCAGGAAAGTTAATCTCGTCTTCTAAAAGGATATGCATAATCCAAGATGCACTAAATACATACACTCTGCTGTTTCTTAAATACGCATGCTAAGCAGGTAAGCGCTCTCCTATTGTTCAGATATAATCTCAAGTCCGCTTTTCCTTGTAAAACGTAATATCTATGGTAGGTTTCATACCAATAATCCGAAGCAACAAAAGTGCCATAGGAGAAAAGGTCGGGTTCCTGGCTGTTATAATAACTTTTTTGCTTCTTATAGCATAGACTAAATAAGTGAAATTATCAGTTTACTAAACTATTGTCTATAAGATATGCAATAGTAGCAGAAGACACATACGCTAAGTCATGCTTTTCACGCTCATTCTTGGATACAAACCGCATGTGGCAAATTGGAGCGGAGGAAATAACTTCTACCTTCCGCCTTCCGCCTTCCGTGGTCAGTGGCTACAAGCATTTGGTTACAGACGTTTGTGGGATTAGGTAGAGATCACTGAGTGCTCTTTATGATAAGGAATTAATACGTTCGTGTTCTGTAATTGTACAGCAGCACATGTTTCGATCTTAAAAGAGATTGATTAAGAAGCTCAGAAGGGGAACATAATCTATGACACTGAATGCTACTTTTGCGACAAACGCATAGCAGCAGCGCACATCTTTAATGCAGGAAGCTCAAAGAATACGCTGCTGAGATAATTAAACCTTGTTCGCAGAAAAAATGTCATGATTACAGTTGATATTGTACTTATATAGTCTTGTTTTATTAAACTGCCATCTATTACTGCTATTTTCTGTGGACTCTACTTTAACATCATGCATAACATCATCGACCGTTTTACAATGAAAACCCTGTTATCGATCCTACTATCATTGTCGTGAGACAGAGTTCTTTTCAAGAATGCTATGGAGAATCCATTTTAAAATTTGCTTTTCAGCGAGAGCTTTGCTAGCTTAATGTCAACAGCGATGATGACAGCAGTGCTACACGTCCCGGTGACGGCTAAGTCTCTGACATTTTTACACTGTTATTTGAACGATTTTAGCAGCGATTATGTTACATCCATAGGATGTAGAGAGGTGAAGGATTATGAGCTCATCATATATCAAATTTTATAGTACTGTTTGAAACCTTTAAGGATCTCGGTCTGCTGAATTGGTGAACGAAATGATATAGGGTGGAGGAGGAGCGTAATAGCGGGAAACGGATGGACCCAATCGGAGAGTTTCTTTGCAAGATGCTGGACAGCCGGAAACGGATTATTATCCATTTTCGGATTGTGCAGGATGAAATAATCAACTAAAGAAACCTGGAAAGCCGACTAAACAAAATCCCCTTTCTGTCCCTCCCTCTCTCTCTCTCTCTTTCCCCACTTTTATTTGAGCAAAGAAGAACAACACGCCCGAACACAATGAGCCACAACAACGAAAACTATTACTACCTTGGTTTGGACTTGTCTACACAACAGTTGAAATGTACTGCCATGAATGACACGCATGACATTGTGCTCGAGGAAGCTGTCAACTTCGACCGGGATTTGCCCGAGTTTAACACAACACACGGAGCTATTCATAACGGTGACACGGTCACCTCACCGACTATTATGTGGGTCAAGGCAATGGATATTTTGTTTGATCGCTTAAAGAAATCACCAGTGGCTGGAAAGATCCGTGGTATTTCCGGTGCAGGACAGGTAAAAGAAAGTGAATTTGGGACCTAGTGGTGAAAGTAGTGGTAGTACTAGGGTGGCAGTAAGGAATATGTTCGTTTATATACTCACATGGAAAGGGTTCTAATGATCACTTAGCAACATGGAAGTGTCTACTGGAGCAAATCAGGCATCGAAAAGCTCAGCAAATTGGACTCCCAAAAGACGTTACAGGAACAACTCTCGGAGGCATTCGAGATTGACCAATCCCCAATTTGGCAAGACGCTAGTACCACACGCGAGTGCCGATCTTTGGAAGGTCTTGTTGGTGGAGCACAAGCGTTGGCTGATTTGACGGGCTCAAAGGCTTATGAGCGCTTTACTGGAAATCAAATTGCAAAGGTAGGAGTCGAAGCGCGGGATAGTCAGCGTGTGTATGTACGAGAAATATGGACGTGGGAGGAATACTTTGTGGGGAAAAGGACAGATTGTAATGCTGAAACACTCTCCTTTCTGCACACACACTCACACATACACACAAAGATTCACAATGATAGAAGAGAGGCATATGACGCAACACAAAACATTTCCCTGGTCAGTTCGTTCCTGACATCCCTGCTTCTTGGTAAACTTGCACCTGTTGATTCTCCCGAAGGGTCCGGAACCAATTTGATGAATATCAAGTCACATCGATGGGAAGACAAGCTCCTTACACACTGTGGTGGTTCGTCATTACGTGAAAAGCTGGCCCTCGAACCAGTAGAAGGCGGTAACGCATTGGGCAAAATTAGTCCTTACTATGTTGAGCGTTTTGGGCTTCATCCAGGTACACAGAATATACCGATGCAGATAGATACAATGTTACGACTAGATAGACTAACAAGCTGACCGCATATGTATAGACTGTGCTATCATGCCATTTACTGGCGATAACTCGGCAACCCTGGTATCCATGAACTTGCACGAAGGTGACTGTGTCGTTTCCTTGGGAACATCCGACACCGTCCTTGTCTATCTTAAACAAGGCGCTGCCAAGGCCACCACCGAATCCCACTTGATGGCCCATCCTACTGACCCTACCGGATTCATGGGCATGCTGTGTTACAAGAACGGCTCGCTAACGCGTCAACACATTCGCGATGTGTATGCATCTGGCGATTGGGACGAGTTCAACAAGTTGCTGCAAACTGACGATACCCAGAATAAGACCGGTTTTTATTACCATATGCAAGAAATCATTCCCTTCGCCAAGGGTATCTATCGATTCGAGAACGGCCAGCAGGTCCAAGAATTTGACACCCCGGCCGCCAATGTCCGTGCCATTGTTGAGTCACAGTTCTTGTCCATGCGCATCCGTTTGCAACGTATGACTACAGTTGAATCCAAACGTATTCTCGCAACGGGTGGTGCTGCAGCCAACACTGCTCTGCTTCAAGTGTTGTCTAATATCATGGGTTTGCCTGTGTACAAGCAAAAGGGCATGAACAGTGCAAGTCTTGGTGGTGCGTTGTTGGCAAAGTATGGTACGGTAGAGGACGGTGTTGGATTCGAAGACATGATGAAGCGACAAGGTACGGCTGAAGAGCCTGAACTTGTTTGTAAACCTGATTTGCGATTGACCAAGCAATATGCCGCACGCGTGGATGAATATGTTCGGTTAGAAAAGTCGGTTGTTGACCAGCAGTAGAAACTTTTTTTTTATTCTTATCCAATCCATAATATTATATCGTTTTCCTTAATACATGTTGTTGCCACTGATGTTGATATAGAGGGGATAAACCGGTGTATAATACAGTCTATTCGGTTTGCTATGATTGATGTTGTACTTGCGACTGTTGTGATGTTGCTGTTGATGGTGGTGGTACCTGCTGTTGTTGAGATAGTTGTGGTTGCGGTTGCTGCTGCTGCTGCTGCTGTGGCTGCTGATGATCTTTTGAAGGACCAGAGTTGCGAAGATACATCCAGTGATAATACTGCATGCGGTGTAATTCTTGGGTATTTTCGGATGTACTGATATGATCTCTGAACTGCTGGTGTTGCAAAAGGTCAAGGAAATGTAATGCGTGCGGATATCTGTTTATACACCGCGATAATAATTTAGCTAGCTGCTGCTGTTGGTATCGAGAAATCCACGACTGTATTATTGCTGATCGCGACATGAAAACTCACACTACAAACTTTGCGTATTCGGGTTGTTTCCAGTATTGTAAATAATCGAGGTAATGAATGAATGCTTCGTCTTTGAAGTATTGCTGTTGAGCTAAATCTGATAGAAAGAGAAGAAGCATGTTGTGTTTCGCGGTTCGTACCATTTAGTTTACAATAACGAATTGGAGGCTGATCAACTTTAGATATGCTTACGATTTAGGTACCAGGGGTTAGATAAACACTGTATAAACTCCAATTCCATTTGGAATCGTTCTTGATCCTCCTTTTCATTAGGCGGTTGCGATGGTGGGGTCATTGAGTAAGTAGGGAAAAAGAAAGAGGAAACTTGCATCTTACCAACTCAGCACCGCTTTTATTGTTTTCTATGAGATAATTTAGATGGCAATTTGAGGGATAGAATGTAAATATGGGAATGCTAGTATCTCTTATCATGAATGCACGTTATAGTGCTTTCTATCGATCGACTTATGTCGCATAAAAAAACTTTCATTAAGAAGCGGCTGGTTACTCATTTTATCAAGATGTGATGTTGGTGTCAAGTGAAAGAGCAACTGCGATTATAAGGAACGAACATCAGTAGCGTATTAATAGTAGATGATATACATAACGATTCTACAGCAAAAGCATGAAAACTCTGTCTACTTTAATTTATCGATTGATGTATATCGTTGCCATCCCCTGTATTGCAAATGTACCTAGAAAACATTAATATCGTCGTGCGCTAAATGTAGCAAAGTATATCATAAGGGCTTTTTAATATGCTTAACGATTAGCATTAGGGGGAAAGGAAGAGGGGAGTCGTATATAAGAAATGCGTCGTACTATACTGAAGGTAACAATAAGTGGAAGGAACATAAATCGGGGAGCACACAAGAGTTGAAGAATGCGGTTTGTTTAAAAGTAGAAGAGAGGAGAAAGAGAAAATAGAAACAGATGACAGGTCGGCGGATGGCAGAGAAGATACAGCATCTCCACAGGAGAGTGAGCTCCAACCTAACGTTTGCGATTTGTGGATAAGCCATGGCCCGAATATTTGGTCTGGGAAGAAGATGGTTGTTGCTGGTCTTGTTGCTGCATGATATCGCCGTTTCCGCTCTGTAATTGTTGGGAGAGAGTCTTAATTTTACCTACAAGCTCAGTGACACTGGGGATGAGAGGGGTTTGGCCAGTTTTGGCGGTGGAAGAAGGGAGGTGGGATTGGGTATGAGCCATAAGCGGATTGGTCCTGCTGCTGCCGCCTTGCTGCTGATGTTGCTGCGGTTGTTGAGAAGAAGCAGTGAGCTGTGTAAGCAGCTGTTGTAGCAACATGGCTTGCTGCTGCTGATGTTGTTGCTGTTGTTGAGCCACTGTGTTATTGCTAATCAGTGAGGCAAGCGCTTGAAGTAAAGCACTATTGGGGTTAGAGCCAGAAGCAGCTTCATGTGATGGCGGTTGTGGTGAGGATGACGATGGCACCAGGTTGGACTGAAGTAGGCTGACGAGAGAATTGAGTGGATCGGCATTGCCTAAAACAGGAGGGGCGGTAGCAGCATTGGCAGGAGCAGAAGAGAACATGGAAGAAGTAGGTGGCACAAATGCAGGGAAAAGGGACGGGGTGGAGGTAGTGGGTTGGGGAGGGTAGCGGAAGGCAGGGGGCGTCATTGTGGTTCCATCGCCGAAGCTGGTAGGCAGCAGAATTGGAGGCTGTTGGATATGTTGAACAATAGCAATTGCGTCATCAACGTGGATGTTATCGTATTCTACATAAAAGAAAGAATGCAAATAACAAAGTATGAGAAAGATTATCGCATCCCCACAGACACATAGACAGTGTTTCCCAATACCGTGCTTGTTCTCCCATACCATGCCATGGCTTACCATCGAATCGTACGGCATCCGTATCCGTTTCAGCACTACGGTCGAATACTTGAAGATAGATCGTGCGAAGAACTTCACATCCTCTCTCAATGATAATTATTGCCTTCACACCTTCGTAGATCATTTGCTTGACAATGGCGTCTCTGGAGACACTGTCTTGCTGCAAGAACAAGGTATGAATGGTCGTACTACGGTTCTGGAAGGCATTTTCAACATAGTTGACAAAGGGACGGTCTGCATCACTCATGGCAATGATTTGTACGACAGGAACATTGCTACCGTAACGGCGGGGCAGAGGAAAATCTTTTCTTCGGGACGCGTTGTTGATGTGGACGCCGGACTGGGGTTTCGGTAAAGATGACGATGTTCCCATGCGAGAATCGTCGCCTTTACTGACACGGCGGCGTGACAGATGGTCTTTGTCGTTGTCGTTGTCATCGACGTTATCACGTCGGGGACGGTATAGGTCCTCCTTGCGAGCCCCTCGTTGACGACTCTCGGGGACATACGAGTCCATTCGGCTCCGGACCCTTTGACGATCCAATGCGTGAGGTTTGCCTCGACACACTTCCAGTTCTTTAAGTATACATAAACATTAATCAACCCGTTCTTTCAAAACATTTCTGATACATGATTAAAATAGTATAAAGGGAACCCAAAAGAAAGAAAGTTACATACGCATTAGACATCCATTATGATATGTTCCGTTTTCTCCACGAACGGCATCAGCACAAATATCTGGATCACCGAACTGGACAAAACCATATTGGCCGTCGTTTTTCATTGTCACATCAAGCACTTTGCCGTATTTTTCGAAAAGATGACGTAATTCGTATCCTCGCAAGCGGTTATTGATATGGCGCACAATAAGTCGCGTACTTGGGTCAAGGTCCAAGTCATTGATTCGTTGCCGGCGATCTCTCCGACTAAGATTGCTGCCGACTCTTTGACCAAGGCGGTTGCTGCTACTGTTGCGGACCGCAGTGCCACCACAATCTTTCGCTTTCTTTTTGCGTATAGTATCGGTGCCATCCGGACTACGGGACCGCTTTAAGCCATTAGAGATGGCATGCACTTGATCTTGTCTTCGTTGTTGTTGTTGTTGTTGTTGTAGCTCCAACTGTTGTACCTGGGCTTGTGGTTGGGGCTGTGAGAGTGGTGTTAGTTCTGAGCCATACACCGGTTGTTGTTCTGCCTCTGGAGCAGCTTCTGGAGAAGCAACAGCGTTGCGAATGCTAGGAGTGATTAGAGAAGATAAGAATTCTCTAATGGCCGAATTCACGCTTTCAGAAGACATTTTTGGGAACGTTGGGGAGAAAAGCTGGAAGAAGAGAAAACACACACGGGAGAATGTGCCCAGCCTATTCCAATTTTTTCGCTTACATGTGACCGGTAAATCAATGCTTTTTCTGGGGTTAAACTTAACTCGCTTTAGAACACCTCCAACGGTTTGGAACGCCGCTATCATAGCAGGACCATAGAATTGGCACGGTTTTTCCAACGGTCGCGCTATTCTAAAACTGGGTATTAAATTTACTGTCACTTCTGCCACCAATTTCAATACAATGTTCAAGCCAAAATATCCGCAGACTAAAACAAATGCTCGAGGGAGATATCGAGAAGAGCACCAACATTAGCGCAGAGTTGAGTGTCTCCAGAGAATTTTTGCAGTTGGTGACGAGGACGACGATTAAGTAAGAAAACGCGGAAACGGTTCTAGTACTCGTTATTAACCGCGATCGCCTTCTTTTCAGCGTCCAATACTCGAGTTCAACTCCCCAGTATTTGTCGAGCTGTTCTCGCATCATTTCATCGTCGTCCATTTTCTCCTGGAGCTCGATGCGCCTGCGGTTGTTCTTAATTTGCTCCTCTTCAGCCTTCGCCAATCGAGCGCGATCATCGTCCAATTTATGCTTGCGCGTACCATCCTCCTTCTCTTGCTCCTTAGCTTTCTTGCGACAAATTGGGCGCTTCACATCCTCAGGTACACTTTGGTTTGTCACACTGACATACTTGTTGTTGAACTTTGGTTGCTCATGAAGCTCATTGTAACAGTATTGAAACTTCCAAGCAGATTTCGCAGCTTTCTTATACAGCGTTACTGCTTAGTCTTTCTTAACTGGCATATATTCATCAGTACTGATATCGTATCGTTTACGAAAACTAGCATCCCTTAACCCCATTTACTTTGTTGTTTTCGCGTTTGTTTCGCGCAAGAGCTTTTGCAAGACAACTGCAGTATCGAGACACCTCTCTTTGGATGTTACTCTATCGGATTGAGAGGGCTCCCAAGGCCAGTTCGTACATCCTTATCTCCTCCTCTTTGGAGAAAATCTTTGTAGACAGTCTCTCACAATTCTTGGAGTGATACATCGGTGCCCTTTGACGAACGAGTGAAGGTGGCAAGCCAGGATTGACACAGCCACACGTCCTCCTCATTGCTCCAGCTCGGACCGCGAATGCCGGCTTTTGCTGCTGCTGCAGTCAACGATTCTGCGACAACTTGGAGGACGGTGATCGATTCGACACGAGATTCATCATTAGGGTGTAGATCGGGGCAGAAGAGTTGGGAGACACTGTTGTTGGAAAAGAAAATGACTTGTAAAGAGGAGAGAGCTTTATTTTAGAAAACCTTTGCTATTTCGGATTGCTAAAATGAAACATGGCACCACCGATCTTATGAATTAGAAGTAATCTTTTTCCTTTGATTTTGTTATTGTCATACAAGGATGGCTCGCCGCACTTCAGTCTACGTAAAACTATTCTCAACTTGTCTATACGTAGAGCGTAATAGCTAGACTCCAAGGGCAACATGCTCACAGTTTTTCCATCGAACTTTTTGTATACAAAACAAAGTGCAAAATCGCCCTGTTGCAAAGGAGCCATCGAGCAAGTTTGCTGCTGTAGTTATTTGAGCTGTGAGCCTGTCGATGAATAAGATAGTATATATATATATATCACTTTTAACATCCACTGCTATTCCCAAGTTGATATTCCTGGATGTCTGACTTAACGTGCAATAGCTATATGTACTCGTGTAGTCATTCGGCGGGCCATTTCGTACTAAAACCCTTGCCCAAGTAGAGTAGATTGCGACTCGCATCCATGTACGTTTGCTCTAAACATAAGGCAGGGTTACTGGGTCCAAATAAGCGCGTTTATTCACAATTATAAAGTATTGGTCGTCGTACATGATGCGTGTTGTTCATTTGCGCTTAACACTATACACGCCTATGAAAGTTGTGCAGTACGTACTATGTGGAGCCATTCAAAGCTAACCGCCAATGAATGAGCTGACTAATCTTTGAAACCAGCTTCTTTGTGCCAGGAAATGTGTAGAGCAAACTTACTTTTTCTATTGGATGAAAAGCGTATCGAAGATGTTCTTGAACTACAGAACTGCTTGTCCTTAAAGTTAGGCTCTTTGACATTATAAACAGAATATACATTGTTATGTAAGAGGTGCATTCGAGAGATAAATTACTTTAGTATATAAAGGAAGAGTTGGATGGTGATGGCAAGTGAAAAAGATGTGTGAATGCTTTGTGCACAAATAAAATGGGAATTACTCACTTGTTTTTGCTCACTCACACGTATTGTGCTCCCACAGCAGGTCGTTTCCAATATATTAGTGCTTCTAATAATGCTTCCTCTGATATGGATCGTTTGCAAATTTTATTTGAACTGTACTTTAAACGAGATTGGCCTACTGTATGTAATTACGATGTTCTATGATTACTGCTGTAGTGCCATCGAATAGATATTTAGCGTCCGGAATGAGGTTAATACTTTGGATTTGTTTCGTACTATACTTTGTCTTAGCTGGCAAGATGTGAAATCCGGAAGCAACAAATCAACTCTTCTTAGATGGCATACTTCACTCTGTATCGCGATTTCGATCGACCTCCGGTTGATGTTTGGGATTCCAAACGATAGTAGTAAAGAGAGATCCATATTCGTACATTATATTAAATTCGCTCTACAACCAACAATCACATACTGCATGTCGTTAGCGAGTAATCATCGGCGACGCAACACCAAAATCCAGCATGTAAAAGCATTGATCATTTCTAACATCTTACTAAGCTTCATTTAATTAATAGGTTAAATTTTGTTTGTGTGCATTGCTTTAGGTTCCACTTCAAAATTACCACCCCAGGACCTTATCGTTACCAGTCGAGATCGTGGGATCCGACGTAACCAGCAAGTAGTGATTTGTGCTGCCATTGATGTGGTTTCCCGAGACGCATGCATTTCGATAAATGTTGGGAAATGGATATCGATTCGAAAATACAGTCGACCGTCCACTTTCCGAGATTTTCCAACGAGCTCTTGTAGTATCGATGTAGTCATCGACAGATCGTCCGTTATCGTCGCTTTCGTCATGATAAGTTACATCGGATATATCACTTTATCTTCAAACTGCCTTCGCAAGGCCTTCACTAGTGGATTATCACTTCGAGAGACATTTTGGTCAACATGTTGCATCACCACATACCGGCCAGGCTTCTTTTCGCTTGATGAGCTTAATGACTGTCCTGTGGTAATATATTACTTGAGCTTGGTGCATACATGATGTTTGTAGGCTGATAAGCTGTAATAAAAGGTATTGCTTAAGGACAACACGCGGTTGTCACTCAAGCTATGTTTCACATTAGTCAAGAGCAGCGAGCGAATTCAAAATTGCTTGATATATCAGTAATATGATATCCAGTACTTCAAGCTTCCATGCCGTTTCGGGCTCCCAAACTCTTTTAACATCCACTACGTATCATAGCTTATTGAATAGCGACACCGCTTATGGTTGTCGAAGCTTCCACAAAGGCTGAGGAGGATAATAGTATATCAGAGGAAACACGCGTAGGATATATAAAATAAAAACAAAGGAAAAGCAGCAACAAAAATCACGAAAACTGTTAGTGCATTTATTATAGCGGTAATAAGGAAGCAGCTTCTTGTTGTGAGCCAATTTTGGCATCTTTTATATCTCGCTTTTCAATGCCGTAAGTTAGCAGAAACGGTAAAGTTATTTTATGTTTTCGTCCGGTGCAACAACGGAGATGATTTGGGGAACTGCATCCAATATCTCAAATAATAGCTTTGGCCTTTTGAGACCTTACACTGTCTTGAAATGTCGTTTCAATTGTCCAAAAGGCAACAAAAGTCAATTTGTATCTTTTGGATGTGTAATTGAAGTTGAAATAGTGTCATTTTAATAATATTGAGAGCGTTAGTATAACATCTTTTGGATGACTTCCAAAATGTTTATACTGGATAGAATAAACATGGTCACACAAGAAAAATAAAGTTTATCCTGCAGGGATAAAAGAAAGGTCTTCCAAAAAGGATTTTATACCGAATAAACATGTTTGCTCACTTTATTCGTTTGATTCGCTCCAAGCTTCTTGGTAAACGCGTCTAATTTGACTTAGTTGTACTTCTGAAACTCGGTAGTTATGTAATTTGAATATTATATATAAAATCATTCGACGTTGGGTGGCATCTGTACTAAGAGGTAAGATATAACCTCTGATATGATGACTGAATTGATCGCATTCCCCATTTAATGGCTTGTCGGTTTCTTGTAATAACACCATACCAACGGCACTGGTTTCTGTCGTACTCGCGGCTGTTCTTCTTCGGAACCTTAAAAAATCTTGGCAGTGACATGGCAGCAGATCGCGGGAAGCACAATCAGCAAGAAGCCGGTAGCCTGCAGGCGTTTGTTCTCGAAGAACTGTAGATAGGAGTGGCTCGGTAATATTAGAATCATGCGATGATCCAGGGCAGTTGTAGCTAAGTTAAGCTCAATTGTCAGTGATCCATTCATACTAGATAGCAATGTGACATGAAGTAAAAGTAAATTAGCATGACACCTACTTGATCCAGCATATGCGACCATTCGGCGTGAAAACAATGTCCTGTGCTACATAACAGTCAGACAGCCATCCATTGTAGTACGCGTCTTGAATATTGTTTTCGCCTGGATTCTCGATTCTTAGGTTGAGTCCATCCACGAAACCGAATACACGTTGCAACGATGGTTCGACATGCTGTATGATTGATGCAAATCGAGCCATTTCTTGCTGTGATGACCAACGAATTCGCCATCGCCTGTCGTTCTCATTTGAGAAGACCTTGTACAGCGTCTCTAGACCAAGATTCCTTGCTCTCGAGGTAGTAGCTGGCACAACACCATAGAGGGAACCGGTTGTGTCCTGTCTGTTGTATGTGTGAAGCCAGGTCAGAGTGAGAGCCAAGACGGCTTCACTTGGTAAAAACCGTTTACGACCACGCTGCTTTAAAGCCAGATAAAAGCGCACGAACCGGCGATGCAGGCGATCGAAAGCGGCAACAGTGAATCCACAGCAACCAATAAACTGTCGGTCAACCCGGTTGGCTAACGTAATGCGTGCAAGCGAATCTTCGTAGCGATTTGGAAGCTCGGACCGTGTTACGGGGTATCGCATTTTACGCTGTCTACTACTCCACACATCGACGACGATAACGAAGTAAAAATAGAAGAAGGTTGCAGCATAAGTGGCAATAACGAAAAGGATGAAGAAACGTTTATAGGCATCCTCCGACCCCCCTGATAAAAAATTTCGTAGATTCGGCAAAACTCCTTGTAGGAGGCATTGTTTTGAAGTTAAAGCTGTAATGGCAAGCGTTAAATAAATAGTGAAGCGAAGTGTAGTACAATGTGATAAAGCTAGGGACAATAGTAGCTTGAATGATAATGGAGTCTCTTCTTTTATATTAAGCTTCTCAATTACTGTATCGTAATACTTATAAAAACATATATCCAGTTCAAGTTATAAAACGCTCTAAACAAGCGCGTTTTTTGTGGATTTCCAAACTCTAGAGATATCTTTTCCTGCAGATATTGGAGCTCTCCAGATATCTCCAGATTTTGAGACACACTAGTATGCCCCATAAAGCACGGAAACATTATACTCGAATGATCCAGTTTATGTAAAACAACATCTGTACAGCAATGAACGCCTATGACCCGAATGGGCTGGCGTGATATGATGTCGTTTGTGATCTTTTAACGATTATTTACGGCTGATGATGCACTTGGAATGGTTGTCTTGTTACTAGTTATATTGGTGAATTATAATCCAAAAAAGGAAAAGTATCAGGAAAGAAGGGGATGGGGGATGGGGGAGATAGCGGATAGTGTTATGCAAGTTGGTTAATATCTTATCAGCAGGATGACTGGGCGTGTATTAGATTGGGATAGCGCAAAGGTCAGGCCAATGATCAAAGGGTCTCTGTACAGGGTTCGGGTCAATGTTGTTTATATTGAACAATAAATTGTTTGTTTGGGTTTTGTTTGGAGTAAACATGTGCTAAACGCCGCAGCCAGCTTCTTCATGGGATCAGTGAGACATTGTAGAAAGTCTCGGCCATTGTTGTATCAACTGTCGTGGCGTGTGTAACGAAAATAAAAAACGCTCTCTTGTACGAGTATATGGCCGGCCGATCTTCCCAAGCCCGCAATGATGGATGTGGGCAGCTTAAAATAGATTGTCAAAGCAGAATATGGAGCAGCATGGCTGTTTTCAGCATAGTATGCGCGTCATCCTAGAGCTACTATTATCCATACAGGCTGCTTCTTCAGGTTGTTTGGTTTGCTCGTTTTAACATCCTTCTCTATGAGGCTTGCTTTATAACCACGCTGCATAAGAAAGCTGCTTATTGCCATGGCATTCAGTAGTCATGACAATCCATGTTCCTGAAAGCCGCTTGTTGCCAGGACAAGCTTGTCAAAACACATTTTATTTTATTCGCGTCACCCATTTTGACCAATTCCGAGCGAAATGGCGGCTGCTCTTGCGAAGCGATTCGCAGCGCTTTTTTCACACAACCGCAACCAGCGCAATGGGCAGACTCGTAGCAACATGCACATACTCAACCCTTGTTTTTTCGAGGCTCTGAGGCCAAGTTACGATGTTTTTTGCGCAGGGTCTCCATTGTACTTTGCTGTCATGCTCGGCTTCTTCATGCGCAGATCTTCCGTGCTGGCCGTGAATAAAGTTGGAGGCGCGGGGTTGGATGGGGGGATGGAACCAAAGTTGGGGGACGTCACTCGTCCAGGCGAAAACACTACACTGTATACGCTTATGGAGGTGTGGTTTTAGACTGCTTGTCGTCTTTAGTCTCGCATTGAGCTCGCTCGGTGGTCAGCTTAACGAACGATAATCGTAAGCTGGCAAGCGTGGTGGATGCAGAGAAAGGGATTCTTTTCAAGAAAAACAGCGTCGATCGTATATCCTATCTGTCTGCTTTTTCCCAGGGTGCGCGTGAAGTATGATACATGCGAAAAAAGCAAACCAGATTGGCTCGGAACGTATCCTCCGAACTAACTTTTTTTCCTTTCCATTTTTCTCGCGAACTGAACTACGTGATGTGCATTGGAATAATAATAAAACTTTTTTCCTTTCCATTATTTTCGCGAACTGAACTACGCGAACACAGAAAGTAAAAAAAAAAAAAGATAAAAAACAGTGCCAAAGTGTGATAATGCGCGTTGTGATCGTGTTACTGTCGTCTGTCATTGTTGTGCGCTTTGTTGAGCACGGAGCTTATCTTTGCCTATTTTAGTTTTTTGTACGCAAAAAAAAAGATACAGGAAAGGAAAAAAAAGCAAGCGTCCCTTCAGAATCTCATTGAGCCCAGACCAGAGTTCTTTTTGGAAATGAACTTTTGCCCATAAAAAGACACCCATTTTCCGCAGCGTGTTGCTTCCTCACTTTTTCTTTCTCTTTTCATTTTTCACTTTTTCACGATCACGTATGGTAAGTCCCTTTCTTTTTTTTGTGAGTGTCTGGGGAGGGAGTGGGGGCTAACGCGGGTTTTGTAGGTCGTGGGTGGGTGGGTGGGTGGTGGTGCTTGTTTTGTAGGCACGGGCGACGGAGGCGTAAGGTAAGTGGGTGAAGGTAAGTGGGTGTGTGGGTGGGTGGGTGGTGGTGCTTGTTTTGTAGGCATGGGCGACGGAGGCGTAAGGTAAGTGGGTGAAGGTAAGTGGGTGTGTGGGTGGGTGGGTGGGTGGTGCTTGTTTTGTAGGCATGGGCGACGGAGGCGTAAGGTAAGTGGGTGAAGGTAAGTGGGTGTGTGGGTGGGTGGTGGTGCTTGTTTTGTAGGCATGGGCGACGGAGGCGTAAGGTAAGTGGGTGAAGGTAAGTGGGTGTGTGGGTGGGTGGGTGGTGGTGCTTGTTTTGTAGGCATGGGCGACGGAGGCGTAAGGTAAGTGGGTGAAGGTAAGTGGGTGTGTGGGTGGGTGGGTGGTGGTGCTTGTTTTGTAGGCATGGGCGACGGAGGCGTAAGGTAAGTGGGTGAAGGTAAGTGGGTGTGTGGGTGGGTGGGTGGTGGTGCTTGTTTTGTAGGCATGGGCGACGGAGGCGTAAGGTAAGTGGGTGAAGGTAAGTGGGTGTGTGGGTGGGTGGGTGGTGGTGCTTGTTTTGTAGGCATGGGCGACGGAGGCGTAAGGTAAGTGGGTGAAGGTAAGTGGGTGTGTGGGTGGGTGGGTGGGTGGTGCTTGTTTTGTAGGCATGGGCGACGGAGGCGTAAGGTAAGTGGGTGAAGGTAAGTGGGTGTGTAGGTGGGTGGGTGGTGGTGCTTGTTTTGTAGGCATGGGCGACGGAGGCGTAAGGTAAGTGGGTGAAGGTAAGTGGGTGTGTGGGTGGGTGGGTGGTGCTTTTTTTTTGTAGCTTCGCGATTGGTGAGAGCGGACTGGGCATCTCAATACCAATCGACCTTTGATGATCCACAAAAAAGCGACCAAGACAAGACCCTAGCTTTGTGGGGAGAGGGTTACGGGAGCAGATGTCGATGGACCTTCTCGTGGTTGCTCCTGTCAGTACCTGCTTAAGAGCAGGGAAGCTAACACATCGACACCCTATTATTGATTAGTAGTATCATGTATCAAATAAAGAATGGTTTTTTTCTCTTCCCGTTCGTTGAACTTGCTTGTGCGTGTTTTATACAACTCCCTCATGGAGTCCACATTAAGCCGCCCCTTCCCCCAATTTTTTTCAAAGCCAGCAGAGTGGCCTCCACATTAACAAGGGCGGCCCACAACAACAGCTGAGGGACTTTGTGCTTTTTTTTAAACAGCATTGGCATTCAATCATTAATGGCGGCAGGCAGATGGAAAAAGGACAGTAACATAAAAAGTAAGCTTTTATTATGTGGTGTGTTAAAAAGAACAGCAGCGTTGAAAAGGAGGGAAAAAAGAGTGAGTTTCTTATAACCGCGATTTCTTTTGGCTTTTGAATCTTTATTAGATTAATGAAGATGGCAGTAAAGAAAAAGTCAATGGCAAACTCGGAAATAGTATACACGTTGAAGACAGGCTTTTATTGAAAGATTAATGAAGGTAACGGTAAGAGCTTGCTTCTTTTCAAAGGGAGGGAAAGATGGCGGATCTTTTTGACTTTGAATGGTTTTGTAATTTGACACACAGCATTTTGAAGAGGGATCGTCAACAATCGTCGACGAATCTATATGCTCGCCTTCACTACACGTCAACGAAAAGAAGAAGAAATGTACAACACACGTTGACGGAAACCAGAAACATAACAAACGAACAAGTAACGCTGCTTTTTCAATACTCGCCGCAACTCATACGACGATTTGCTTCTAACTGCCATCCCAAGATTTTAAATCGTGCATCTTATCAAACGTTGCTGATGCTCGCCATTAAATGTACTCGACATCCATATGTAAAATAGGACCGGTAATCACGCACAACACAATACGAAAGCAGGGGAGACATATGTACAGCAGTATTACGTGTTTTTACTTACGGCGGCCTATACTTTTTCATGCATATATTTGATCCACTTACTGAACAACGGCAGTACACAACAATAATATAATGGCGGTTGCTTCTTACGGACGAGGAAAACGAGCAAGAAAGGGATGCCACAATGCGTTTTTAAAGGGAGTATATCTTTTCATTGCTGTAGAATAGTGGGATCAGTAAGATGAGCGGGTATACAGAAACCATGTTCCTTTTCTCTTCATTGATAATAAAAAACCATACATTACTGGTAGCGATTCAAAGTCAATCAGACGTGGTCGGCGTATGTGTGGGTGATGTATGATGTATGTGGGAAAAAAACAAAATACAAAAGAAAGGAGGATGGTCGGCTCGTACGAGAGTCATACATGCATAATCTTGGCCTTGCTTCTGAGCACATGAAAGTTGTGCCAACGATGTTTTCGGTTAGTCAAGGGGTTGAAAGGGGCGTAGCAAGCGAAACATACCATTAAACTGGTTCTCTCAGCTTAGAACAGCTTGCCTTAGCGCCGTTGTTGCTGGTGTGCATACCCTCCCAACAAATTTCTTTCCTTTCCATTATTTTCGCGAACAGAACTACGCGAACACAGAAGGTAAAATAAAAAGAAAAAAGATGGAAAAGGCGTACCAAAGTGTGATAAAGCGCGTTGTGATCGTGTTACTGTCGTCTGTCATTGTTCTGCGCTTTGTTGAGCACGGTCCAGGCCAGCGTTCTTTTTGGAAATGAACTTTTGCCCATAAAAAGACACCCATTTTCACGGAAAATGCTGTTTTTGGTAATTTTGTATCACAGTGATTGTTCTGCACACGACACGATTTTTAGTGGGATCCCTATGTACATCAGTGACGGTTGGTTACCTGGCTACATACTTTTTCAATTCCGCTCCTTAGCAACTTCATAAGCAACCAATCCCAAAACTGCTCACAGCAGCCTTTTTCTCCCGCTCTCTTTTCAAAAGAATTCCTCTGTGCATCATGAACTCATGCCCCACAGTAGGTATTCGAGTGAGTGGACGCTAGCTTTCATCAACGCTTGCTGTGGACTTGTCTCAAGCCCCACGGCAGGAGTTGATGAAGGTTAGCAATCATTTGCGACTTCTACTTATCAAAGGACCCTCAAGGTCGAGCACGATGAAGAGAGTGTCCGTTCGTTGCGAGTGGTAGGCATGGTCCATACACGTAAGTCTTCAGTTCCACTGGGACAACCAATCCGTTTCGCTCTTGTTTGACTAAAGACCACTCGTATTTTCTACCAGATCTGCGTATGAAAACATATGTGATGGACGTTCCAGATGGATACGTGTGCCGTATCCGGGAAATCAAACAACAGCAAATTCCAGAAACATTGATCGACTTCTATGAAACCTACATCCCGTATTTAGAAGCTATGCTTAAGATTAAGGTAACATCGTTATTCATTTCCTCTGCAGTGCATTCACAACTTCCGCTCACGAGAAAACAACAGGGAATCGTAAAATCGACCATGGATGTAGTTGCCAAGCCAAAGAAAAACAGGTCAGATTTCGTATCGAGCGTAACAGAACCAAGCACAGTCATCATCCCATCAGCATTGAACGGACCTGTCAAAATAACCCCACAAAAAAGAAAGGCCGACGACTCTGAGTGTTCACATACGCAAGAAAAATAAGCACGCATTCACCTACCCACAATCACTCCAAACCTTTTCTGACAAAATCGCATCCACATTTCCGCCCATCTTTAACATGCTCTTTTCGCTGCATTATATTTCCATCTTTGACGCTGTACCAAAAACTTTTCACATTTTCTGTCCATCTTTTACCCTATACTTGTACTTCTCACTTAATTGACCCCATCCTTTTCTAAATACATCTTTGTCTATGTGCCGATCCCACAAGTGTATAATATTCAGTAGCCGCTTCAGATACGCCTTGCATTTCATTAATTTTGGATGATGAAATGGATGAACTCATGCGGCTCCTGCTGTTGCTGGAATGATATGTAACTAGGAGTGTTACCGAGTACTTCTATTTCTCCGTCCGTTTCTCTCTGCTTTTGCTCGTATTAATTACGCCATCGAATACAATGTTCAGCGTAGGTATCGAATAGAAGGATCAGTAGTTGAGCGATGCAAGGCTGTGGAAGTAGACACAGCACCGTAGAGGCAGTGAGGCTTTTCGGTCCTGCCCATTTCTCATTTAACTTCTGTATCTGATCTTTGCTATATCACCCACTCCGTGGGTAGTCTTTCTTTAACGTTTACATTCCAAATATGTCACTTTGTGATGATAGAGCTTTAATAAAGATAATAAGGGACAAGATTAAGTATCTTTGAGATGATGTTTTATTCCAACAAAAGATAAAGCTCTTTTATATTCTAGCTACTAAGACGGCGATATCAATTCATCCGACTAATGGATAAACTATGTGATAGAGGATGGATCAAGGACGTATCAGAACTTCTATTGAAGTCGCTATGTTAGTCGGGCACATCTTTGAAACCGGCGTTAGCTGATGTAATGGCCGAGGTACCTGTTGATAGGTTCATTGTCCTGTTCACGTAAGGTGGATCATCTGAGTGAGAGATTTTATTCAACAGTGTTTAGCCGAAATGCCGTAGTGTTCATACGTGTGTGCTATAATGTTTAACCGAATATCTTATTGTTGATATCTTAAGCAGTGTATTAATGTGGTTCACCACATCACCCCCTTCCAGGTTAAACATTATTCTGTGAAGAATGTGCTTAGCAACGTGTGCGTAAACGCTTACTGCGTCTAGTAGATGGTGTAGGTGTGGAACCCTCTTGACGTTTGGAAATAGTTCCTTTTGCTTTACGTTGTGATTGCTGTGGGATGTGCGTCACAGGTAATGCAGTTTGTATTTTGCTTTGCTTCGGTGGTGTGATACCAACACGTTCCCAATATTTCATGATTGGTTGTGGACTATTAAATGCTTCTGCTGGTTCCCAGGAATTCGTCATCAGGTGTATAATCTTTCCATCTAACCCGGTATTGATATTTGCCTGGTGCAAGCTCTTTGTGGTCTACAATTGACTGTACGGTGTAATATTTACCGTTTTCTTCAAATGCTTCTTCTGTGTCAATTAATTCATCCTGTGATAGGAGTTTCATTTGTGAGGGTGCGTAGTTACGAGAAGTTAATAGACCCTGTTCATCTCTAAGGACATAAGAACCACCTTTGGTTTTGCGTACTACAGTATATGGTCCTTCATATCTTGGATCCATCTTCTTACTGCGTAATTCATCAATGACCATGACCGTGCTTCCGATGGGATAATCGGTGATTCTGAACTTGGCATTGTATTTGCCTTTTTTAATATCATCCAGTGCCTTTGCTCTTTCCGAAATTCAGGAAAGACAATGTTTGTCATTTGTTCAATGCGGTTTTGCAGCTCATCTTCTGTGAGTGGCCGCGGGATCTGTTCTTTGCTATAGTCCCTGAAACCGTTCACTGTTCTATTGAACATAAGAGCAAATGGTGTAGAACCATGTCTATTGGCAACTTTGTTGTTAAGGGCTAATTGTGCTGGTTTGACATATAAGTCCCAGTCTCTAACTGCTCCTTTTGTATACTTGCGGATGATGTTAACAGTTGTTTGCACAAATCTTTCAGCCAATCCCTGAGCTCTTGGGTGAAAAGGCGTAGAAAGTCTTTGGTCGAATCCAGAGGCTTCTCGAAGACGAGTCATTAGTTGGTTCTTGAATTCAGTACCATTATCACTGCTGAGATAACGGCAAAAGCCCACTAAGCAAAATGTGTCGAAGACTGCTTGAACGACAGTGTCTGATGTTTTATCAGGAAGTGTGTGTAAAACACAAAAACGTGTGCATACGTCTACCATGACTAAGAGATAATTGTTTCCGCGATGGCTTGTGCCGAAGCCGCTTGCAAGATCAATTGTCCAATGATCACCCGGATAGAATGCATGAAGAGGTCTCAAAGGGTTATAACCTTTCTTGGTGATGTTGAATCGCTGGCATTCAGGGCAGCTTTTTACAATGTGTGCGGCTTCTTTGTACATATTGTTCCATTTCAAACCATCATTGTGTAGTGCTTTTGTGATAGCTTCAGCGCCAAAGTGACCAAATGCATGTGCTTTTTTGAGTAATTCCGGTCTTTCATGTTCGGGTGGTTCAAAATAGATGTCATCATCTATGTTGTCAGTGTTATTACTTGTTTGTGTGTTTACTGTGAGAGTCTTATTTTGTACAGTGTTATTATTTGTATGAATTTGCGTAGCACTACCCCCTTCCAGCTCTTTTTCATCGATGTGAAAAAGGCGCGATAATTGATCAGGAAGGATGTTATCTAATCCTGGTAGGTGAATAATTTCAAAGTCGTATTGTAAGATGGTGTCAAACCAACTGATCATCATAGCGTTGGCTATTTTTTGTGTATGGAGGAAGGTCAATGCTTTGTGATCTATGTATAATTTAAACGGTTTGCCATATAAATATTTGTGGAATTTGTCAAGTGCAAATATAATAGCTCTGAGCTCACGTCGTGTAGTGCTATAAGATCTTTCTGACTTGGAGAGTGCTCTAGCCATGAAAGCAATATGACGTGTTTCACCATCTATGACTTGGAAAAGTGCTGCAGCGATTCCGGTATTTGAAGCGTCAGTTGCAACCTGAAAAGGGTGTGATAAATCGGGAAAGCGCAGGATGGGAGCTTCAAGTAGCATTTTCTTTAACGTGTCAAAACTGTGTTGTTCTGTTTGTGTCCATAAACCTTTTAAAGATTTGGCATTGCGAAGTCGGTCTAAAGGTGCCATAACTTCAGAGACTTTTGGTAGGTAAGAGCGCATGTAATTGATAGTACCACAGAAGACAGCTATAGCTTTGCCAGTTGTAGGTGTAGGGATATTTTGGATGTTGCATACTTTGCGTTTATCCAGTGATACACCTTTGGTGGATACACAGTGGCCAAGTAAGTAGAAACAAGGTTGTGCATATACGACTTTGTCATGATTGATGCGGAAATTTACCTCAGTTAATTTGTCAATTACTGCGGCGACATGGATATCTTAACTCGGATAATCACATAGACTACAAGCGCTGACACTCCTGCTATAGCAACTCAGTATAAAAATATCTATAATGCAATCAATTCACAACCTACAACCTGGTCATTTCTAGAAAGTTACAAATTTGATTTTTTCACTTTTTCTTATTTTATCTGAACAATTAAGCTCGGATTCTTCACACGAAATGAATTGATGGCAGCAGTATGTGGAGATATATATGAATGGATGCATTTATTCAAAGCGCAGGGCGCAGAAGCGGTGGCAATTTTTGGTTGAATCAATCAAAGAATAAATGGAGGGATGAGTGGGGCGCCGTTTTTCTTGCCACGAAGAAGCGGCACGGACAGGTTGACACAAACGCCAGAAGGTGGGTCATCAATGTGCGCATATTTTTCAAGGACACAAATGTTGCTAGCTCTTCTAAAAACCGGGGAAATGTAAGCTGCGCAACTTCTTGCATCACATAGATTCCATCGTGGCGGAGGCGCGTCAGAAAAAAAGTGATATGAAAACCATGCACCTGGAAGGTCAGAGCGGCTTCCAATGCATGGTATCAATGGTATCCTTTGCTAGAGTTGCCAAACGCAAAAGATCGTGGCATAGCGCGTGGTTATCGATGGTGGGACGTGCAACTTTGACCTCTCCATATCCAAGACTGGGCCCAAAGTCGCGCTGCCGTAGCTTGGATATTGTGGCGTCAGGGCGGATCTTGTCATTTTCATCAGACATGACGTTGGACCAGCGAAGGAGCACTTTTCTGTCAGGATCAGAGAATAGCGATGCCAAGATGGGATCAAAGTACTTGGTGAAAAGCTCACATTCTCCAATAGTTTGCTTGTTTCTAATGGCAACGAGCGGCAAGCGGCGCATCCTATAAAAATTGTTCAGTTTTGGCACAGGCTTTCACGAACTACTAATCGATAATGACTTTACGCTACTGAGATGCCAATCGTATATGACGCAGCTGATAGCGCTGTTCATATAGACAAAATTCGGCATCTTTCATTTTAAGCTTAAGCAAAGCCTTTTCACCAAGCTTCTCCGGTTCAAACGCGTTTTCCAGCCTTTCAATCGCGGTTCTAAGACGCTTAATGGCTTCGAAACCATAAGCAATTATGGAATCTGCTTCTTTCTATTCACAAATATCAGCTTAAATGTAGAATTATTTAAAGCGATAGACATCAAAATCGCTCCTACCTCCAGCATGGGCACCAAAGACCGTCCAAGGGGGCACATTTTTTTTCCGAGTACCAGAAGCTCGATATCTGCCGATGATCCGAGCCAATTTCACGCATACATCGTCGCTGATATCCATCACGCGTAGAATCCAACTTCATTTCGAGCCGCTGTTATAATTGTGTCTATTAGAAATGAGTTGAGCAGGTTTTGACAGTTACCGTTAGTATAAAAGTGCAGATGCAAACTCGTAATAGTAAGAAAATAAAGTCGCGCTTTTGCTCTCCCTGTGTTATTTTGCTACCGCTCCCCATTCTTAATAATCTTTACGATTTACAGATGCACTGTTATAATTACCTTGTCTCAAGATGAACGGCACACCATGTAGTTACAATGCTTTTTTTTTGTTCACTGACGAAACATATACTGCTGCACTTCTTTTTTCTCTCAAGTCCCTTTATTCTGTGCCTGCTTCCCTCCACTTTGGGGGGAATAAGTAACTTGCATTAAATATCGCTCGATATGACGCGTTGTTTTCTTGCTTGTATTGATGCCGATTGATTGGAAAGATCCTTTCTTTTGCCAGGCATAAGCTATTGATTTGTGGATGGAAAAGAAAGACCGGTCAAAGGTTTCAAAGGGACTAGACAGTATCCACCATAAAGCACGGAAACATTATACTCGAATGATCCAGTTCATGTAAACAACATCTGTAGAGCAATAAACGGCTATAACCCGAATGGGCTGACGTGATATGACGTCGTTTGTGAGCTCTTGATGATTATTTACAGCTGATGATGCACTTGGAATGGTTGTCTTGTTACTAGTTATATTGGTGAATTATTAACCAAAAAAGGAAAAGTATCAGGAAAGAAGGGGATGGGGGATGGGGGGAGATAGCGGATAGTGTTATGCAAGTTGGTTAATATCTTATCAGCAGGATGACTGGGCGTGTATTAGATTGGGATAGCGCAAAGGTCAGGCCAATGATCAAAGGGTCTCTGTACAGGGTTCGGGTCAATGTTGTTTATATTGAACAATAAATTGTTTGTTTGGGTTTTGTTTGGAGTAAACATGTGCTAAACGCCGCAGCCAGCTTCTTCATGGGATCAGTGAGACATTGTAGAAAGTCTCGGCCATTGTTGTATCAACTGTCGTGGCGTGTGTAACGAAAATAAAAAACGCTCTCTTATACGAGTATATGCTGCCGATCTTCCAAGCCCGCAATGATGGATGTGGGCAGCTTAAAATAAATTGTCAAAGCCAGATTATAGAGCAGCATGGCTGTTTTCAGCATAGTATGCGCGTCATCCTAGAGCTACTATTATCCATACAGGCTGCTTCTTCAGGTTGTTTGGTTTGCTCGTTTTAACATCCTTCTCTATGAGGCTTGCTTTATAACCACGCTGCATAAGAAAGCTGCTTATTGCCATGGCATTCAGTAGTCATGACAATCCATGTTCCTGAAAGCCGCTTGTTGCCAGGACAAGCTTGTCAAAACACATTTTATTTTATTCGCGTCACCCATTTTGACCAATTCCGAGCGAAATGGCGGCTGCTCTTGCGAAGCGATTCGCAGCGCTTTTTTCACACAACCGCAACCAGCGCAATGGGCAGACTCGTAGCAACATGCACATACTCAACCCTTGTTTTTTCGAGGCTCTGAGGCCAAGTTACGATGTTTTTTGCGCAGGGTCTCCATTGTACTTTGCTGTCATGCTCGGCTTCTTCATGCGCAGATCTTCCGTGCTGGCCGTGAATAAAGTTGGAGGCGCGGGGTTGGATGGGGGGATGGAACCAAAGTTGGGGGACGTCACTCGTCCAGGCGAAAACACTACACTGTATACGCTTATGGAGGTGTGGTTTTAGACTGCTTGTCGTCTTTAGTCTCGCATTGAGCTCGCTCGGTGGTCAGCTTAACGAACGATAATCGTAAGCTGGCAAGCGTGGTGGATGCAGAGAAAGGGATTCTTTTCAAGAAAAACAGCGTCGATCGTATATCCTATCTGTCTGCTTTTTCCCAGGGTGCGCGTGAAGTATGATACATGCGAAAAAAGCAAACCAGATTGGCTCGGAACGTATCCTCCGAACTAACTTTTTTTCCTTTCCATTTTTCTCGCGAACTGAACTACGTGATGTGCATTGGAATAATAATAAAACTTTTTTCCTTTCCATTATTTTCGCGAACTGAACTACGCGAACACAGAAAGTAAAAAAAAAAAAAGATAAAAAACAGTGCCAAAGTGTGATAATGCGCGTTGTGATCGTGTTACTGTCGTCTGTCATTGTTGTGCGCTTTGTTGAGCACGGAGCTTATCTTTGCCTATTTTAGTTTTTTGTACGCAAAAAAAAAGATACAGGAAAGGAAAAAAAAGCAAGCGTCCCTTCAGAATCTCATTGAGCCCAGACCAGAGTTCTTTTTGGAAATGAACTTTTGCCCATAAAAAGACACCCATTTTCCGCAGCGTGTTGCTTCCTCACTTTTTCTTTCTCTTTTCATTTTTCACTTTTTCACGATCACGTATGGTAAGTCCCTTTCTTTTTTTTGTGAGTGTCTGGGGAGGGAGTGGGGGCTAACGCGGGTTTTGTAGGTCGTGGGTGGGTGGGTGGGTGGTGGTGCTTGTTTTGTAGGCACGGGCGACGGAGGCGTAAGGTAAGTGGGTGAAGGTAAGTGGGTGTGTGGGTGGGTGGGTGGTGGTGCTTGTTTTGTAGGCATGGGCGACGGAGGCGTAAGGTAAGTGGGTGAAGGTAAGTGGGTGTGTGGGTGGGTGGGTGGTGGTGCTTGTTTTGTAGGCATGGGCGACGGAGGCGTAAGGTAAGTGGGTGAAGGTAAGTGGGTGTGTGGGTGGGTGGGTGGTGGTGCTTGTTTTGTAGGCATGGGCGACGGAGGCGTAAGGTAAGTGGGTGAAGGTAAGTGGGTGTGTGGGTGGGTGGGTGGTGGTGCTTGTTTTGTAGGCATGGGCGACGGAGGCGTAAGGTAAGTGGGTGAAGGTAAGTGGGTGTGTGGGTGGGTGGGTGGTGGTGCTTGTTTTGTAGGCATGGGCGACGGAGGCGTAAGGTAAGTGGGTGAAGGTAAGTGGGTGTGTGGGTGGGTGGGTGGTGGTGCTTGTTTTGTAGGCATGGGCGACGGAGGCGTAAGGTAAGTGGGTGAAGGTAAGTGGGTGTGTGGGTGGGTGGGTGGTGCTTGTTTTGTAGGCATGGGCGGAGGCGTAAGGTAAGTGGGTGAAGGTAAGTGGGTGTGTGGGTGGGTGGGTGGTGCTTTTTTTTTGTAGCTTCGCGATTGGTGAGAGCGGACTGGGCATCTCAATACCAATCGACCTTTGATGATCCACAAAAAAGCGACCAAGACAAGACCCTAGCTTTGTGGGGAGAGGGTTACGGGAGCAGATGTCGATGGACCTTCTCGTGGTTGCTCCTGTCAGTACCTGCTTAAGAGCAGGGAAGCTAACACATCGACACCCTATTATTGATTAGTAGTATCATGTATCAAATAAAGAATGGTTTTTTTCTCTTCCCGTTCGTTGAACTTGCTTGTGCGTGTTTTATACAACTCCCTCATGGAGTCCACATTAAGCCGCCCCTTCCCCCAATTTTTTTCAAAGCCAGCAGAGTGGCCTCCACATTAACAAGGGCGGCCCACAACAACAGCTGAGGGACTTTGTGCTTTTTTTTAAACAGCATTGGCATTCAATCATTAATGGCGGCAGGCAGATGGAAAAAGGACAGTAACATAAAAAGTAAGTTTTTATTATGTGGTGTGTTAAAAAGAACAGCAGCGTTGAAAAGGAGGGAAAAAAGAGTGAGTTTCTTATAACCGCGATTTCTTTTGGCTTTTGAATCTTTATTAGATTAGTGAAGATGGCAGTAAAGAAAAAGTCAATGGCAAACTCGGAAATAGTATACACGTTGAAGACAGGCTTTTATTGAAATATTATTGAAGGTAACGGTAAGAGCTTGCTTCTTTTTAAAGGGAGGGAAAGATGGCGGATCTTTTTGACTTTGAATGGTTTTGTAATTTGACACACAGCATTTTAAAGAGGGATCGTTCAACAATCGTCCACGAATATATATGCTCGCCTTCACTACACGTCAACGAAAAGAAGAAGAAATGTACAACACACGTTGACGGAAACCAGAAACATAACAAACGAACAAGTAACGCTGCTTTTTCAATACTCGCCGCAACTCATATGACGATTTGCTTCTAACTGCCATCCCAAGATTTTAAATCGTGCATCTTATCAAACGTTGCTGATGCTCGCCAGTAAATGTACTCGACATCCATATGTAAAATAGGACCGGTAATCACGCACAACACAATACGAAAGCAGGGGAGACATATGTACAGCAGTATTACGTGTTTTTACTTACGGCGGCCTATCCTTTTTCATGCATATATTTGATCCACTTACTGAACAACGGCAGTACACAACAATAATATTATGGCGGTTGCTTCTTACGGACGAGTAAAACGAGCAAGAAAGGGATGCCACAATGCGTTTTTAAAGGGAGTATATCTTTCATTGCTGTAGAATAGTGGGATCAGTAAGATGAGCGGGTATACAGAAACCATGTTCCTTTTCTCTTCATTGATAATAAAAACCGTACATTACTGATATACTATTGCTATTATGCATGTTTGTTTATTGAGGCAATGATACATATGCTTGCGATATCAAACACGGCGTTCCTACCAAAGTGTTAGGAACATGGAAGTGGTGGTACAATAAGTAGCTGAGTATTTAACACGAAGACAGGGACGGAGTAGTTTGTTGACTTCATTACCAAGTTTTTTTATTCATTTCGAAATCTCGCAATTAACATGTCTCGTTTGCCTTTGAATTCCGAATCACTTCGTTGCGAAGAAGTTGAGCTGCATGCCACGTACTTAGAGGTTATTGCACGCTATCCAGAGGAAACGGGGGAACGCTGGCTGAGCAGGAAAAACGTTACGCTAATGGATGTCTGAAAACGGACGCGTTCTCAATGAAGATGGCAGTAAGTTTATTACAGTAAAGTTTTATATGAGCTATAAGAGATATGCTGATAGTATGTATATCAGCCCCAAAGTCCAGCGTAAAGACATACCGAGC